ATGGCTAGACTGACCCGCAGACCAAACTCATTTTGCTTTTGCTGTGGTCTGTCTGCATATCTAGGCCAAAGTTCCTCACTTGACTTGCCGAAATCAAGCTGATAATAGTTTCGGTGAGATTCCAGATGCCTTTGATGATTTTGTAGCTATTTCAAGAGACCATGGAAGTCCTTATCCTTTAAATCCTTTAAATCCACAAAATGGTTCCTGAGCACAGCCACTGCTGCAGCTCACTGCCCCCCACGGAGATGGATGAAATGCAGAGAGGTAACTTCACCAGTGTGTGATGATGACTAATGGGACTTAGACTTTATGGAACTTCATTATAGTCGACTAAAAAATATATATTTTTTCTACTGATGCAATACTTTTCAACTTCTGTAAAGGAAATGTCAGCTTCATGTACTTGAAACTGTAAAGAAACATGAAAAATTCACATTTCGCACTTTTGATAGATAAAACTTTATATTTATAATAATTATTATGTATGGAAAATACCAAAATGAACACTGACAGTTGCAAATTGTCTCTCCGTATTAATGAACTAAACAAATCTGTATAATGTGCAGGTATATTTGTAAATGTGACCGGAAATTACATCATACCATCTAATAGAAAGGTTTTACTCTAATAATGCGAGGAGGTAAACTAAAGGTAAGAATTGTTTTCAATTGTGTTATTTTTCCCTGCACTAATTAAACAAGGTAGGCTGCCTGTTTTTCTGGGCCACCTGAATGTTTTTTCCCACTAAAACACCGCTAGAACACAGAGCAGGGACACAGAGGCGAGGCTGCCGACCACCCCCGGCTGTTGTAATTAGCCTGATGGTTCATAACAGGACAAACAACAAACTTATCAGATTAACATACAGCTAACTATTTGCAAAACAACGTTCTTGAAATATCTTCCTCATCTCTAGTTTAGCATTTTTATTTAGTAATGAATTTCAATTTAAACACAAATTTTATTGCAATATTTGTTCTTTTACTTTTAAGTTAGTAAAACAGACAATTCTTCTTTCTCCTGTTAAAATGAATATATCTTTTTATGAATCAATTATTTGATATTAACCCAGGGTTTATTGTTAAAAATTGCTGCTTATTTGGGTCATTTTGAAATCATGATGCTTATTTTCTTTATGGCTTTATTAGGGGAGCACCAGTCTATCAACCCCGATCTCGCGGGGGGGGGGGGGGGGGGGCAATAACTACATTCAGTGCACCCCTAGTTAATGTTTAAGCAAATTATTGCTATAGAATTGTATTTATTTATTTTTTGCACAAGTGTGTCAAAAAAAATGGGTACATAAGTGTTGTTTTCAAAATTAGAAGTCTAAAAGAACAAATATGATTTTGTAGTTGAAACAGCAATGCTAAATATGTTCATTTATATTTGAGAACATAACCTCATGTCCAGTTGAAACTGGTATTGTTTCATGAGTATTCATATTGGTTTTCTCAATAAAAGAAAATTGAAACATTGACGTAATCTGCTTTTTGTTGAGACATAATCGGTATCGGCAGAAGTTGGTATCTGCAAGTCAGGTTTTTCTCAAGATCGGTGATCGGCCAAAAACCTAGGCTTTGTTTACTTTACTGGTGCATTTAATGGCAAGTAAAATGTTCCTTTTATTGGGGAAAGGATGATGTTTTATGTTTAAATATAAAGCTCAAAATACACTTAAGCCGGGCATACACTGTGCGACTTTTTCACTTTTTTGAGCCGATTTTCCAGTCGTGCGAGAATCCACGAGATCGGGGCGAGTTTTGCGCTGAGCGTCATGTAGTGTACAGGGGGTTACGATAGGCGATTAACACCACGTGACCAGCTACCGATCAGCAATCGTGAGCTCGCACGGACTTCTGGCGTGTTTGATATTTTGCTCGTCCCTCGTGAAGATATCGCACTGTTGAAGCGGCGCTGCGAGCAGCTGCGACCCAAAAAGTATCAGAACCGCTCACGGCGCATGCACAATCATGCATCAACACCGCTCGCCCGCTATTTCCCTAATAACACACATTGTTCGTTTTTGTTTCAACACGTTTTTTACTCACAAAGATTGTCAAGAAAGCGTGTTTGTCGTGTTCGTGTCAAATTAAACTGATCACAAAACACAGATTTACTTTCTTTATTTCGTTTTCGTCATCCAACCCCCATAAATCCCTGTGTGTCCTCCTGCAGCACTCCTGAAGGACAACAGGCAAGACAAGACAAAAAAGTCTGACGTGTTGTGTAAAAACAGCTATTTTTAGCATATTTTTAGGTCCAACGTGTTGCTACCAGACGTACAGTGTGAGCACATGGCTCGTGAGATCTGCCCTGCGAGGAAGTCGTACAGTTTGAGCTGAAGCTGAGTGCTACGAGTGAAAAGGTTGCACAGTGTCCGCCCAGCTTTAAAGCATCATTGGGTGTTTTTATTTTCCTGATAATTTTATGTTAATAATTAAATATACTAAAATTTCATGTTAAAGTTATGAATGGATGCAGATTAAGATACTTGATTACTTCCTTTCTAAACAGGAAAAGTGGTGGATTTTACTGCAAATGTGAAATTGAATGAAAGACTGAGAATGTGCTGGTGTGTTTTGTTGTAGAAATTAATGCTTGTGGTCAACCATGAGCACATACGTCACTAGTTTCTTTCTAAATCTGTTGCTGTTTTCTCTTGTTGTTTGATCTTGAGGACACACGAAGGGCCAGGGGAACCCTAGAGTTTCCCAGTGAGCTAATCTGAGCCTCGGCTTTTTTAGCTGTGTTCATATGACTCGTTTTTTAATGTGCTGTTCTTTGGTCTGGCTCCATCTGGCAACTCTCATGGATTTCAGAGTTTTGAGCAGCTGTTGTGTGAAAGAGAGTGGGATTTAATGCTCACTTGTTGCGTTCTTCTGTTTTCTACATAATGCGATCTGAACATAAACACACGAGCAAGTGGGCTGACACCTTGACACGCACAGCAGCACCTTTTTAACAGAGTCCAGTGGCAGTCTTGCTGTCGCCTGCCCTCTCTAGCTGGTAAACAGAGCAGTCTTTGGAATATGCTGAGTGTGCACTGTGGTTTTACTGCAGCCTTGTCAACAAATACTATTTTAGTGCATTTAGCTGCCTGGACCACCAGATGGGGTGTGAGAAATAAAAGATGTGCATTGTTTTAAGATTATAGATTCAGTTCAATTCAAAAATACTTTATTAATCCCAGGTTAAGTATTTTTGGTAGGTAATTCAGACGGGGAAAAATGTACTTAATTACATGTCTGATTTCAAGCTTGTAGGATTATAGTTTCACTCATGAATGTCTCAAACTGTCTCTGTTTATAAAACTAAGCTCCGTCACCTGGCAGAAATAGTAGGGATGTTCCGATCACGTTTCTTTGCTCCTGATCAGAGTCGGACTCACTTGATTTGGAGTATCTGCCGATATCAATTCCTGATCCGATTTTTTTCAGCAAAGGAAACCCCATTCAAGTTGTCCTTTTGAAGATTCACTTTCATTTTTGAGAGCTGCTATCCAGCACGTTTCAGTGGTTTTCCTGCGTTAACAGGTTAGATTAGCTGTTCAGCAGCTCAGCAATTTGCTGCTAATTAAAACCAGGTGCGTAGAAGCAGATAAACTTCTAAAGCATGCTGGATAATAGCTCTCTAAGGCCGTGGAGCCGAACCCTGCAGCTAATCTAATGCTATGGCTAACTGCTACCTACCATTCAGAGCTAGTTCTGCTGGGTCGGTTCCGGTTGTTTCAGGCAACTCACAAGCGCAAATAATAAGGCTCAGGTCCGCTTGTCTCCTCCAAATAGACTTGGTCCCTTTCTTCTCGATTGTCTGGTGAGGAGAAACGTCCTCCACTTCTAACGACTGCTCAGAGTGAAGGGAGCTAGCTTCGCTAACCCTTACCCTTACCCCTCCATCTTCGTCACTGCCGTGGCTCCGCCCTCTCTGTCCTCCAGGCAATGCCGACTAATGTTGCATTTTTCAAAATTGATATGTGGGTGGAGAAGGACTCTGAGGCAGGCTTTACGAGCCCTTTAAGAACAACATTGATTAAAAATAAATTTAAATGTTATTTAAAAGTTACTGCGTAGCTCATATTTCAAGTCTTTCAAACCTTCAAAATATGGATGTATTGAACAATAAGCAGTCCTGTGACAGGGCTGGCAGGCTAACCTTTTCTGACACAACACCAGTAGCTACCACAGGCCGCCATCTGCAATATCTCTTTTTTTATCAGCATATCTTTGTCGGTTGGCTCTGCGTTTTTGTCCAAGTTGCCGCTGTGAACTGGGACTATTGGTGGCAAACTAGGAGTCAATGGAAATCGGTGATTTGTTTTAGTGACAACTGAAGGAAAAATCTTAAAAGTAGTTTGTTTTGAAGGTGGCATAGGTGACAGCTCAACCTTTTCCACCACCTTAAATGCCCAGTTTGCACACGTCTGTTACACTCAATGCCACCAAACTGATGACTTTCACCCTCCTGAGGAGACACGTTAGCCTGCTGGCTAACAGCTGCACGTTTGCATTGCTAATATTTTTGTCACAATTTAGTGTATTTTTCTTTTGATGCGATCATTTTCAACTTCTGTAAAGGAAATGTTAACTACATCTACTAAAGCAATAGGAAAAATTCACATTAGACACTTTGGATCAATAAAACTCTACCTTTATCATTGTTTTAATAACAACAATTATTGGGGGAAAAAAACAAAATCAACGCTGACAGTTTCAAATTGTAAAAAGTCATGTTTTTTTTAAGGCTAAATCCGATCTTTTCTACCCAATTCCGATCCTTTTAAAATCACACGATTGGGCCCGATCGGATTGGAGCATCTCTATCAATTACATAGATTTTGTTGCTGATGTCAGTGTTTTTATAGTTTTTTTTTTTTTTCTTGGACATGTAAGTCAGACATAAGCATTCATTTTTGCCTTTTGTGTGTTTGAAAATGTAGTTTGTCTTCTGACTAATTGTTCAAAACATTAAAATGCCTCTTTTTCCTTTGTTTACAGCGAGCACCTGTCTTGCTCTTTCACCTTCTTCGTTCATGGCGACAGCAATGTGTGCACGAGCGTGGAAATCGCCCAACATCAGCCACTTCAGAGACTCGGCGAAGAGCATCCAAGCCTTGCACAGCAGAGCTCCAGCCCCCTGCAAGGTAGTTTTACATATTATATCTATTTTTCATTCACTGCGAAGGTTTTTTTGTGCCCATATCAAATTTATTGTGACTGTGTTGCCTTGCAGTAATCCTGAGCCCATACGGCTTGAACGGGACACTCACCGGCCAAACGTTTAAGATGTCAGATCACCCTACTCAGAAACTCATCGAGGAGTGGAGGCAGTTTTATCCCATTTGTCTGAATCCCAAGGAGTCCCAGGAAGACAAGCTGGAGGATACGGACTGGGAGGATGACTCCCTAGCGGCTGTGGAAGTCCTTGTTGGTAAGGCGTCATAATTATTTGATAAAGCAGCGATGAGTGAAGGGGATGCAAGCGGGTAAGTTTTAACTGAACTTAAAGTGTACAGATCTTTTCAAAGGATGTGTTTAGTGATGGATATTAGTTGAAACTGCTTAAGAGGCTTTTCTGCACGACTACAGCCAAACCTGAGACTGGAGGAAAATCATAAATCCTAATTGAGTTCCTCACTAATAAACACCCAGTTAATTTACTGTACCAGTGATCCTGAGTCTAAATATTCACATAACTGTTGTAAATATGGTCACATTCGGTTTTTAAAATCAGTGTTTGTGCTTTTTTCAGCGGGGGTGAGGATGGTTTACCCATCCTGCCTTGTGCTTCTCCCCCTATCGGACCTCCCCGCCGTAGTCTCCCAGGGCTCGGCCAACACCCCGGGGGCCCAGTGTGGCGCTCAGCAGGGTCAGGCGACTCACAGAGACCCCGCCATATCCTCTGTCACCTTGACTCCGCCCACATCACCAGAAGAGGCTCACACTGGTGAGAATCAAACGCACTTATGTCAACCTTTGCTTCTGGAAGATTTTGCTTACTAATCTGTTTTTTTGTTTGTTTGTTTTTCTCCTCAGACTATCAGCCTGCCCACCGCTGGCTAAAGCTGTCTTCTGCGTCCGATTGCTACAACTCTAACAACACTCTTCATGGGGGTAAAATCCCCCGCAGGCTGGCTGGTCAGATGGTGGAATCAGTGTGGCAGGAGTATAACATCAACCGTACTGGGAACAAGTGGGTTTACTGCCACCATTTCCTGTAAATTGCTGTTTACTGGTAAAGTTTTCTCTCTCCACTGGCTGAAATTTGCATTGTTGTTGTTTAGGAGGAAGTTTACCAACTTGACAAACGGCGCGTGTGAGGAGGAATTGGAGAAAACAAGACTCTGGGATTTTGTGGAACCTACTTGCAGACCATCTTGCAATTGTTCAAGGTAAAAATACGGTAGAGAATTTACGAAGGATTTCTGTTTTTAATAGTGGTTGGATCTCCGGCTCTTTTAAGAGAGCTGGTCCTTGAGGTTCACCAGAAAAAAAACGTCTCTTTCGGCTCTCAAATGTTTCCTCACAGTTTTGACCAGAAATTTTGTAAAATTGTATGTAAAATAAATTCCTAATCTAAAAACATGAATTATATCAAATGTTCCACTGAAAGCTAAGATGATCACTCAGTAAAAATGTAATAAATGTGTGCAAAAGAGAAAAATCAGCATTCTGCTCTGATGGATGGACGGTTCTTATGTGCAGAGCCTTCTGCATAAGATATGTGCAGATTCCACACTCTGCCTTTTTTATGAATATTTCTGATTATATATTTTGTATATTCGTTCTGTTTTTCTTCTGAATGCATTTTTAGGTTTTTTTTTTTTATCACAGGAAGTTTTTTACCTTGCTGACAGTTTCAATCACTCCTGCAATCTTTATCATCAGAATTGGTAGAAACAGCTGAATAAGAAGAGGTTGTTGATTAGCTTATGATTGGAAATAGACGGTGAAACTCTAGGCTTTGAGAAACCTGACAGATCTACGTCAAGCAGCGCTTGGACTCACCCATACAGGGTATCCGCGGGTCCTTAAAAAGTCTTAAATTTGCTTTTCCAAATTTAAGGCCCTAAAAATCCTTAAAAATGACAAATAATCCTTAAATTCAGTTTCCAAATGTCTTAAATTACCAAAGACCCAATAAACAAGATTCTATAAAATTTTGGGGATTTTCTAGTTGGTGTTCAGCATTTTTTGTGTATGATATTGGCGTAAGCGGAACCGTACACATTCAGTTGGTTGTGAAAGGGGGCTATTTTTAGATGAGCACATTAGCTGGTTAAGCTAGTGGGAGCTTGAGCCATGGGGAAGTGCAAGTTTAATCAACACATTCTCACAGCCAAAGCATCAAAATATTGCACGTGTGACCAAGCCTCAATATATGACGATTCGGGACGCCCCAGCGTGTCAGGAGACGACGATCAGGGACAAACTGGTGATGCAGCGTCCCAGAGCGTCGGTATCCGACGCTGGTGCTAAGACGGACATTAGAACTACTTGTGAACTACTTAACCTTCCCCTGACCCCAATCCTAACTTTAAGGTCACAGTTTATGGAAGGGGGGGAAGTTTAAATAGTCGAATAATGTCCGTGTGACCTCGTGCGTCAAACAGTGATGCCAGCGGAGCCACGTGTCCCGGCATGTCCCTGATCATCATCTCCTGACGCGCAGGGGCATCCCCAATCGTCATATATTGAGGCTTGGTCACACACGTCATATTTTGACGCCTTGGGTGTGAGAATGTGTTGGTTTAATGGTAACTGGATGGCTAATCTCACGTTCGCGACGTGGTTAGCACCGGTTCCAGGCAATAGCTAGAAATTATAGCTTAAACTTAATTTTAAAAATAGCTTAAATTTGGTCAAAGTGGCCTTAAAATAGGTCTTAAAAAGTCTTAAATTTGGCTCCCTTAAACCTGCAGATACCCTGCCATACTGGCTCGTGACTGGGAAGGCTGTTGTTGGTTTAGCATCGAAAAACGGCAGATAACGTCTCTTCTAGCAGAAGCTAACCATTAGCATTAGCAACTCAACCACATGATAGAAGCTCCTCCAGGTTTGTTTTATTTGTGGAGATAAAACATCGTCGTTGCAAAGCAAATGGAAACAGTGGTAGTCGGGTTGCTGTTGTCCAGTTTGAGACAAATTGTCCAAATATCAGGAAATGGGACTCCCAACACTTAGCATTAGCATGAAATGATTCATCATGCTGCCTCACTGCCACCTGCGACTGACTGGAAATTGGTTGTTGTTGTTGTTGTTAGCCTCAAGGGCAACATGCCGATTATCACTTGTAAGTCGCTTTGGACAAAAGTGTCTGCTAAATACATAAACATAAAAAAATACAAATTTTAAACTGTGGCAGCTCATGAGTCAATCAGTTCCCGGTAATGATGGATTCCAAAACATTTTGCAGTGATTTGACCAAAACAATCATAACTCCATCATAATAAAATCCCAGGTTAAAACTTGCTGGACTGTGTCTGTTTCTTCAAAAAGTGCCTCATAGTAATTGTTTATTTCTACTTAGGCATAAGAATCAGAAGCAGCGTTCCGGCAGCACCTCAGGACACCCACCGTCATCAGGCCAGTCGGCCCAGCCAGCCCCCAAGCACAAGCTGGGAGAGAAACTGGAGAAGGGGGAGAAGCAGCAGAGGAGGCCACAAACGCCTTTTCATCACCGCAACTCTGTGAGCGAGGAGCAGCCGCTGGAGCCACAGACCCCGCGGCTCTGCCCCAGACAGCTGGAGGAGGGCTCGTATCCCAGCCTGCACCACGTCGACACAGTGGCGCCCAAAGCACCCACGCTACACGCGCACGGTCCCCCCACAGACTTGGTAGGATCCCCGCCACCCCCTCCTCTCAGCCCACATCCATGTGAACATGCAGAAAGCGACTTAACCCCAAGAGCCATTAAGAACTCTTCCACGCCTATTCACCAAGCGATCTACCCGCCGTCAGTGGAGCCACATAAAGCCTCGTCCGAGGACCATCAGTTGGACAGCGTCCCCGTGCCTTCCTTCACCCCCACCTATAACGAAAGCTTGGAACTGACGATGTTTGTAGGTTCAGCTGTAAACCCAAATGAAGACTCCACCCACAACCCCTGGAAGTATTTCAACTTGCCCAGGAAGCCCTCCAACCTGTCGACGCCTCAGCTGCCTGTGGATAAAGCACGAGATGATTGTGGAGGAACGGAAAACGTCGTCTCTGTCACGGAGTACGTATTTGACGTGGAACGAGTGTTCCTGTTTGTTCATGACAGAACGGCCGTGCGGATGTTAAAAGTTCTCCTCTTCTCAGGTTGATGTCCGACTCCTCGCAGCCTCTGAAGGTCTCCCAGGAGCTGGTCAGGACGTACGCTCAGCGGAGACACAGCCATCTTTCTTCCACAGCAGGAGACGGAGACCACAGCGAGGAGCCAGACCCTTACGCCTTTGTGGAAGACGAGGACGACAACTTCACAGAGAAGAAGGACAAGTCTGGGACTGAGAAGGAAGGAAACAAGAAACAGAAGGTGGATTTCCGTTTTTATAATTATTACACTTCAACTTGAGTCTAGAGGGTAGTTCTGGTCCGTTTGATTTCATAAACAAAAAAATAACTTTCTTTTTTTTTTACTTTAGATGGATGAAGGAAATGGAACTTCTGCAGATGGTGAGAAACTGATCAGATTTGACATTTATTGAAATGGACTCATTGAAATTGATTGTCTTATTTGAGGTCTGCCCTATATTGTTGCTGTAGATGGTCAGGGTCCATCAGGCAGTAAACCTTCTGCCTCGACCAGCCTCATCCATGAGAATGACCTGGCCGTGTCCTACAGCGACCTGGATAAACTATTCAACTCCGATGAAGATGAGCTAGCGGTAAGCTAAGTTTGGTCAAAGCTGCACTTGTTAAAACGCTGATGAGAAAAAATTGTTGAAGATTGTTTTTGTCCTTCTCAGCCTGGACCCAGAAGAACTGAAGATGCTACAGATGTTGTCTGTAGACCCCCCCTGCCAGATCAACCGACCATCATAAGTAAGGAGCACCGGTAGCTTACATGTATTCTGACATTTACGTCATCTTTTTGTAACGCTGTGCGACTTTCCTAGGCACAGTAGACCTGCACACGATGTTTCCCACCCCGCCCTCCCTGGACCAGCAGGGATACTCCCCCATGAACTCTGGGAGCCAGAATAGTCTGGAAACAGGGGCGAGTCTCACCGTGTTGGACATCAGCCAGCTCAACACCCACTTCAGGATGGAGGTGGAGGAGGGTTACTGCAGCCCAAAGCCATGTGAACTAAAGGTGGGACATGTGATGCCATTGGCAAGAAGAGAAAAGGCACCAAAGGTTTTCTTTCTCCAGTTGAATTAATCCACTGATTTATCTGCTTTCAGGACTTCTCCTTTGTGTACAAGCCAGCAATTAGTCAGTCCATCATCGGTTCAACTATGTACGCCCCCTTAAAAACACTACCCAGCCAGTGTCTGTCACCCATCAAACTGCCAGAGGACTGCATGTACACACCGAGCTGGACCATGGGCAAAGTGGAGCTGATGACCAGCGTCAGCCTCCTCACCAAAGACAGGTAGATGTGTAATTACTGCTGATTGTTGCACAATTTGGTCCCTGATTGGGATTTTAAAGTGTTTCTGCGTGAGCTGGCCTGTCCACTGGATGTATAAGTAGCGCGCAACGTAAAAGTCGCTTTTTTCCACGAGCTCAGCGGCACGACCCTTCCCACTGGGAGTGTTTCAGATGCAAATCGCCAGCAGCTCATCCCACAAGGCCACGAAATCACAGGAAGATTGCGAGATCACGCGTGATTTCAGTAATTCACGTGATAACAAGCAAATAGAAAGACAGGCGCATGTATTGAAAAGGGTCTGTGGTCTTTTTTCAATTCTTTTAACTCGGACACTGAGGTTTCAAAGGTAGAGGCAATTTTTTAAGTAATTGGAAATCTGCAGTGTCTTTTATTTTGAAAGTTTTCAGGTGTTTTACACTGATATTGTGTTTTGCTTCCTGTCTGGTCCGATCTGAACTGCTGAGCTTGATGCGTTCTGGAAGCGTAGCGCCCGAAAATTTAACCTGGAAGAGTAAATTTAGTGTAGCAATACGTCTGCATGCTTCAAGGACGCCAAAACACACCACCTTGCAGCCGGTGGAAACTCCCGCACTGGCTTTAGCGGTGGCTAATTGCTGAGTACTACGCTTCAGGTCCGGTGGAAAGGCTCAGTAAAAGTAAATAAATATAATTATTACCATATTCTGAGAAATAGATGGTGTCCTTCAGGATTGATGAGCTAACAGCTAGAAAGAGCACAGCCTATGAAATCTTTTAGGATAGCAGCTTTTGGCTGTTCTCTGACTACCTGTTAGCTTATCAGTCCTGTTGAACTAAAATTCTCAATGAACAGAGGTGGTTCGGGGAGCTACCTACAGCAGGTTTGATGTTCGTTATTTAAATCCTTTGTCCAACAAATCCCTTTTAATAAAGTTATATCAAACCTGACCAGAGTCTGAACGGTCGTTAAACTAGCAGAAAACTCTTAAGCTTGTGTTTGTTTATCCTGTGAACTCGGAGCTTTAATCCTGATAATTGTTTGTCCTTGTTCAGCAGTAATGTCCCCAGTGTTGAGCCAGACTACAACCAGACCCACACCCCTCAAACCCAAACACCCTTCCACACCGGCAGCGCTCCGCCCAGCAACAGCGGCCCTGGCATTCTGCCTTCCCCGGCTACACCGCGCTTCTCTGTGCCCACGCCTCGCACGCCACGCACTCCACGAACGCCCCGCGGTCCGTCCAGCGTCCAGGGCTCCCTAAAGTATGACAACTCTGACCTTTACTCGCCGGCGTCCACGCCTTCTACCTGTCGACCCCTCAGCTCGGTGGAGCCGGCCACCGTGCCCTCCATCCCCGAGGCCCACAGCCTCTACGTCACCCTGATCCTCTCCGAGTCGGTCATGAACCTCTTCAAGGACTGCAACTTTGACAGCTGTTGCGTGTGCGTCTGCAACATGAACATCCGAGGGGCGGATGTAGGCGTGTACCTGAAGGACAACGGCGAGGCCCAGTATTCGTGCGCTTGTGGCTTCAGCGCCGTAACCAACCGGCGCTTCGGCCAGTCGGCCGGGCTGTTTCTGGAGGACGAGCTGGACGTGGTAGGACGCGGTTCAGATGCCAGCCGGGACACCGAGCGGTGTTTCGAGGACCTGAGAAGCAGCTTGAAGGAGAAACCTCCAGATGAGTTGATCCTGCTGCTCCAGGACCAGTGCTCCAACCCACTGGCACCACTGGCTGGTGTGGAGTACTCTAAACAGGGCTCCGCTCCCAGCTCGTTCCTGAGGGTCGAAGAGAGAGACTGTTATAACGACTGCTACATGGCTCTGGAGCACGGCAGGCAGTTCATGGACAACATGTCAGGAGGAAAAGTGGACGAAACACTAGTGAAAAGCACCAGCCTTCATCAGTGGCCAAAATGTAAATGTATGTATCTGATTTCTGCACATTTTACTTCTATTTTCTTTTGATGTAAAGTACAACACTTGTGTCCCTCTCTTCTGTCCTGCAGCAGCAGACATGAGCAAGCTCTTCTCTCAGGATGTCCTGCGGGTGTTGCTGTCTCTGCAGCCCGTCCTGCAGGACACCATTCAGAAGAAGAGGAGTGTGCGGTCCTGGGGGGTTCAGGGACCCCTCACCTGGCAGCAGTTCCACAAAATGGCTGGAAGGGGCTCATATGGTAACGTTCCTCTCAGGGATTCACTTTTACGACGAGGAATCGGTTTTCCTAAATCCAAACAATCTTATTTTACTACAGGAACGGATGAGTCTCCAGAACCTCTGCCCATCCCGACCTTTTTGGTTGGTTACGAATACGATTTTGTCGTGCTGTCTCCTTTCGGGTTGCCGTACTGGGAGAAGCTGCTCCTAGATCCTTTTGGTTCCCAGAGGGATGTGGGATATGTGGTCATCTGCCCAGAAAACGAGGCCCTACTCCGCGGAGCCAAGACCTTTTTCAAAGATCTGAGTGTCATGTATGAGGTGTGTAGCTGTAGCGCTTCAGAAAACTCATTTTTCCTGCACGGACATGCCCACACACACACACACACACACGCACGCAGCTTTGAGGTCCTTAAAAAGTGACTCACTGTTTGCTCATTGCATTTACTATCATTCTCTCAACAGGCTTGCCAGCTGGGGCAGCACAGGCCCATCTGCAAGAGTCACCCAGAGGGTATTCTGACGGTCGGTGCCACAGAAGGCAGGAGCATGACGGAGCAGCCTCTCAGCGACTGGTTTCTCAAGATGGCTGCTAGAGAAGGAAGTAATGAAGCCTTCAACAAGCTCAAACTCTTTGCTCAAGTGTGTCGTTATGATCTAGGTAAAACCTCCCCTCACGATGCAAAACCCCTAAATTAATCAGGTATTTATTTTTTTTGATCAGATAAATGAAAGTTTTTTGTTTTCAGCGTCAAATTTGGCCGAGCTTCCTTTGGACAGTTCCCTTTTGGCCCAACGTAATCCCACCGCGGCCACCTCCCCTTCGTCCTCCCAGACCAACTCTTCCAGCATCTCCTCAGGACTCCAGAGCACCAACACCACCAGCGCCGGAGCGGCTCAGCCCGTCCAGGTCAACAGCACCCCTCCTTCCTCCTCGTCAGCCTCCCAGAGCATCGGGGGGATGGCGTCAGGCAAGCCCAGCTCCTACCTGCCGTTCGGGTCAGCGGGCTTGCAGGGAGGTGCTACTCAGAACGGACCTCAGTTGAATTCCCATGGTTCGGGGGGACTCGCAGAAAACGGGTCCAGTCAGCCTCAAGGTCCCACAGAAACCCCAGAGAGGTGAGGCACCTCTACTTTGATAGCATTCATGTTAATTAAGTGTCTGAAGACCACACAGAGACCCTTTATTTGTTTTGTCATGACCCACGTTGGGGTTCGGAGCCCAGTGGTGCAAACCATAAAGAGCTAGATGTTTAACTTCTGATGAATGAAGCTCATCTTTACAAGAATTCTTGCTTTTTCTTTTGCAATCATGCTTGTTGTTGGTGATCATGAAGGGTGTGGGTGGGCGTGGCCAGCTCCCGCATGTTTTCTTAGAACATGCAGCCTTGACTACGGCAATGCCCTACTAACTGGTTTTCCAGCCTGTACTGTGAGACCTCTTCAGATGGTCCTGAATGCAGCAGCGCATCTGGTCTTCAATCAGCCTAAAAGAGCGCACGTCTCCCTTCTGTTCATTGAACTCCATCGGCTACCGCTAGCTGCACACATCAAATTCTAATCGCTAGCACTAGCATACAAAGTCCTGTATGGTACAGCTCCTGTCTACCTGAATCCTCTTGCAAAGGCCCGGTCGCTCCGGTCATCATAGGATCGTCGGGTAGCAGCGCCTACACCACGCTCAGGACTCTTTTCACGTATCATTCCACAGATGTGGAATGACCTACCAAGCACTACCAGAACAGGGGCATACTCGTCGATTTTCAAGAAACTCCTGAAGACCCTGCTCTTGAAGCTTGGTTTATGCTCGACGCATTTACTTTCCGCTTGGTGATGCGGCTCGCGGATGGAACTCGCTTCACAACTTGCAGCGTTTATGGTTCATGCGGCTTGTCTCTGCGGTGAGCCAATATTCTCCCAGACTGTAGGGGGCAGCAGCATGGAGCTCTACGGCATGCATCCAACACCACACCATAGTAGAAGTAAAAATTACTGTTTACAACATGGCATTCCAGCATTTTTTAACAGCGTCCTCGTCTTTTCCGACAGTGCGAGCTATTTCTCTCCAAGAATTATTAACAACATGTTGATCACGGTGATCTCTGAGAGCTGAATCATACAAATGTCTGTATTTACGAACCTCTGCCATACTAGTTCTTGCTAGTCCGCCATGTTTTTCCGCGTCCGACTGTCCGCGTGGTTAGAAATTTTCCTAGGTGTGCGGTGCGGAAAGTTTGGGCCGTGCGGAGGCGCGGTGGAGGGACGTGGTTGTTAAAATGATGCAATTTTGCCGCGCGGAGCCGTGCGAACCTCGCGGACGCGTCAAGCATAAACCAAGCTTTAGAGAGCATTTTCTAAACTAGCACCCTCCCAGCACCTGTCCCCCACTCTACTGCACACTCCATATTCGCTTCCCTCCCTGATTGATTATTGCTGCCTCACTGCCGCCTAGGATTGACTGAATAGTTTTTGTTAGCCTTAAGCTCCTGAGACCCTGTGTCCACATTGGCGTCTTTCACTGAAAGACTTTATTCTCTTCAAACTAGACCTTATTTTTTTATTATTTAGAAACATTTAATATCGAATTTAGGTAAAAACATCTCTTTTCAGTTTTTTCTAGAAAACCTGTTGATTTTTATTTAATTTTATTTTCCATCGCACCAAATACAAATTCGGGTCTCAGGAGGTTAAGAGCAACCTGATGGCTTGATCATCACCTGTAAGTCGCTTTGGACAAAAGCGTCTGCTAAATACATAAACATAAAGTGACAGAGCCCTGAAATGGCTCGTTCTGGAAGGTACTGAAAATGTCAAGAATAAAGATGCTGAAATCTCTTTATGTGAGAAGGATTTAGTGTAAAAAGACTTCGTAAATGTTTATCAACCATAGAATTATTATAACTTAAAGGTGTGGTTAACTGAAAAACATTTTTAATTATTGTTTCTGCTTATTATCGCTCACTGGGTTTTTCGTGCAGGCTGAACATGAAAAGAGCCTTCTGCACTTATCTCCTGCGTTAGCTTCTGATAGAAAATAGATGATGAAATGCTGGGATGTGAAAATCCTCATATACGTATGTCACACTGTTACACCCGTCGTTCATCTTGGTTCGCGCCCAACCACAGGAAGGCATTTCTAAGGTTTTTTGCAGCGAGAAGAGAAAGCAGAGATTGTCTTGGTGATGGTGACTTTGCCACATAGCTGAATGTGTTCTGTTAGCGAATCGGAAGCAAGATGTGTGCTTGTCATTAATAATAATGAGTAATCCTGCTGTTTTCAGCCAGTCACTGCACTAGCAAACTTCTGCATCTCAGGAGCATCAATGCCTTTTTTATGACTCGTAAGGCATTGATTTACACTAGAGAACACTGCTAATGTATCGAATAAATGAGTAAACCACACCTTTAAGAAATAATTTCATATCCCCCTTCAAAGTGACCTTGAGCCATTGTTGATGGCTAAATTAGAGCACACTGCTGCTCGTTAAAAAACACAGCAGGATTTAATTTTTGCTATAAAATTCACTCTGTTCAGTCAGCATATTTATTCGACCCATATGATTGGATGTTTTATTGAGACACTGACTAATCTGTTTTTATTAACAGCACAATGGAAAGAGACAAAGTGGGCAAGCCAACAGACGGGGAGTCGCACGCCGTTTCCTACCCACCCGCCATAGTGGTTTACATCGTGGACCCTTTCAGCTACGAAGACGCAGACAGAGAGATTCACTCCAGCACGTTCACATTCGGCCTGCTGCGCTGCTACATGGAGATGCTCCCGTTCCTACCCGCTCACATCAGGAACGCCGTCTCAGTGCAGGTACTGTCTGTTACCTGTAATGGAGCCAGTTTCCAGCGGCTCAGGGGAGGGTTTGGAGAAGCAGGGGAATCATTAGCGGAGACTAATGAAGATGAAAACTGCCACACTGGTTATGCAGCAACTCAGGATTGCATCAACAGACCAAAGGGAGTTTTCAAACACAAGTGGTGTGAATACATGAGCAGCTTCAGGGTCGGTTCAACAGTGAAACGTCGTTCAGCAGCTCCGCTATTTTCAACAATTTATAAAATTCTGAGTTTAATTAGGTCTTAAAGTTGGATAAAAACAACATAGGATGATGATGTCATTCAATTCAACTCCACCAAAGCAAAAAAATGAATAAAAAAAAGGCCCCAGTGACCTCACAGGAATTAAAAGCTTTCAGTAACCAGCAGGTGCTGCTAATCAAAACACATTTCATCATCTAGTTTGAGCACCTTATAAGGAAGAATTGTGACAAAAATAACTTTATATAAACCCTCAAATGGACACATGTAAAACTTCATGTGAAAAAAAGTTCAGAGAGAAAATTCACATTTTGTTGCATATTTTTGTCTAGTTGTTGACTGGCAGCCCAGTGAGATAGTGTCGTCGTCTTCCTCCGCTTATCCGGGTCCGGGTCACGGGGGCAGCATCCTAACTAGGGAGCTCCAGACCATCCTCTCCCCGGCCACCTCCACCAGCTCCTCCGGCAGGACCCCAAGGCATTCCCGGACCAGATTGGAGATGTAACTTCTCCAACGTGTCCTGGGTCGACCCGGGGGCCTCCTGCCGGCAGGACATGCCCGAAACACCTCCCCAGGAAGGCGTCCAGGAGGCATCCTGACCAGATGCCTAAACCACCTCAACTGACTTCTTTCGATCCGGAGGAGCAGCGGTTCTACTCCGAGTCCCTCCCGAATGTCCGAGCTCCTCACCCTATCTCTAAGGCTGAGCCCGGCCACCCTACAGAGGAAACTCATTTCGGCCGCTTGTATTCGTGATCTTGTTCTTTCGGTCATTACCCAAAGCTCATGACCATAGGTGAGGATTGGGACGTAGATCGACCGGTAAATCGAGAGCCTGGCTTTCTGGCTCAGCTCCCTCTTCGCCATGTCAGATCGGCTCAGCGTCCGCATCACTGCAGATGCCGAACCAATCCGCCTGTCGATCTCCCGATCCCTCCTACCCTCACTCGTGAACAAGACCCCGAGATACTTAAACTCCTCCGCTTGAGGTAGGACCTCGCCCCCGACCCGGAGTTTGCAAGCCACCCTTTTCCGGTCGAGAACCATGGTCTCAGATTTGGAGGTGCTGATCCTCATCCCAGCCGCTTCACACTCGGCCGTGAACCTACCCAGCAAGAGCTGAAGGTCAGAGCTGGATGAAGCTAGGAGGACCACATCATCCGCAAAAAGCAGAGACGAGATTCTCCTGCCATCAAACTCGACACACTCCACGCCACGGCTGCGCCTAGAAATTCTGTCCATAAAGGTAATGAACAGAACCGGTGACAAAGCGCAGCCCTGGCGGAGTCCAGCCCTCACCGGGAACAGGTCCGACTTACTACCGGCTATGCGGACCAAACTCACGCTCCTCTGGTAAAGGGACTGAATGGCCCTTAACAGAAAGCCACCCACCCCATACTCCTGGAGCGTCCCCCACAGGGTGCCCCTGGGGACACGGTCATAAGCCTTCTCCAAATCCACAAAACACATGTGGATTGGTTGGGCAAACTCCCATGCCCCCTTCATCACCCTTGCAAGGGTATAGTAGAGCTGGTCCACAGTTCCACGGCCAGGACGAAAACCACATTGCTCCTCCTCATTCTGAGATTCAACTATCAATTGGACCCTCCTCTCCAGTACCTTGGAGTAGACCTTTCCAGGGAGGCTGAGGAGTGTGATCCCCCTATAGTTGGAACACACCCTCAGTTCACCCTTCTTAAAGATGAGGACCACCACCCCGATCTGCCACTCCACAGGAACTGCCCTCGATGACCACGCAATGTTGCAGAGACGTGTCAACCATGACAGCCCTACAACATCCATAGCCTTGAGATACCCAGGATGGACCTCGTACGCCCCCGGGGCTCCGCCGCTGTGTAGTTGTTTGACTACCTCAGCAACTTCTGCCCCCGAGATTGGACAGTCCATCCCCAGGTTTCCCGGCTCTGGTTCCTCCTCGGAATGTGCGTAGGTGGGATTGAGGAGCTCCTCAAAGTATTCCTTCCACCATCCGACTAAAGCCCCAGTTGACGTCAGCAGCTCCCCATCCCCACTGTAAACAGTGTGAGCGAGTTGCTACCTTCCTCTCCTGAGGCGCCGGACAGTTTGCCAGAACCTCTTTAGAGCCGATCGATAGTCTTTCTCCACGGCCTCACAAAACTCCTCCCACGCCCGAGATTTTGCCTCGGCAACTGCCACTGCTGCACCCCGCTTGGCTATCCGGTACCTGTCTGCTGCCTCCGGAGACCCACAGACCAGCCACGCCCTGTAGGCCTCCTTCTTCAGCCTGACGGCTCCCCGAACCTCTGGTGTCCACCAGCGGGTACGGGGGTTGCCACCACGACTGGCACAGGCCACCTTGCGGCCACAGCTAGCAACAGCCGCCTCAACAATCGCAGAGTGGAACAAGGCCCACTCGGAGTCAATGTCCCCCACTGCTCTCAGGATGCGGTCAAAGCTCTGCCGGAGGTCGGAGTTGAAGACCATCTTGACAGGTTCTTCTGCCAGGCGTTCCCAGCAGACCCTCACTATGCGTTTGGGTCTGCCAGGTCTACACGGGATCTTCCCCTGCCATCTGATCCAACTCACCACCAGGTGGTGATCAGTTGACAGCTCCACTCCTCTCTTCACTCGGGTGTCCAAAGCTTACGGCCGCAGGTCAAGTGATACGACTACAAAGTCTATCATCGACCTGCGACCTAGGCTGCCCTGGTACCAAGTGTACTGATGGGCATCCTTATGTTCGAACATGGTGTTCGTTATGGCCAAACTGCGGCTTGCACAGAAGTCCAATAACGAAACACCACTCGAGTTAAGATCAGGTGGGCCGTTCCTCCCAATCACACCCCTCCAGGTCAAGCTGTCATTGCCCACGTGAGCATTGAAGTCCCCCAGCAGGACAATGGAGTCCCCTGATGGAGCACTATCTAGCACTCGTCCCAGGGACTCCAAAAAGCGTGGGTACTCTGAACTGATATTTGACCCATAAGCACAAACAACAGTCAGGACCCGTTCCCCGACCCGAAGGCGCAAGGAAGCTACCCTCTCATCCCCCGGGGTAAACCCCAACACACAGGCAGAGAGTCTTGGGGCTAACCAAAAGCCAACCCCAGCGCTCCGCCTCTCACCCGGAGCAACTCCAGCAAAGGAGAGTGTCCAACCCCTCTCAAGGACTTGGGTTCCAGAGCCAGTGCTATGTGTCGAGGTGAGTCCGACTATATCTAGCCGGTACCGCTCAACCTCTGCCACAAGCTCCGGCTCCTTCCCCGCCAGCGAGGTGACGTTCCATGTCCCACAAACCAGTTTTCTTGTCCGGGGATCGGACCGCCAAGGCTCCCGCCTTGGTCTGCCACCCGATCCACACTGCACCGGACCCTTCATGTTCCTCCTGCGGGTGGTGGGTCCACAGTTGGATGAGCCCATGGATCCAGTTTGGGCTGGGCCCGGCCGGGCCCCATGGGCAAAAGCCCGGCCACCAGGCGCTCGCTCACGGGCCCCAACCCCAGGCCTGGCTCCAGGGTGGGACCCCAGTAACCCTCCGGGCCGGGTACTCCGACTCTTTGACTTTACCTCCATGAAAGATCCTGTGAACCGTTCTTTGTCTCACCCTTCACCTAAGACCAATTTTTCATGGGAGCCCCTACCAGGTGCACAAAGTGCCCCAGAACATAGCTCCTAGGATCATTAGGGCACTCAAACTCCTCCACCACGATAAGGTCACGGTTCAAGGAGGAGCACATTTTGTTGCATATTTTTGTCTCTAGTTGACCGGCAGCCCAGTGAGATAGTGGCTCAGTCAAACTGTTTCATTAGAAAAAGAACAGCTGGGAGTGCTTAAACGTGAAAACACATCTTATAGGAACACCTGATTCCAGCTCTGAAGCGTGGCGGTGAAAGGATAATGATAAGTTCTGTTTAGCAGCTGCAGAATTTTTGTATTTTTGCTCTGAAGTGTCCCAGAGGCTCACGTCAACGTGCTTCTGTTAGTCACGAGCACAGAACAACAGAACTTAGCCTAGGAAGGTTTTCTCAGACAAACTGACATGTACAACACAAATCTTCGATTATTCTTCAGGCAGCTCGAGTTTGAGAACCAAATCTGACATTAGGGTGTGGAATAAACTCTTGTGGTTCTTTTCATTTCTAGATCGTTCCTTGCCAGTATCTGCTGCAGCCGGTGCACAGCGCCGAGCGCCACGCCTACAGCCAGCACCTGAAGTCTCTGGCCTTTTCCGTGTACACTCAGTGTCGTCGTCCCCTTCCCAACTCCACCAACTTCAAGACTTTGACGGGCTTCGGGCCTGGGCTCGCCATCGACATGGCCCTCAAGAACCCAGAGGTGAGCCCTGGTCTCGGGCGCTCGGAGCTTGCCGGCTGAGCCTGACGTAGTGTCGTTGTTGGAACTCATCTTTTCTCTTGTGCAGCGGCCGGAGTGCCTGCGTCTGTACACGCCACCCTTCATCCTGGCTCCAGTGAAAGACAAGCAGACTGAGCTCGGGGAGACGTTTGGCGAGGCGTCGCAGAAGTACAACATCCTGTTTGTGGGCTACTGCCTCTCTCACGACCAGCGCTGGCTGCTGGCGTCCTGCACCGACCAGCACGGGGAGCTGCTGGAGTCCTGCATCATCAGTATTGATGTACCGAACAGGTGTGTGGATCCTCTCACACTAAACACACGCCTCAGAGCTACCGGATTACCGGCTCGGTTAATAACAACTCCATCTTTATTTACTGTGTTATTACAGGGCTCGCAGGAAAAAGGGCTCAGCCAGGCGACTGGGTTTACAGAAGCTGTGGGACTGGTGCGTGGGTCTGGTTCAGTTGACGTCACTGCCCTGGAGGGTGGTGATCGGGCGGCTCGGACGGATGGGCCACGGCGAGCTGAGAGGTATGCCATCATGAGGGGTTAGCTTGTTTACAAAGAGGGTCAAACCAGTGCTGATGTGCTGGTTTGTTGTTTCAGACTGGAGCATTCTGCTGAGCAGGAGGAACCTACAGTCCCTCAGTAAGCGTCTGAAGGAGACCTGTAGGATGTGTGGCATCTCTGCTTCTGACACACCCAGCATCCTCAGCGCTTGTCTGGTTGCCATGGAGCCACAGGGTTCCTTTGTGATCATGCCAGGTAAAAATCAGTTTTGAGTCTGGGGTTTTTATTTAAAAATGTAAAAACCTCTAAATTAGATGCGTTTGCATCTTCAGACTCCGTTTCCACGGGTTCGGTGTTCGGTCGCAGCACCACCCTCAACATGCAGACGTCCCAGCTGAGCACACCTCAGGATACATCCTGCACACACATCCTGGTGTTCCCCACCTCAGCTGTGGTCCAGGTCAACACTAACACCTCCGAGCCCATCGACATCAGCTTCAACCCCATAAACCCCGGTAACGTGCCTTCATCACCAAACCTCCCGGTCATCCTCCAGAGACTCCAAATCCTAAACCGTTCTCTTCTTCCGTAGATGGATCTGACGGGATGGGAATCTTTGACCTTTTTGATAACGACATGGATCACGACATGGTGGATCCAGACCTGATCAACATCCTGCCCAACTCCCCCACAACCTCTCCGGGTCACTCTCCCGGTTCTCACTATCATCAGGGAGGAGATGGAAGCAAGGTGTGTCAAAACAAAATTCATCTTTAGGTTACTTAGAAAAACCATTTTTGTTTATTTATTTAGTGAATTTTTTTCTCATGTTCTGCTTGTTTTTGGTGTTCAGGGTCCGAGCGCCGACCGGATGGAGTCCCACGAGGAGGCTCTGAACATCCTGCAGCAGCCGATGGCTTTGGGTTACTTCATCTCCACCGCCAAGGCTGGTCCACTGCCTGACTGGTTCTGGTCGGCTTGTCCCCAGGCCCAGAACCAGTGTCCGCTCTTCCTCAAGGTAAAAACACTCTTCTGGCCACAGCTCTGTGTGCTTTAAAAAAAAATTATATTAAACTCATAATTTTGGAAATTTGCAGGTGAAGCGTGCCTAAACCTGCTCATTTGGCTCAGTCAGATAATCCTATATTGCGTACACACTGATGATTAAACCTTATTATCATCTTTAAAACACTCTCAGTACTTCGAATCAGTTCACGACGCAGTATCTGTGTTTCCCAGGCCTCTCTGCACCTGCACGTGTCTTCAGTCCAATCAGACGAGCTTCTGCACAGTAAACACTCCCACCCGCTGGACTCTAACCACACCTCCGACGTGCTCAGGTAGAAACCAAGTCCACACTCGGGGAGGGTTATTAGTTGTGCTGTGACATGTTTAACATTTCTGTCTCTGCACTAGATTTGTTCTAGAGCAATACAACGCCCTCTCCTGGCTGACGTGCAACCCTGCGACCCAGGACCGGCGCTCCTGCCTGCCTGTTCACTTCGTGGTGCTCACACAGATTTATAACTTTATCATGAACATGCTCTGAACTACGGGCGGCTTCAAACTGATCGGATCGGAGGATTTACTAAGTCAAACTTGTGGATTTTTTTCTTTCCTTGTGCAATGAAGAATTGCAAACATTCGAAAGGAACGCCATCAGAGCGAATGCGGAGGAAGTCTCCAGCCTCATCCTCCTCCCTGGTGTCTATCGCCCAGCGCTGACTGGAAAGTCCCAAATCAATCAATCAGATGCCAAGAATTCATTTCAGCATTTCGGATGATCACGGGACGTTTCGTAAAAGGAGAATAAATTTGTCTTTTTAATGACTGTAGATTGCAATCTATGAAATTTTATCTTATTGAAATGCCTGCATATATTATTTATTGTAAGTTTTTAAATGTGGAATTTTTAATGCTTAATATCTTTTATATATTACAAATCCTAGGGAGTGTGTACATCTCACTGTAAAGGAAAATCGGATTAAAAAGTGTAACTTTTTCTCCAATTAGATCCCAGAGAGAAAAAACAAAACCGTTCAAGTGGATTTTGCTGTAGATTGCTTTTAGAATCTTATTTTTTCAAAGGGTACAGACCTTTTTATTGCCATGCTGTAAAAAAAATGAAGTAAAAGCTGGCCTGGGCATTTGCGTCCCACCCAACGAGTGGCTGAGACTTACCTCTTTGTCTCTCGCACAGTAACTCAGTGAGCTCTGAGGAGGAATTAAAGGTACATTGTCAGATTATATATTTTATATAACAGATTTAGGTAATTGTGTGTGTATATGTGTACATATACTTGTGTGCCGCTACTGATGGTGCAGCTTCTGTTTTAGGAATAAAGTGCGTCTACCTTACTGTCTGTTTTTGCTGACTGTTCTTTGGCCCAGAGTTAGTTTTGCACTTCCTTAAAGAAGCATCAAGTAAAAAAAAAAAAAAAATAGTAAAAACTGGTCGAATCAGCACAGGAATCTATTGGCTGAAGCTTCAAAAGCTGCTTTCTTTACTTTAATGCCACTATTACCTACTAATTGTAAAATGTGCTGAATTGAATCATATTTGATATTTTACTTTGGTCTTTTAAAGATTATTTAACAGTTTGTATCTTTCACCGTTCTTTATTATGCAAAATATTGTCATCAAACTCCACTTCTAGAAAACTATGACCAAATAAACTTCTCTTTTTAAAATACATGTTGATTATTGTAATTTTCTCATCTGTGCTATTTAGTGTGGCTTTTAGATGATTCAAATAGAACTTCATTCATCCATCCAAGGTTCTTCTGGGAAGTTAAGTTTGCAGCAGATGTGCATCAACTGAAAGAAAAAGGTTTCAGGAAGACGTACGGAAATAAAGTTTAATGAAAATTGATTTAGATTTGGGGGGAAAAAAATGGGGAAAATGAATATATTTTGTGTGGATTTACAGCTGACAATGTAATGGCAAAAGTCACATTTCATCATTTTTGTTAGGTCTATTATTTCTTTTGATTAAACTTTTCATGTTTTACCTGCGTTAAAGCTGTTCTAGCAAATTTACTAAACAAGCTAGATTTTGAGCAAAAATATAGTCAAGGAATGCTCACCCCTCCTCTCAGGTATCTTCCCTGAGATGCTTCTGCCAGAACCAGAAAACCTTGATGCCGGACGAAACGAAGTGGCGCTAAACACCGGTCGCTGTTTTCCATGTTTTCAGTCCCTGGATCAACACTGAACTTTTACAACTGATTCGTCTAAAACATCCATTTTGGCAAAGAGCAAATCCAAGGGTCAGGGTTATATTTATAAGGAACAAATGTACCCAGTCAATCAGAAAAGCTAAATCTGAATATTAGTAATGATTTAATTTAATTTAATAATGTCCAAATGTCTTTTGTTGTCCATGACTTCAAATAGTGTTTTTCTTTATGGGACTCGAGTGTTCTGTTGCTAAATACACACGAGTGCGTAACGAATGCAGGATCCAGGGAAGAGCGGTGGTTCGGCGAGACCGACAACTGGATGGTTATTGGCGGAATGCGACAGAACAACTTAATTAATTTTATTTTCTTTTATCTCACAATATATTTATAGCTACACCAAGTTAGAACATTGTGAAGATGCATGAAATAAGTCCAGTGTCCACTTTAGACTGATATCGCAGGTGTTCAAAGAGTAATGTGGCCAAAATAAATATTTTTTATACAACTATATAATGTTCACCCTTCTTCGTGTTAATGATTTGTAGCCTATTTTCAGAAAGCCTGTCAGTAGATTCTACTTTTATTTGCAAAATTTACAAAAGTTGTGACTGATTTATCCATATTTAATCTCAGAGGAGCCAGTTGAGGTGACTCCGGCATCTGGTCAGGATGCCTCCTGGACGCCTCCCTGGTGATGTTTTCTGGGCACGTCCAACCAGGAGGAGGCCTAAAGGAAGACCCAGGACCCGTTGGAGGGACTGTGTCTCTCACCTGGCCAGGGAACACCTGAAATTTCCCCAGAAGAGCTGGCCCAAGTGCCTGGGGAGAGGGAAGTCTGGACCTCTCAACTTAGGCTACTGCCCCCGCGACCCAACTCTGGATAAGCGGAAGAAAATGGATGGGTGGCAGTAAACTCAAATTTCAGATAGTAACCATCACTCTGGCAACAAGCACAGACAAATTTTGACCCTCTGGACTTTGAAAGGCAGTAAATACAACAGAAGTAGCAAACTGCTGCTCCTTGACTTTACTTTTTGTTAATCATTTAAACGTCACCTCTTGCCAGTCCCCAAGAGGTCACCTTTAGACACACTTCTCACATAAACACACCAACTTGGATATCAGGGAGTTAAATCCTCTAAAATTAGATGTATAAGGATTCAGCTCCCCCGTGTGGTTGCTAATAGGTATGACAACTTAACAACAACTTTACACAAGCAGCAGCAAATTCCCTTTTTTATTTAACTGTAATTGCAGCAATTGAGATGCTCCATTAGAAGAAGAAGAAGACATTTTTACACAAGTAAAAATCACAAGGCGCTTTACAAGAACAATAAAAAATGAAAATTTCAGAAAAAAAAGAAGAAAACTGAATAAGTAATGTGGGAACTCCCAAAATACAGAATTTGCAGAAACCCTGGCTGTGAGGCGTCGGACGCGTTTGGGTAAACTCTGGCTTATCACGGGTCGTGTTTTGTGCACCAGTCGAACCGCGTGGCAGCTTCAACCCTGCCCACGCTAACAGGATTTGAATCGTTGGGAGAATGGAATTAGCTAATCAAGGAGAACATGTCATCCTAAAGCCTCATCCAATCAGACTTAAGTTCTGCTTAATGGGATCCAGCTGAAGGGTAGCCCACTTTGCCTGGGGCCACACAGGACAACTGGACCACAGAATCCCAAAGATGGGTTTCAGTTCCAGGAAACCCAAAAACCTCAGAGCTTCGGTGGAAGTTCACGTTGACCTTCTCTGGCAGAAACTACTGATTTATGTCTTATTTAAAAAAAAACATTCATTTGTGCGGTTCTTTGCAAAAACTGTTGTTTTTCAATAGTTTGACATTTGAAACATGAAAATACTGTAGTTGGTGCATCTTTAAATAAATAAGGAGCAAACGTATAAATGCCATAAACATATTTATTTGTTTTTATTTATTTGTTTTTTGTATAATGTTCTTTGTGTGTGTCTTCCTTTGCTGCCGCCATAAGCTGAATCAGAAAGGTTTAGAGGTCTGATTAGATTAGATTAAGCCATTGGGAGTAGTTAATGGTCTTTCCTGGTGTTGATAAGTAACACCGACTAATTGATGTGAGGCAGAACAGCACCTGGTGGCTTCTGCAGAACCGACGCTTCCGCTCACAACAAAACAAAGCATCAGATGTGCCGGAGTGGCTGGGACTTTAAAACAAGGAAGGACGTTTTTTTTTTCTGTGACCCATCGGTGACTCCGGTAAGACTTTCTTTAGGGCTTCTCACTTTGATCCAGATCCCATAAAATATTAAAATTCACTCAGTGTGCAATTTTATCAAGGTTTTAGGGTTCATGCATGTATTAACTAATGCTTTTTAGTAAAAGAAACTGTTAAATTTTAGTAAATGTACATAAAATATCATGTTTAATTAACATATAAAACAGTTAGGCTTTAACTGTTGCTTTTTACATGTTTGTTTCCCTAAAAAAGTGCAAAACTTGAGATTTAAAGTCTATATTTCAATGTCACCTGATGTTTTTTACAGTCATTTATTTTGCAGATATTTATTATGCATCAAATGTAGACAATCAATGTGCTTTAGTTTCGTTAATCACATGATCTATTCTAAATTTAATAAAAGGGATTGTCACTGAATACCTCAATAGGATTAGCATCTGTAATGCAATTTACTGTAACAAGATACTGTGTGGTTTGTTGGATAAAGTTGCCTCTAAATTCATAACAAATAAAAACAAAACCATCAAACTTATTAGAAAAAAATCCGTGTTTCTCCAGTTTCTTATTTACCCACACAGCAATAATTGAATAAATGTGTCAGAAAACAGAAAATTTGCAGGAAAATATAAAAAACACAAGACTGTTAGATTCTGTTCTGTTTATCATTACAAACTTACAGGTTTATGATTTGGGTGTGTCTGACCACAGTGTTGTCTCCATGGAACTGCCACTAAAAGACACATACAGTCATGGACGTAATTTTGGGGGGGACAGGGGGGACATGTCCCCCCCACTTTTTCCAAAGTCAAGTTTTGACCCCTGCACTTTGTACCATCCAAAAACAATATTACGCTATATTAAATTGACACTGGTTGAGCTCTATGACCAAGCGGAAAGCAACCGTTTGTGTTGAAGCCGGTTTCCCCTTAGAACATATTGTAAAGATACCCCCCCCCCCCCCCCCGTGCCCCCCCCCCACTTCTAAAGTGAAAATTACGTCCATGCATACAGTGAGCCAAAACGTCAGATCCATTTCAGAAATTTAAAAGTTATAGACCCCATCCGCTTTAATCGGGACATTCAGAATATTCTATCAGTTAAACATCACACGTCAGTAAACGAATCTGTTCACAGTTACAACCTAAACCTCCACAATATTCTTGAATCACATGCACCAATAAAAACAAGGTCAGTTACATTCTCCAGGTCAGCCCCGTGGTATGCAACAGAACTACGCAAAATGAAAACAAATGGCCGTGCCCTGGAGCGTCTGTTTACCTCCAAGGGGGTTGCTTGTTCATAAACTGGCCTACCGGGACCATCAAAGAACATACTCTAGAGCACTCACCGCCGCGAGGTCAAAATATTTTTCACAGAAATTCGTAAACAGTGCTGGAAATTCAAAGCAGCTATTCTACACCATAAATTCACTGCTAAACCCTCCTACAAATCCACATACTGACACTCGCGTAGATAAATGCAATAGGTTCATGGACCTTTTTTTTACCAACAAGGTGGCATCAATCCGATCCTCCATCAGTCGTACAGTTCTGCATCCGTTTGACACCACCCTTCCACATACATTAAATACCTTTTCTGATTTCTCAGCAGCCACCCAGACCGAAGTGGAGAAAACAATAAAAAGCGTGAATACCTCAACCTGCCCCCTTGACCCTCTCCCGACACAACTTTTAAAATCAAATATTACAGTCGTCAGTCCATTAATCACTACAATTATAAACCAGTCATTTCATTCAGGTCAGGTTCCCTCAGCCCTGCAAACTGCAATGATTCGTCCCCGTCTGAAAAAGCCCTCTCTAAACGCTGCTATCTTGTCCCATTACAGACCCATCTCTAACATACCATTCTTAGCTAAAATACTGGAAAAAACTGTAGCACACCAACTCCACAATCATCTCAATACTCATAATCTGTATGAAAAATTCCAGTCCGGTTTCCGTTCAGCCCACAGCACAGAAACTGTCCTGGTCAATGTTATGAATGATTTACTTCTAACTGCGGATCAGGGCTCACCATCTCTTCTCCTCCTACTGGATCTGTCAGCGGCATTTGACACTGTGGACCATACCATCTTACTAAATCGACTCCAGACTGTGGTTGGCCTTTCGGGAACCACACTACATTGGTTCCAGGAGTACCTTACGGGCAGAACGGAATTTGTAGCTTTAGGACAATGTCAGTCATCCCCCCACACTGTAAATTGTGGAGTACCACAGGGGTCAGTTCTTGGGCCAACCCTTTTCTCCATCTACATGCTTCCACTTGGACAAATTTTCCAAAAATACAAAATATCGTTTCACTGTTATGCAGACGACATGAAAATGGACTCCACTACACCTAAAAGTCTTCCATCTGTACTTCAGGTCTGCCTGGAGGAGATGAGGGCATGGATGGCCGCAAATGTTCTTCAACTAAACAGTAATAAAACTGAAGCTATCATTATCGGCACTCCACATCAAACACAGTCTCTCTCCCTTAGCAGTATTTCCATTTTCAGTCATGACATTGCCCTTTCCTCTACTGTAACAAATCTTGGTATCAGACTAGATTCAAATCTTACATTTGACACATACATCCGCCACCTCTGCAAGGTCTCCTTTCTCCACCTCAAAAACATGGCTGAACTCCGTCCCTCTCTTTCCCAGCCAGATGCAGAGAAATTGGTCCATGCATTTATCTCCTCCAGGTTGGACTATTGCAATGTCCTCCTCGTTGCCCCCCCCCCCCCCGGCAAGAGCATACAAAAGCTCCAGCACATCCAGAACTCAGCTGCCCGGGTCCTGATGAGGAGACGCAAATACGATCAAATCACTCCAGCTCTGAGATCACTTCATTGGCTGCCCATCCGATATCGAGTTCAGTACAAAATTGGCCTTCTTACTCACCAGTGCATCCATGGAACTGCTCCTGCCTATCTGAGAGAACTTCTCATCCCACACACTGCCACGAGAACCCTCCTATCTACCACCTCTTCACACCGCCTGCACCAACCACTGACTAAACTCCCCACTATGGGAGACAGGTCCTTCAAGGCAGTGGCCCCTCAATTTTGGAATTCTCTCCCAGAGTTTCTAAGGGCCACACAATCTGTGGAGCTTTTCAAAAAAGGCCTCAAGACCTTTTTGTTTAATAAGGCTTTCTAGTGCACAACGACCTATTGAGTGTTTTACTTTATTGTGTTGTTTTTTACTTATTGTTTGTATCTACTGTAATGACTTTTTAGTGGGTTTTATCTACTTCTGGGGACTGTTTTTATTTTTCATACTTGATAGTATCCTGAAATTTTAACTGTGTTTTTAACTAGCTGTGTACCTTATAACTGTCCCCTATACTCTGTAGCACTTTGAGATTACTTCTGTAATGTAAAGCGCATTATAAATAAAATGTATTATTATTATTATTTATTTAGCGCCAAATCACAAGAGTGACTTCAAAAAGTTAATATTCCAAAAGTGTCACAGTGTTTACGGCAATCCCCACTGAGCAAGCATGTAGTGCCAGTGGAGAAGAAAACTCCCCTTTAAAGGGATACTATGCAACTTTTTCATATTTTTATGTTTTTTCTCAAGCCAGTATGCTAAAATGTCCCTTCACAGGTTTAATGAAATGTCACTCAGACCCCCGCCGCACTTGCAACTTCAGTAGTGTTATTGCCCCCCCCCCCCCCCCCCCCCCCCCCCCCCCGCGCTGGTGGAGGGAGCTGCAGTGGATCTGAGATGGGGCTTCCAGCACGTTTCCTTCATGTTTTAGGTCATGATGAACACAGCTGATTTGTTTAATTTAGTGATGAATCATTTCTGTAGACACTAATGAAGGCTGAGGAAACCTTTCAGCAGTTTGATGAGGTATTTTAGGTGTTAAAAAGACAAATGCACGGTGAGGAGATAAGATTCACTTTTGATTTGACCACAGATAATTAAGAACTGACACTAGGGGGTGCTAAAAGCAAGCAATACTGCTTAGTCACAGGGGTATTCAATTTTTATCCTGGAGGTCCGGTGTCCAGCAATATTTAATTTAACTCTGTTTCACACCTAATTCCAATCAGCGGATGATTAACAGGCTTCTGCAGAGCCTGATGAGTTGCTGCAGGTGATTCAACCACTGAATCAAGCATGTTGGAGCAGAGAAACAACTAAAACGTTCTGGACACCAGCCCTCCAGGATTGAATACCCTTGCTTTAACATGAAGAAACCTTCAACGGGAGCTGGCTTGAGGAAAAAATAGACTTGGAGCCCACCCAGCTTTATTTATTTACTTATTTGTGTCTTTTGTTTGTCTGCAGCCCATCATGCAGCCTTATGAACAAACACAGAGAACCTACCGAGGTCCTGTCAAGGCTTTTCACAGAACCACTCAGAAAACGTCCCGATCAGCTGTGAGTTCCTCTGAATCACGCCTAAACCTGTTTAGACCCTCTTTTAACTTGGTAGCCTAAATGCTGAAATAACATGTTAATGCAGGTAGTTTTAAAAAAATACAGAACTATATCATTCATCTTCTTTGGTTTAAATTAATGTAATTGATCATTTTTTATAGACGCATAGACCATTTGGGGCACTGCATGTCTGTATTGCATGGAGGATTTACTACCACAAACTGAAGGTTTGATTAAATGCATTTTTGTTTTATTATAATTTTAGAATTGTCCTGCTTGTTTCATTGGAATAATAAATTCATTCACATATTTATTTGTTATTTGACAAGCAATTTCTATTAATAAAGTAATAATTCGAATAATTTTAAGTATTAAGGTTGCATTGAATGAAATTAGTAAAGGATATTAATAATAATTATTATTATTATTTGTCGTAGTATTAGTAGTCGTAGTAGTGCTGCTGTTTAAAATGAGCATGAATCAAAGTAACACATTCATGCACTGTAAACACTGTTTCATCTTACTAAACAAATTTAAGCTAAAATTTTACCCAAAATTTTTTTTTAAAGTTTGGCCAGCTAACTAGTTTTTTTGAGTTTAGTGTTAATGAGTTTTTTTTCTGCTACGCTAAAAACTTTTTCTTAGCTACCCGGTATTACCCCAGCAAAAAGTATTGAGGCAACATTTTTTTGAAGTTGGCCTACAAATAAAATCTTTCTGTTATTTTTAAAATACATGAATAAAAACTTGTATCATAAAGTTTGTACTTTTTTTTTAAATCGCCTATAAAAAATTTATACCGTATATATATTATTTTAAAGTCTACTCTGATTTGTCTGATCTAACTAGGCTCCGCCCACCTCTTCACATCACTTTGTTTTGTTTTTTTTAGCTCTCTGTAAATTGTGTTTCAATGACTTTGGGACTAATTTCACAGAATATGCACCACAAACCAAACAGTCAGCTGCTACCGGAGTTTCCTCCCACATGTGATCCAGAAGAATGGCTCCATCCTACCTGCAGACTCCCATCTTCAGGTTAGTTTTGGCTTCAAACGGCGTTTAAAACATGTTTAATATTTTAAATCATGTTTTCTCCCGTTTAGGTTCCTCAGACAGGAATGAAACTGAAACAGCACCAAATCTGAAGCACAGCAGAAGTTATCTCCCAGACCTTCACCCTTCATCCCGGGATCCAAACCTGAATCCTGAGCTGGACAGAAGATCCAGGAAGAGACCGTTAGACTGTGACAGATTCAGGGATATGAAGAGAGCGAAGAACCAGTTTGATTCTGCTCCAACCGCACCTCAGCCTTCCTCCTACAGAGTACAAACCCAACAAATGAGTTTCAGTGGTTCATGTTTCTGCAGTGGCTGCAGGTTCCACCCAGGGCCTGACTTACATCCCTACCAGAGTGCATTATGGGAGCAGGTGTGGAAGGACAGAGTGGATTTCTATTTAAGGCAAAAAGTCCTGAAAGATCATTTCTGCAACACGTTTAAGGATTTCTTTACGTCATCTCGTAGTTTTCCTCTCGCTGTGAGGCAGGAGACGCTCCCAGGGCTGTTATCTTCACAGGAGATGACATCATCATCATCATCATCATCATCATCCTGGCATTTTGGCAACAGGAGTCTACTTGATAAAAGGCAAAAGGCAGAAACTCCCTTCAAAGCAATCACTTATTTATAAGCTGTTTCAAATCTGCACACTTTTATTCCCGTTACATATTTATCTGTAAGGATAAAAACTTCAGGATTAGGAAAAGATTTGAGATTCATCATTCCGATTTTAAGGGATCAGAATCAGATTCCTGTACAGCCGGGATCCACCGAAGTCACACGATTCATCACCACAATCCTTTTTTCTGAATTTCTTACAAGTTGACTTCATTTTGAGTTCATGAATCTGCACGATCAGCTGATCTCTTTTAATCCTTTAAATGTATTCAAAAACACACACGAGTGTTTTTTTAAACGTGTATCATTTAAGAAATCTGCTGATTTGTTTAATCTTGTGGTTGAAATCTAAAGTGAAAACAATCAAATAAACAACAGACGCAAATATATTTTTTAATGATTTAAAATGTATAACCATAAAACTAAAGAGCACAAAATAAAAGTCCTGCTAAGCCAGCGTTTAAGAATAGGAACCAAACGTGGTGCAACTGTCCCGTGGCGGTAAAGTCGTTTGAAATTCAGAAATGTAATCATGTAACATGTTTCTGCTGACAGCTCCGCTCTAAAACATCAAACTACGTCCATGCCGAGGCCCCTGGCGACCTCCGTCAGAGCCTGAACGGCCCCGGAGGTCCCCTCACCATCACAGTCCTCCCGACTCTGTCCTCCAGCCTCGTCCACCGTGTGAGGGACGGTCCTCATCCTGCAGTAGACCGGAGAGTCCCTGCCTCTGGGGCTGTGCTGGGACGACATGTCCTCCCCTCCAGAGAGGTCAGAGGAGTCTGAGGAGGAGGAGCTGGAGGACGGCGAGGAGGATCCGGTGGTGGACGGCGTGGCGGCCGCCCTCTTGCTCCGGCTGCTGGGTCTCTGATTGTGTCTGAGTTTCTGCGGCTTCTTGGCCATGTTCTTCATGATCTCCTTTGTCACCTCGACGGTCTCAAAACGCACCATGTTGACTTTCAGGAAACCGTCGACGTCCTTCTTGTATCTAGGAAATCACAGCATGACGGTCATCTGCACAGAACCGAAAAACTAAAATGAAGCGGCGCCCACCTGAAGCGAGAGTGTCCAGACGGCCATTTCAGCTCGTGCTTCTTACGGAGGTGAAGCGTGAGGGTGTAGCACCAGGAGAAGACCTTATCGCAGATGTGACATTTATATTTGGACATTCCCCCGACCTGTCGGTTAAAAAACGAGGATCGATAACAAAACTTCACTCCTGTAATCGTTTGTTGCTGCTAACGAACCTCGTGAGCCCTCTTGAAGTGGTGGCTCATGGTTTGGAAGGTGTGACAGGAATAATCGCATCCCTCCACCGTGCAGTAATACACGGTGCCCTCGTTGTGGACGTCCGTGTGCTTCTGGAGATCCCGCTGGTTCTTAAATCTGCAATAATTCATAAAGCTGTGAACAAATATTAGTTTTACAAACAGATAAACATTTGTTCCACTGAACTAGTGTAACAAGAGTTAATTGAAGTGGAAATATTAAAAACCGTAATAAAATACGATCCTCGGTTAAGAACCTTGAAACTGAATTTTGAATTTCATCTGTTGCTGAACTTTGTTTCTTGGTGGTAAAATTGCACATAAATAACCTTTTATCACAGAAGTCACATGGAAAGGGTCGCTCATCACAGTGGCGAAACCTGATGTGGATCTTCAGAGCTGCCAGAGTGGTGCAGGTCATGTCACAGAAGGGACACTTCACCTGATTCACTGGAGATAACAGAGGTGGTGGAGGGGGAAGAGAATATTTAGACACGCAGATACGTAACATGGATTATATTTATGATGCTAGGTCAAGCTGCTCTTGCTTTGATGTAGAAACTCTCTGTTTTAGTAAATTACTGCACCGAAACCTCTTTTAGAAGGATTTCGTCCAAAACTAAATTTGCAGTTTTTAAAGGTGCATGAAGTAAGACTGACATCTTGTGGTCAACTTTAGGTACTGCAGATCAAAACACGAGTCAACCGTCAGCCCCATTCCTTCGTCAGTTTCATGGCGGTTATCAGTTATGGCTCAGTGCCAAAAGATTCTAGTTATAAGACATGAATAAATAAAATTGATAAAATATCAAGCCTATGCTGTCGAGAGCCCACCTGGAGCGGGTACTGCATGCCTTTGTTATTTCTAGGCTTGACTACTGCAGCTCTGTCTATGCAGGGTTGTGTCAGTCAACACTGCGTCGCCTACAGGTTGTGCAGAACAGCGCCGCCAGGTTCCTAACTGGGACCAGGAAACGGGACCACATCAGTCCGGTTCTGGCCTCTCTGCACTGGCTTCCGATTGCTATCGCTCACAATTCAAAATCCTCGTCTTTGTTTATCATTTCTTCCAGGGTGGTGGTCCCCCCTATCTGGCCACACTCCTGAAGAGACACTCCCCATCACGTGCTCTGCGCTCCTCTGACCAAGGCCTGCTCGCTGTCCCTCGGTCTAGGTGTCGTACCCGTGGGGACCGGGCTTTCTCAGTCCTAGCACCGTCACTCTGGAACCAGTTGCCACCCTCAGTCAGGCTGTCCCCATCTCTGCCAGTCTTTAAGAGTCGCCTAAAAACCCACCTCCTCCGCTTGGCGTTCCCTGAACATGTTTGATTTTGGCCCTCTTTTATGTTGAATTTATTTCACAGTTTTCATTGGTTCACTCTATCCATTGTTTTACACATTTGTCCTGTACCAGAATGTTTCACCTATTTTGTAATTTGAATTGCTTTTATTTTTGATTTATTCAATATATTTACCTTCTACTGTACCATGTTCAGCGCCTTGGGCTTCCTGACAGGGTTGCGGAAGGCGCTTTATAAAGCTTTGATTGATTGATTGATTGATTGATAAGTACATAAATATGTTTCACTGTAACATTGAGTTGTTGGTAACTATTTGTTTGTAATTCACCGTTAGCATCGTAGCTCAACGCTAGCCTCTAGTATTCCAAAGGGTTCCCTGGTTTCTTGAAGGCTTCTCATGCTAGGAGCTTTGTCAGTTCTGGTAAAAGGTAAAATCGAGTTTATAAACTGTAGCTCCCTTTTGTTTCCTAACGACATGAAACTACCTATGAATACCCCTCCTTCCTACCACCGAGCAGTTGCTGGTGTCGTTAGGTTCCACTGTGTTAGAATGGTTGTTTTGATTAGATGCACGAGGGTGTGATTTAGACTCAAACTGTTTGGGAGTTAGGTTTAGACTGCACTTTAGTGCTAGAAAGGTGACACCTGAGGCCTCCTCCTCTGTTTATTATAGATTTCCCGTTGGACACGAGCAAAAAAAATTCTTGTTTCTGGCCCGCTCCTTTTACTGGCTTCCATCGTGCCTTTCCACCCTGCTGAAGTTTACCCTGAAGTGTCAAATTCCAAATGACAGCGCAGACTTGGCAACCCCAGGGGTCAAAAAATGATTGGTTCAAGAACCAGGAAGCATGGAGGTGGGTCCGATTGTAAACAAATACCATGTCCTTCTCTCTTCAGACTCTTCATAAGGAGTAAAACTGACAACCCTCCAGCTGATGACAAGGAATCCGTTTCAATCTAACCTTCTTTCCAACACAGTTGAGACATTAGACTGTTTTGTGATTATTTCACTATAAAATTCTTACTTAGTGTACCTTTAAATATAAAACATGTTTCCCATTTCTATGTACTTGAACTCACAGTTTAGGTCCGAACCCTTATATTAAGTGTTATAGCTAATAATTAAACTCTTTCATTAATCCAAATTAAACCCAAAACTAGGGCTGCAACTAACGATTATTTTCATAATCGATTAATCTGTCGATTATTTTTTCGATTAATCGATTAATCGGTTTGTTATTGTTTAGCTATTTAACCTATACAAGTGATGGATGCATTTCAGTTAAGAACAAAAAAACATAAGAGAATTGTGCAGTTGACTGCAATCTATTTTATTGCACATGAACACAGTCAGCAGTATAAAATGAGCTAAACAGTGCAAAATATCAGTCCAGAATAATTTTTAGCATTAGCTGGAAGCCTGCTCCTTCCACCATGGATAGTGGCCTCATGTCTTTTACCAGCATGTTTAGAATAGAGTTTGTAAGTGGTATGAATTGCTGGGGGGTGAGTGTCTTCTTCCCCATGTAGTTGTCCATCGTTGCTTGTTTTTTTCTGCATAAGAAACACAAATAGACTGAAATAAGTACACATATAAAATAAAGCAGCACACACACTACAACACTAAATCAATATTATATTATTTGAATTAATTAACAATATACAGTGATCATTTATTTTGAGGGTTACGTTCTACAAAATAGCCCGCAACAGGAGATATTCAGAAAAAAAGTAAAACATTTTTACTATTAAAAAGCTCTAAGTAAGAAGCTCATGAGGTTTTTACTTTGAGTCGGGAGTGTTTAAATTAGCCAGAGAAATGTGAAAAATGTTTATTTTGTGTAATACTGTTTAAGAAACATGATAAAAATGTGTTGTGAGGCGTTTTACAGCGTTAGATAGTAAAACAGCCTTTTAATAGTAAAAAAATGACTTTTTCTGAATTTCTCCTGTATTTAAAAATTGAAAGTGTACAACTATGTCGCGTTATATTCACCTGGACACAGCTTGTCTGTATATTTTTCTCCGCGGAGTTGTCCTTTTTTGAATGAGGAACATAGTTATGGGTTTGTGCCGTTTTTCTCTTAACGAGAACATTCTTATAAACAGACGTGCTAAATTTGGCAAGCGCATGATACACAACACGGAGGAGATTCACGATTGCATCTAGTCAATCAGAAGTAGAACACCGCAGACTGACGCGGCAAAAAAACATGTTTAACATCCACTATAACGAACTCAGCTAAAACACTAAGTCCAGCTTGTTTATTTTCTGTTACTTACCGGGCTGGCTCTTCCAAATGACGGCTCACTTGACCGCGGTGCTCTTCCTCTGCTGCATCAGCCCCCACATGCTTTCGTCTCAAATGTGCTCCCATACTCGTGAGGTTTTTGTCCGGGGTTTCTCTTCAGTTTTGTCGCTTCTATTTTTCTTCCGTATTTCCTCTTGTTCCGCCATCTCTCACAGCAAGATGAGCGTCAGTAACGTGATACGTCATGAAAACCGAGGGCACCCATTGGCTCATTTCTTCTTCTACGGCTCCACTGGTAGATCAGTGGCTCATTACTGCCACACACTGGCGGCAAATTTAACAGCTTGTAACCGATGTCAGATTGTGGTAAAAAATAGACTTTATGCGGTAAAATATGATTATTAAACAACTAATCGATGACTAAAAAAGTTGTTAACTATTTTAATAATCGATTATAATCGATTAAATCGATTAGTTGTTTCAGCTCTACCCAAAACTATTGTTACCGTGCTGACGAACGTGATCCCTCAAAAGCCTCTCGGTGGGAAATGCTTTTCCACAATGTTCACACACTAGCGACTCTGTTAAAAAAAAAGAAGAAACAATAACATGATGCAATGCACGTAAAACATCAGAATTCACACAAATGAACCTCGCAGAGTCTCACCGATGGGTTCAGCCTGCCTGAGGTGGTGGTCAAACAGCTTCGTGTTGCTGGAGAACATGCAGCCACAGGTGGGACAGGCTACAATACGCTCCTGAGTGTGGCTTCGCATGTGCTCTCTCAACCGGTACCTGATCTTGAAGAAGGCGTCGCAGCCTGGGATGGAAACAGGAAGAACCGTGAAAAGAGAGCGGGGACAAGTGAAGGAAATCTCCTCGTGCTGAATCGTACCCGCCCAGCTGCAGAGGAGCGCCTGCTGCTGGGAAAGAGACTGCTGTTCAGCATTCTCTACGTGATTGTCCACGTGGCGGTAGAACCACTCAGGATTGTTAAATGTACTCTGGAGACGGAAAGAAAACAGCAGTGTTAATGATTATTTAATTAACAATATTACTTTAAATCAAATTGTGCTTACGTCACAATGTTCCCACTGGCAGACAAATTCATCTGATCCCTCGGGCAACAGGTTGTTGCTGTGCACGCCCAGGTTGCAGCTCGGTAGGTCAGGGCGAGACTTGAGCAGCTGCGACCCAACAAACTTGAGCTTACTGTGGTAGTTGTGGAAATATGCATGCACCTCCAGCTCTGCAGGGCTGCCCATGGAGAGGAACTCACATCCGTCCCACAGACAAGCAAACTCATCTGAACAAACAAGACAAAATGTTGAAACTTAAGTTTGAAAGGTGTAAAAAAAAAAAAAAAAGGACACGGGTGTGTCCTCCTCTCTCACCCAGCTCCTCCAGGGCATCTTTGTCTCCAAGGTAGTCGTTCAGATGATGAGACATATGTTCACTTAGCTCCTCCATGCTGTGTCCCTCAAAGCTGCAGGAGTCCCAGGCACAAACCACCTCAAAGTTCTCCCGTCTTTTTGTCGACGTCATGGTGTGGCGCGTGCTCAGCTGTAAACTTTACACATGGACTTGTTTTACCAATTAACTAAAAGTTAGTAGGTGATGTCTTTACGTTGCAGTTACTTTATGCTAAAATGTGATGAGGCCATAACAAATGCTAGCCGTTTGTTATACGTGAAAATGTAGATAAAATTATTTTGTGTCCCAACAGCCTCGCCACCGCCAAGATGACATCATTCGAGCTCTAGTTTGTCAGAACTTTCTCTAGATACACTTCCGACATCACACACAGAAACATACGAACACCGTGACGTTGTTTGTTGTAAATGATTTCTTTAAAAAAGCCGAGCAGCGTTTTACCTCTTAGCTATTTCTTTTTCTTCTTCCCTCCTCCAAGCTTGTCTGAGTTTGTTTACTTCCTGTGTAACCGGAAATGGCTGCTGCGTGGCGGCGCTGCGGTTCTACGGCTTCATCTTTCCGCTGATGGCTCTCTGTCATTTCCTCTTTTACTTGTTCAACAGATGACATGTTTCAACTTTGTAATTTTTAAAAATAATTTAAATTTATTCTAGCTGGAGATGAAGACATCAAAGACATCTAGTGGAGATGTTTCATTTTTGACAAGCAGCGACTTATCTCGAAACTTTGATCTTTGGCTTCTGTTTCTGGTGGAACTATTGCCCTCTTGTGGTTATTTGTAAAACTACAACGTGCACAGACTTTTCCACCTCCTGCCTGGTTTAGGTTTAAACCGTAAATGTCAATGGTTTAAACACAATATTTTTAGGTCAAGTTTACGTGCGATAGTGTATCTCTGATCTAATTTGTATCCATAATACCACACTTTTTAAATATTACATTATCCCTGGAAACGTTAGAAAAAACTTAGAATTTATATACCTTATAATATTTTAGTATTCATTATATGAATTCAAATTATTTGGGTTTATGAAGAAGGAGTTGTGGGTCTCCGGAGGCAGCAGACAGGTACCGGATAGCCAAGCGGAGTGCAGCAGTGGCAGTTGCCGAGGCTAAATCTCGGGCGTGGGAGGAGTTTGGTGAGGCCATGGAGAAAGACTATCGATCGGCTCCAAAGAGGTTCTGGCAAACTGTCCGGCGCCTCAGGAGAGGAAGGCAGCAACTCGCGCACACTGTTTACAGTGAGGATGGGGAGCTGCTGACGTCAACTGAGGCTATAGTTGGACAGTGGAAGGAATACTTTGAGGAGCTCCTCAATCCCACCAATGCGCATTCCGAGGAGGAACCAGAGCTGGGAGGCCTGGGGATGGACTGTCCGATCTCGGGGGCAGAAGTTGCTGAGGTAGTCAAACAACTACACAGCGGCGGAGCCCCGGGGGCGGATGAGGTTCGTCCTGGGTATCTCAAGGCTATGGATGTTGTAGGGCTGTCATGGTTGACACGTCTCTGCAACATTGCGTGGTCATCGGGGGCAGTTCCTAGGGAGTGGCAGACCGGGGTGGTGGTCCCCATCTTTAAGAAGGGTGACCTGAGGGTGTGTTCCAACTATAGGGGGATCACACTCCTCAGCCTCCCTGGAAAGGTCTACTCCAAGGTACTGGAGAGGAGGGTCCGATCGATAGTTGAATCTCAGATAGAGGAGGAGCAATGTGGTTTTCGTCCTGGCCGTGGAACTGTGGACCAGCTCTATACCCTTGCAAGGGTGATGGAGGGGGCATGGGAGTTTGCCCAACCAATCCACATGTGCTTTGTGGATTTGGAGAAGGCTTTTGACCGTGTCCCCAGGGGCACCCTGTGGGGGACGCTCCAGGAGTATGGGGTGGGTGGCTTTCTGTTAAGGGCCATTCAGTCCCTTTACCAGAGGAGCGTGAGTTTGGTCCGCATAGCCGGTAGTAAGTCGGACCTGTTCCCAGTGAGGGTTGGACTCCGCCAGGGCTGCCCTTTGTCACCGGTTCTGTTCATCACTTTTATGGACAGAATTTCTAGACGCAGCCGTGGTGTGGAGTGTGTCGAGTTTGGTGGCAGGAGAATCTCGTCTCTGCTTTTTGCGGATGATGTGGTCCTCCTAGCTTCACCCAGCTCTGACCTTCAGCTCTTGCTGGGTAGGTTCGCGGCCGAATGTGAAGCGGCTGGGATGAGGATCAGCACCTCCAAATCTGAGACCATGGTTCTCGACCGGAAAAGGGTGGCTTGCCACCTCCGGATCGGGGGAGAGGTCCTACCTCAAGTGGAGGAGTTTAAGTATCTCTGGGTCTTGTTCACGAGTGAGGGTAGGAGGGATCGGGAGATTGACAGGCGGATTGGTTCGGCGTCTGCAGTGATGCGGACGCTGAGCCGATCTGTCGTGGGGAAGAGGGAGCTGAGCCAGAAAGCCAGGCTCTCGATCTACCGGTCGATCTACCTCCCAATCCTCACCTATGGTCATGAGCTTTGGGTAATGACCGAAAGAACAAGATCACGGATACAAGCGGCCGAAATGAGTTCCCTCCGTAGGGTGGCCGGGCTCAGCCTCAGAGATAGGGTGAGGAGCTCGGACATTCGGGAGGGACTCGGAGTAGAACCGCTGCTCCTCCGGATCGAAAGGAGCCAGTTGAGGTGGTTTGGGCATCTGGTCAGGATGCCTCCTGGACGCCTCCCCGGGGAGGTGTTTCGGGCATGTCCTGCCGGCAGAAGGCCCCCGGGTCGACCCAGGACACGTTGGAGAGGTTACATCTCCAATCTGGTCCGGGAACGCCTTGGGGTCCTGCCGGAGGAGCTGGTGGACAAGGCCGGGGAGAGGACGGCCTGGAGCTCCCTAGTTGGGATGCTGCCCCCGCGACCCGGACCCGGATAAGCGGAGGAAGACGAAGACGAAGACGAGTTGATCATATAAAATGATCTAGGTATGACACTAAATAATAATGGCAAACAATAATAAGTATTAATAAAAGAAAAAATATATACACACACTACATGCAAAATATATTTAATATTAAATTCACCAATACTCGATTACTTCCAGAGGAAAATTACATTAAATCACAGTCAATGCAAGTTAATTTTAAATCAAATACAAGAAAATTAACAGAGTTCAAATTTAGTTATCCCATATATATGTAAATTATTTCTTTGACAGTGAAAATTAGTTAATTCTGAGGCATTGTTAAACAAAAGTTTGTTTTATCATTATTTGTTTTTCATTATCTGCATTATTTTTGTTTGTTTTTTCAATAAAACTGGAACCAAATGCTGAAAAATTAGAGTTAAGAGACTTATATTTAATATGAATACATAAATACATGAAATAAATAATTATTGAAGGAGTGGATTTTAAGCAACCACCTAACTAAGAAAACCCAGAAATTAGAAATAAGGGATGATGAAATTCACATGGTAAATGAGAATAAACCTGTTAAGAGAAAGGAAGTCAAATGAAATACACATTTTAAAAATAAGACCAAGAGAACTGAAAGTATGTAAGAACTGGGGTATATTTATTTTATGTATGATCATTAGTTAAAATGACCAGCCTTCTCCACAGATTAAGGTCCAAAAAGGCGCTATTGTGTTGTTTTATTTCACTATTGTCAATTTTTGTATATTCTTGTCCTGTCTATTGACCATGCATGTAAACAATCGGATAATTCCACATAAACGACTTTGTGATGTGAAACTGGGGATGCAATTCCTAAATGTTCCTCCCATAAGTCATCTAATGTCATCTGAAACAGGTTGCATCTCCTGTGACTCCAAAAACAACAACAAAGATTATCTGCTTAGAAAACTGATAAAGAATCCTGGCATTCGAGGGCTTCCATACACCATGTTTCAGGTATTTCCCTGCTCCGACCACTTGAAACGACTGAATGGGTGATCAACAGGCTTCTGGAGCACTTGATGGCTCAACAAATAGATAATCCAGCTAGAAAAACAAGTGCGTTGTTGCAGAGAAGCATCTATATACACACACGGCTGTTTCACTGTATTTCCTCTCTTCTACATGCAGGAATTTTCTGTTCATTAAAAACGGTATTTTAATGTCTTCAGATGTGAACTGAGTATACAAACAAATAAGGTTTTAATAACAACAAAGATCACCCTTTTAGTAGGATGACTGGTAGCTAAACTAAGATGAGGCCCAAACCAGGCAGACATTCGTCCTCGCCGGGCTCTTATTTAATATTTCATAGTGCTCTGCAAACACAAGAGCCCATAATCACTGAATTATTCATGCAGATTTCTGTCTGGTTGACTGGTTGACTGATTCACAAAAAATTAAAACCAGAGCAGAAAAAATGTGACAAAATGTAGTTTTTTTTTTACTTTTGTCCACTTCTCCATCCATCTATACCCATTTTAATCCTCTTCTCTGCAGCTCAGGTTACAGATGCAGCAGATCCAGGAGCAAACCCAGACATCCATCTCCATGGCGACACTCTCCAGCTCCTCCTGATGGATCCCAAGTCAGAGAGGATTCCTCTAAAACCTGCATAATCTGGGTAATTTTGACCAAATCTTTGAGATTACAGCACCAGGAAAGCAGGAAGCTGAAACCAGATGAGCTGCTTTGTTTTAACAAATTAAATGTGTGAAACGCTGTTGTGAAAACTACACAAACACGGGAGTTTGTTGCATTTTTTTAATCAGTTCATTCAGGGCAAGCTGGAAATACAAGCAGGACATCACAACACATCTGCAGCAGGATGACGTCATGGCGTCATCTCCTCCCTCTGATCCGAGGCCAAACACGCACGTCCAAACCAGACAGCACAGCCGATGAGATATAGCACCAAGATGTTGGAGTGTAGAGCAGCACTGACGAGGTCAGACACCGGCACCAGAACCTGGGGGCTCGGATGCGCCCCTCGCTGAAGCCGCTGACGAGACTCGTGGCGGATAACAACCTGAAAGGGAAGGCTGGGCTGACATTTCAGCACGTGATTTCAGACAGCAGCGTTTTGAATTAATTTAGTCCTGGCCTTTTTCTTTGTCCTTAAAGAGCAAGTCACGCCAAATCAACATTTTTTTTGCTGATAAACTATATAAATGAGTGTCTGATCGTGTTGTGGACAAATGTAGTCAATAATTCGGCATTTTAGTTCATCTTAGTTAAATTTTAAATATTCTGCCTAAAGCTGTCAGCGATGCACCGTCGTCAGGTAAAAACTCAGCACTGCATTTGAATTTAAATCTGCCATCGCTATTGGCTAAGAGGCACACTATGATGCTAGATGGTACATTATGATGTCACAATGTCGTGAGTGTGTGTATTTGTTAGCGGCTCCACCCTCTCGGTCTGCTAGGCAACAGCATTTGTTGCATTTTTCAAACGGGAAGTGGGAGTTGAGTAAGAATCTGGTAGGGGGTGACTTGCTCTTTAAACACCTGGAGAAGATTAGTCAGCGAATCACCTTTTTTTCCTATAATTTCACTACGATGTCACAAAACTGCTGTAGTTATGTTGAAATTCCAGAGGATCTCGTTTCATTTGAGAGAGCCGTTTTTCTGTCATTTTTACAGCTTTAACAGTCACCCGATTATGATTTTATTCTGAGTGTAGCTTCTGGTGTGATTGCTACCTATTTCTACTCATGCATTATATCTGAAAATGTCTTTTTCCTATAAATTTGCCTTTGATGCTGCAAATTTACAAGCTAGAATGTGACTGCAGAGTGCAGGCTGCTGTATGCTGCTACTTAACCAATAAAAATAAATAAAAAGAAGGAGAGCAGCATCTTGCATGCAAGCAGTGGAAATTACATTATAGTTGGTTTGGTTTCTTAGCAACCAATCTGATTAAACCAGATATCATCCAGAACAATGGAATGAAACGAGAACCGTACAGCGGAGGCACTGGAAATTAAGAAATCGGAAAACAGAGTTTGACCTTTCCCTAGATCACTCGTGTGGTTCGGTCTCAGAAAACAAAAAGCTTTAGGTCCTTTAACTGATTTATATTAAACCTGATCTCAGTCCATTCAACGGTTTAAAAAAAACGTTTCACACACATGCATCAATAACGTGCAAAAGTCTCAAGCCATCCCCTTGTATTACTTTATAGTTCAGAGAAGCTGGATTTTCTTGTAATTTTAATAAAAGTGGTCGTAATCAGTCAAAGTTACTCAAGAGAACGTTTTCATATTAATTCAGATGTTCTCCTTTATATCAGGGAAAGTTTTCTCATCAAACAACTTAAAGGTCACATTAAAAGTGTAAAAAAAATGGATTTCTTTAAAAAAAAGTTTCATTCCAACGCATGGACCAAAACGGTGTGAAACAGCAAAGGTCAAAGAGAAACTTTCAGGAATGTTGAACTAATGATCGTCACCACTTTGAAGGATTACAAGAAAGTCTGGCTTATTTTGAGGAAAATATAAAATAGCTAAAGCAGCGGGCGCCATCTAGAGGCAGAACAAATGCATTGCACCTTAAGTCCATCCCTCTACTTCTGTGATTACAGCTAGAAGCAGCGCCTCTTGTTTGTGAACGTGCACCTCTAGCTGGCCAACAGAGCCAAAACACCTTGTTTTAGTAATTACAATTCTTACGTTATACTATTTATTCATATATATGTTTTTTAAAGACTTACTTGTCCTTAAAAATGTTGGCAACATCTGTGCATAAACGGATGTCCAACGCTATTGGCTAAAGTAAAATGGCGCTCAGTTGAAGTTGCGCTGGGCTCTGTGGGATGGAGCGCGCTTAGCTAAAATGTATTGCCTACATTATGTCAGCAGATTTTTATGGATTTAAAAAAAATCATACATAATACCTGTAGGGGGAAACTCCCAACTTCTGTTTTAAAGACCTGGAAATTAATGAGGAAAAGCTTAATTTCCGCTGCTTTTCAGAATTGCAAATTAAATTGTTCTTTTGTTAAAACCTAATTTAGACTATCAGCTGCTACGAAATCCAATTTTAGCTCAACATTCGTAAAGCTAAAATGACCGGGAGCCATTTTTGTGCTGGATAATGTAAATTAGCTGTAACGGAAATCATGACTGAATACTTTCTGAAAGTTCACTTACAGCGACACAAAGGAGGTTTTAACACTTTAACCAATTCCTTTAAAAGTGGGGTTCAGTGATTGTGTAGGTAGAAACTTCACCAACTTCACGCTACAGCACTCTACTGACCAGAAACAGCAGTTTGGTGTAGCAGGTAGGTGCGCTAGGGGGCGCTCTTTACCTCCTTAAAGGCTGTTGGCTATTTTCTGTGCTGGTCGCTAATTTAAAAGGCTAGCAGTTAGCTTTTTAGGTTTGCAGAAAATCAATAAAAACCACAAGAAGAAAATAAGGAAGCTTGCTTTTTTTGTTGGCATCATGATGGAGCCTAGAAGTAAAAGTCAGAGAAATGTCTTTGGAGGCAAAGAGCTAAACCCGAGTGAACACTGGCCTACTCTAGTTTGAGAGAGCTAAAGGAGGCTATAAAATCGCGGACTGATGGTGACCTGGCTTTGTTGCTACTGGACTTGTAAGTAATAATATTCGTTGTCCAACAGCGTGGATCTTTTTCCTTTCTGGTTTATTTTAGTATTGTTTACTCATGTTAGTGTTAGCTCGTTGTTAGCGCTAGCTGCAGCAGGGTTGTTTATGACCGTGGTAATTCCACTGTCAACCAGTAGGGCGGAGGAGCGGGAAACTGTTTAGTGTTGCTTTAAATCCATCCATGAGATAACTACAGACGCACTCACAATGACAGAAACCTCCCCCTCATGAAGGGCAGCACAAGACTTTTGCACCAAAAACAAACACGTGTCCCCTTCCTTTATAAAGTTTGATCGCAAATTAAAGTCATATGTGCAAATTATGTGCTCAGCTATATAAAAGCAGTTCAGTGCACCAAAATACAAAAAGAATCACAAACCTTCACTCGTTCTCACAGATTACAGTCATATCATTATTCTACAAGCGAAACATCAGGTGGACCACGCAGGTCGGGAAAAGAAGGGAGGAGAGAAACTGTAGGGAAGAGATTTGCTTAATTTATCACGTAAATGGTTAGAAATGATCCTCTTCTACTGATTGGCCTCAGCCAGTCTGTTGCTGATCTCTTTGCTCTTCTTGGAGACGGCGCCGTCCGGTTTGGGTTCTGAAGAGCCTCCAGGGGGTTTCTTCTTTGCTGACTGGGAACTAGAAATCTGCTTCTCTTTAGCTTTTTTCACCGTCTTCCCTGTTGTTGTTGTCGGTGCCTTTCTTGGTTTGGTGCGGGACACTGGCTTGTCCACCTGAGAGGAGAAAAAAAGAGGTTAATCAGATATTTTTAGACATGTATAAATCAGCTTTTTCTTTCTGAGATGAGTGTTATGAGTCCAGCAAACTAAAGCTGCAGCTAATTAGCTTAGCACAAATCTAGGTCTTTGACAGGTGAAGCAGTGAGTTCCTAATGTCATCATTTTATGGCAAAGACATTTAAAGTTACAAGTTTATTGTCTATTCCATGATACATAATTCAGCTGTTTTTGGCCATGCTTGTTCTGAGACAAGCATTAGATTATGGAAGCACATTTGTGAAATCAGCAACAAGCACTCCAGTGGCATGCAGACGACTTCCCCGATTACCAAGAGAACAACCATTTATCTTTTTTTTGTCACACTTAAATGTTTCTTTGTCAGATACAGAATACCTGAGTAAAAGGAAAATGTTGTTTTCAAGCTATGTTTTCATCGATTAAAGGGGAAAAGGCCATCCAGACCAACCTGACTCTGTGGGGAAAGTAATTTAAACTAAATGTAACTCAGAACCAAGAATGAATGGACTGTTTAAAGAGCAAGTCACCCCCTACCAGAGTCTAACTGTTTGAAAAACGCGTCACAAGGAGGCGTTGCTTGGCAGACCAAGAGGGCGGAGCCCTTAGCAAATACACACACACAAACACACACACACAGGCTCGCAGCAGCATTGTGACATCATTTGGTACCAGCTAATGTCATAAGGTACCTCTTAGCGATGGCAGATTTAAATGGAAACGTAGTGTTTTTACCCGAAGGGGGCACAAAACTGGCAGTTTTAGGCAGAATATTTAAGTTTTAACTGCGATGCACTAAAGTGTCAAATTATTGACTACAAGCGTCTACAGCTTAGACACTCATTTATATAGTTTATCAGCAAAAAACGAAGTTGATTTGGGGGTGACTTGCTCTTTGAGGTCAAAGGTCAGAGGTCAAGGTCTTTGAGAGTAAATTTTCTGATAGAGAGCAGACTACAAGGTTTAATCAACTACAGAGTGTTTCAGTTCCTGAAGCAGCAAATCAACCATAGACCATCACACATAATTTTGTTCCATTAATGAAATGCAACAAGGGACAATCACTGGGTGACAAAAGTTGCAGGTCCCTCTTCGTCCACCAGGGTCTGGCGTCAGAAAGGAGGAAGTTCCTGTTGACTCTCGTGGAACCAAGCGGACCTTTTGCCACTCGTTCGCCAACCATCGGGGGGAGGGGGTGTTGATTGTTCAGCATGAGCAGGGGTGGACTGGGACCAAAATTCAGCCCTGAAATTTTTACGAATCATCTGCCCTCAGTCGGCCCTCCCCATTGGGAGAGCGGTGGAGGTGGGGGGTGTTGCCACCCGCGAACTCGTCTCTAGGCCGAATGTGAGATCTAATACGGACTGGGACTGTTAAATTCCAAGCAGGGCCAGACTGCTGCGATCAGGAGCCCTGGCCTTCCAGATCAGGGGTCTCATTTATCAAACATTGCGTAGAATCCTTACTAAAACCGTACTTAAGCTCAGCAAAAAATGTACTTACGCCAAGTAGGTTTGTGACCTATCAAACATGGAGTATGCACAGCTGCACGCAATCTCCGCTTCATAAATCAAAAACTATCTAGAAAGGTTCTCAGCCGCTTTTTAGTCACATCCCGCCCTCACCACGCCCACTTACTGTCATAAATAGTCAATGCAAAGTGCCTTGTGGATCTCATGTATACATAAGCCGGCTGTTGCAGCGCTCCGCCAATGACGATGGCGACCGTAGATCAAGGCAGATCAAGGAAGCGCAATTTCACAAGCAGAAGCTGAGGTACCTGTGGGTGAGGTGGAGAAATGAAAGGAAGTGCTTTTGCAAAACAAATAAGAGAAAATCCACCGAGTGGCACAGCGTTGCTGAAGCCGTCAATGTTGTGGATTCTTCAGAGAGATCTGTGGCGGATATAAAAAAAATGGTCCAATCGGGATTTGATCCCCAGACTCCCGGGAGAAAGTCACACATGCTAACCAGTCAGCCAAAGGGAGATCTCCCTTGTCCACAGAGCCAGGGCGCATGATCAATCGAGTCACAGTGACAAGACACACACACTGTCACAGACGCATGACATCATGTCTCAATCTGCCCCCCTGATGATATTCTGCATTCCGTATTCTGCATTCGTATTTTTTATTTTCCGGGAGTGACGAGATGTGTAATGCAGCCAAGATGGTGGAGAACCGCTCATTTGGCTTCAATTCAGCTCTTCAGAAACCTACAGCTGACAGAGCAAAGGGGCTGTCCACATGATTGGTTTTACACCAGATTCATACAGGTACTATTGACGTGATTTTTTTCATTCTACAGCAAGTAATCAGGCCTGGGCGTGGTTACTGACATGGGCAACTATCTAAATAACGTATTTGATCACAGTTCATTTATGATTCCACATAGATCCAGGCAACATTTCCTCAGTAAATGAAATCATCATTTTGAAACAAAATGTGTACATCCTGACTGGACTGGTAAATGACCTGTATTTGTATCGCACCTACTTTGGGTTCTACAACCCCCCAAGGCGCTTCACAACACAATCAGTCATCCACCCATTCACACTCTGGTGGGGATGAGCTACGATGTAGCCACAGCTGCCCTGGGGCGCGCTGACAGAGGCGAGGCCTGCTGAACACCGGCGCCACCGGTCCCTCTGACCACCACCTGCAGCCAAGGGGAGTTAAGTGTCTAGCCCAAGGACACAACAGCAGTGCTCTATTACCTGACCTGAAAGATTAAGTGTGACAAAAAGTCAAAACTAGAAGAAAAATAATTCTCCACTAAATGACACAGTCACTTTAATTTAGAAAAAAAACACAGAAATGTTTAGTAAAACGTACCAGAAATATCCGCTTTTATCAAGTCAAACTTCTATTACAACATGCAGCACATCCTTTTATACTGGCAGGTCTCACAGGTGATGTGTGTGTGGTTAGTGTTATGAAAACAGCACAAAACAATACATTTGTGCCCTCTAAAGAATGGTGATTGGTGCTGTCTTATATATAAAACTTATATATAAAACTTTTTTTAACACTGCATTCAAATAATTTATTAGTATATGATGTTAGTAAATGCATTTAGGAATAAACATTTGCCCTTTATTAGTGTTAAAGTCTAACATGCAGGCTTCCATGTCTGCAGACATGAATGCTGTTGTAGGTCCTGTGCATAGATTGTTTTTAACATCAAAACATATTTTGCATCCTTTGTGTACCTATTTGAACTTGTGATACAGCACTTCTGAGAAACAATGACACAGCAACTTGCTGCATGCCCACTGTTACGTTGAAACTGAGTCGTTTTCACCTGTTTTCCAACGTCTGTCTCACTTTTTAGTCCAATTGTGTCGCCATTAAATTTCGATTCTATGTGAAGTGTGTAAAATCTGGGAGTAAATCGTAAACGCCAATCTTCAAATGTTGTTAACGTGTGTGCACTCTCACCACCTAGTGGCACGGAGGGGGAATTATTATGTTGAAATTTTCTAAAATGGTTTTTAAAACATAGATCAGCCTTGAATGAGCGTCATTCTGCTTTGGAGGCAGTAAAAGCTGAGGGATGGAGGAGATTCTTGCTTTATAAATGTGCAACAAATTTAAAAAAAACTCAAAAACAGGTTGTGGAGTAAAATTAGACATAAGGCAATGCAGATAAAATCCCCGTGGCGTTCAAAGGAATTTGCACGATGGGTGGAAAGTGTTTTGCATCATCTAACATGCACCAAAATTAAGTGTTAAACTAAAAAATATTTATGCAGCTCATCTAAAAATGCTTTGAATGGACTCTCCTGCGGTCACAGCACCTTTTCCTCATCATTTATCATCGGCTTGTTTGCATTGATGACGTGTTGTTGTGGTGCAGACTGAGAGGTGAGCGCACGGTGAGCATGAGGCTGATAACTCTGGCAGCCGGGTGATAAAAGTGACAGAGCCTCCCATGGGCCGAGATGCAAACTGTGCGTGGAACGTGCGTGAACGGTATGCACAGTTTGCATTCGTCTGATTGATTTGCTCCCCCCATGCGTTCCAGAAGAAACACACCTGACTACTGCAGGTGCAGGTTCTCAGTCTCTGAGATGTCCTACAAGAACGAGAGGGAGCGGCCACGTGAGCACACATAATATACAATTTAAAACCACTCTGTTGTTAAACCTGTAAGCGCATCTCATTTTGCCTAGAAAAGTTATCTGTGATTTTAAAAATTACATTTCTACGTTTAAAACACAGAACTGTTAGAAATCCTTAGAGGAAGATGCTCGTTGCTCGGAGCTCTCCTCACCTTGGCGGGCTCCTTGCCCGGCTCATTGTACAGGCTGCGTATCCTCCTGCGCTCCAGCAGCTTGTTGTCAGTCGCCGGACCTTTCACCTGCTCCCCCTTGAACGTGGCACTGTAGCTTGTTTCCAGGCTGGTCTCCTCTCCAGGTGGTTTATACTGGGATGGAGCTTTAATGGGCTTCACTGGTTTCACATCCTTGTAGGCTTTAAACTCAGTCCTGAAAAATCAAAGCATGAAAAACGAGGGTTTAAATGCTTCCAGCGTGGTTGATTCTTTGTTATTTAGAGGAGAAAAGTGACACAGAAGAAAGCGGAGGCGAGAGATGAACACATCAATGAAGTCTGTGTCAGCCCAGGCAGGTTTTGTGTTACAGAAATTGCTGAAGATTAATGAACAGTCTCTATGCTGGGTATGGATTTAAAGGGCTGACTGGACTCAGTGAACTCTGTTTAAACGTGGTTTATTGCACACAAACAAATTACTGAACTTGTTTATGAACAAAATTAGGATTTTGTATTCAGGGATGTATTTAGGCAAGAACCTGGCGATTAGATCAATACAACACAGCGGGAGGTAGGGCTGGGCGATGTGGCCTAAAATCAATATGTGCTGATTTCACCTCGATAACGATAAATGGGCGATAACTACAGGTGGGTGCAGAAACAAACGTGTCCACTAGATGGGGCTGTCACATTTTTACATGACTCAAGGTGGTACAGCTTCTTAAAGGAACATGAACGTTGCCAACACACATCTTTTCATTTTCTATTATCAAATTTATTGCAATGGGAAAAATTATCTCGATAAGAGTCAGAAATTTCGATAACGATAAATTTGAATTTATTGCCCAGCCCAAGGGGGTGGTAATATGATATATGTCACAGTACAGGGAAGTGGATATAATATTTGTCAAAATACAGGGAGAGACGATACAATATATATCACAATATATGGGAGACGATACAATATATATCACAATATACGTAAATGATTCGATATATATATCACGAAAATGGTGAGACTTTGTGATATACATCACAATGCATGGAGACGATACAGTATATACCACAATACATGTAAACATGATGATATACATCACAATATATGGAAACAATGCAACACAAATATCACAATAATGGGGAGACTATACTACACACACACACACACACACACACACACACACACACACACACATATATATATATATATATATATATATGAAATGCTGCAAACTAGCAGTCTGAGTTTGAACTACACCACACAAAAGATACAGTAAATATTTGCGTGTTAATTTGGGAATTTGTGATGAACTATTTTGGTCATTTTAAAGAATTTTTGTGTAAAATATACTTTTTTCTGACTGTGTGTGTGTGTGTGTGTGTGTGTGTGTGTGTGTGTGTGTGTGTGTGTGTGTGTGTGTGTGTGTGTGTGTGTGTGTGTGTGTGTTGAACTAAAACCTAAGGTCATCACAGAGATAATAAAACCATTCTTTTGTTTAGTTTTTGAAAGCTGTTTTCTTGGAACTTTTCCTGAAAACACTTAATTCTGGTGGATTAGATCTCTGACAACATTCCAGCCCTTAACTGACAGCATTCATTTGTCAGTGATCAGGAAGCAGGGAGACAGGAAGAAAAATCGATGCTGCGGCCCTGGTCTGTATTGTTTCAGACTGATGGTAACAGAGACTCTGCAGAAAGCTAAACTCTTGTGGCTTAGAGGCCAGATCCCAGTGAACCAGGCCCTGTGAGTCCTCGTGTTTACCTGTAGCTGCTGGAGGTGGACATCACCTCCTTTATCTGCTTGTTGAGAGCATCTGCAGCCGCTCTGCTTCTCCGCTGCTCTTCTGCAGACTCACCAGCTTTCCTCTCCGCCGACTTTTCCCTCCTCACCACCTGCTTTGACTCCTTCTCCTGTATCTTCTCCTCGATCTCGCACTTCTCCATGCCCCCCTCGGTCTCAGCGGGCTGATGCTCCAGCTTACCGGGCTCTGTGCTCCTCTCTGGGCCGCCGGAGGAGGTGTTGGGAGCGGGTTTGGGGATCCATGGGTGGTCGTGTTTTTTCGGTATGGGCCAGGCTTTATAATCCTTCTGATACTGAGTTTCGTTGCTGAAAGGGGCCGGCGGGGGTTGATACTCGTTTCTGGGCTTGCAGCTGGGCTCAGGGCGCACTCTCCACGCCTTAAAGTCTTGGCGCATGACGGACGCGGCAGAGCCATCTTTGCCCGCTGCGGCACCCGTCGCGGGCGGTGCCTTGGCGGCCTCCGGCTGCTCAGGATGCGGCCAGGTCTCCGAGGCTGCGGCGGCCCGCTTCTGCTTCTGCTGCGGGTGATGGGCCAGATGCTGCACGTCAGCCACATCCGAGTACTTGGTGAAAACCAAAGGCACCGCGATGTCCCCTTTATCCAGCTCGGTCCAGAAGCGGTTGATGCAGCAAGCGCGCGTAATGCACGGCCACGCCATGGCGCCCAGTAAAGGATGCAGACAAAAAAGACTGAGTGGAGGTTATTTTTTTGTCTAGTAAAATAAATCCTGGACTGCGCAGCTTTCCTGGATGGACCAGATCTTTAAAGGAACCTGCACGCCTGCAGCCTCCCTCTGTCTCCTCCTGCAGGAGGTTTGTTCTCACTAAAGTTTAGAGCTTTGGAGCTCGCCGTGGAGCGTACATCCACGTCTGGTTGCGTATCAAAGCGACCCCACCCCTGGCTTGATGCGATCCCTGCGTTTGCACGGTTCAACCATCACCTTCCTTCCACACTGCCGTAGGCTATTAGACTAAAACCACCACCAGTGTCACTGGGAAATGTTTAAATAAAACTCACAAAGAAGAAAACACAGCTCTGAGTGGGAAGACTTTATTTTGTTTGTGCATAAAAAAATCCCAAATTTTTAAAGTAAGAGTCAGATCAGTAAACACATTTCATTATTATAGTAAACACGTTTGAAAATGATTATTTCAAGCCTGATTAATATCAGACGTGCAAATATAAAATAAAGATGTTGTGTAACCTCTCTGAAAACATAAGAAAAGATCCAAAAAAGAAAAAGCAACACACCACCACACTAAATACAAGAACAAAGGAATCCAGAGCACAAAAGGTTTTGTTTAAATAAGAAAAATGAGTTCCAAAAGTCCTCAGCAGACCAAAAATAGCTTAAAGACCCATCTGACATTTACCAAAAACATCTTGGTGTTCCCCAAGTGGACCAAACCAAAAAGAAATGTGAAAGTGATTGTGTCCCATTCCGTTTTAGAAAAATAACAGCCAAGCATGGTGGTGTTAGAGTAATGATTATGGCAAGCCGTTTTACAATTTATTGGGCAGGATGGATATGCTTTCCAGATATTTATAAATGTAGTAGAAATTAACATTCTACATATCCATAATAAAATCCTCCTTGAACCGTCACCTTGTCGTGGTTGTCGTGGTGGAGGAGTTTGAGTGCCCTAATGATCCTAAGAGCTATGTTCTGGGGCACTTTGTGCCCCTGGTAGGGTCTCCCATGACAAATTGGTCTTAGGTGAAGGGTGAGACAAAGAACAGTTCACAGGATCTTTCATGGAGGTAAAGTCAAAGAGTCAGAGTACCCGGCCCGGAGGGTTACCGGAGTCCCACCCTGGAGCCAGGCCTGGGGTTGGGGCCCGTGAGCGAGCACCTGGTGGCCGGGCTTTCGCCCATGGGGCCCGGCCGGGCCCAGCCCGAACCGGATACATGGGCTTATCCAACTGTGGACCCACCACCCGCAGGAGGAACATGAAGGGTCCGGTGCAATGTGGATCGGGTGGCAGACCAAGGCGGGAGCCTTGGCGGTCCAATCCCCGGACAAGAAAACTGGTATTTGGGACATGGAACGTCACCTCGCTGGCGGGGAAGGAGCACAAGCTTGTGGCAGAGGTTGAGCGGTACCGGCTAGATACAGTCAGACTCACCTCGACACATAGCATTGGCTCTGGAACCCAAGTCCTTGAGAGGGGTTGGACACTCTCCTTTGCTGGAGTTGCTCCGGGTGAGAGGCGGAGGGCTGGGGTTGGCTTTTTGTTAGCCCCAAGACTCTCTGCCTGTGTGTTGGGGTTTACCCCGGGGGATGAGAGGGTAGCTTCCCTGCGCCTTCGGGTCGGGGAACGGGTCCTGACTGTTGTTGTGCTTATGGGCCATATATCAGTTCAGAGTACCCAGCCTTTTTGAAGTCCCTGGGACGAGTGCTAGATAGTGCTCCATCAGGGGACTCCATTAACCTGCTGGGGGACTTCAATGCTCACATGGGCAATGACAGCTTGACCTGGAGGGGTGTGATTGGGAGGAACGGCCCGCCTGATCTGAACTCGAGTGGTCTTTCGTTATTGGACTTCTGTGCAAGCCGCAGTTTGGCCATAACAAACACCATGTTCAAACATAAGGATGCCCATTGGTACACTTGGTACCAGGGCAGACTAGGTCGCAGGTTGATGATAGACTTTGTAGTCGTATCATCTGACCTGCGGCCATATGTTTTGGACACCCGAGTGAAGAGAGGAGCGGAGCTGTCAACTGATCACCACCTGGTGGTGAGTTGGATCAGATGGCAGGGGAAGATGTCGTATAGACCTGGCAGACCCAGACGCATAGTGAGGGTCTGCTGGGAACGCCTGGCAGAAGAACCTGTTAAGACGGTCTTCAACTCCGACCTCCGGCAGAGCTTTGACCGCATCCTGAGAGCAGTGGGGGACATTGACTCCGAGTGGGCCTTGTTCCACTCTGCGATTGTTGAGGCGGCTGTTGCTAGCTGTGGTCGTAAGGTGGCCGGTGCCAGTTGTGGTGGCAACCCCCGTACCCGCTGGTGGACACCAGAGGTTCGGGAAGCCGTCAGGCTGAAGAAGGAGGCCTACAGGGCGTGGCTGGTCTGTGGGTCTCCGGAGGCAGCAGACAGGTACCGTATAGCCAAGCGGGGTGCAGCAGTGGCAGTTGCCGAGGCAAAATCTCGGGTGTGGGAGGAGTTTGGTGAGGCCATGGAGAAAGACTATCGATCGGCGCCAAAGAGGTTCTGGCAAACTGTCTGGCGCCTCAGGAGAGGAAGGCAGCAACTTGCTTACACGGTTTACAGTGGGGATGGGGAGCTGCTGATGTCAACTGGGGCTATAGTCGGACGGTGGAAGGAATGCTTTGAGAAGCTCCTCAATCCCACCTATGCACATTCCGAGGAGGAACCAGAACGTGCTGGGAGACCTGGGGATGGACTGTCCAATCTCGGGGGCAGAAGTTGCTGAGGTAGTCAAACAACTACACAGCGGCAGAGCCCCGGGGGCGGATGAAGTTCGTCCTGGGCATCTCAAGGCTATGGATGTTGTAGGGCTGTCATGGTTGACACGTCTCTACAACATTGCGTGGTCATCGGGGGCAGTTCCTGTGGAGTGGCAGACTGGGGTGGTGGTCCTCATCTTTAAGAAGGGTGACCTGAGGGTGTGTTCCAACTATAGGGGGATCACACTCCTCAGCCTCCCTGGAAAGGTCTACTCCAAGGTACTGGAGAGGAGGGTCCGATCGATAGTTGAATCTCAGATTGAGGAGGAGCAATGTGGTTTTCGTCTTGGCTGTGGAACTGTGGACCAGCTCTATACCCTTGCAAGGGTGATGGAGGGGGCATGGGAGTTTGCCCAACCAATCCACATGTGTTTTGTGGATTTGGAGAAGGCTTATGACAGTGTCCCCAGGGGCACCCTGTGGGGGACGCTCCAGGAGTATGGGGTGGGTGGCTTTCTGTTAAGGACCATTCAGTCCCTTTACCAGAGGAGCGTGAGTTTGGTCCGCATAGCCGGTAGTAAGTCGGACCTGTTCCCGGTGAGGGCTGGACTCCGCCAGGGCTGCCCTTTGTCACCGGTTCTTTTCATTACCTTTATGGACAGAATTTCTAGGCGCAGCCGTGGTGTGGAGTGTGTCGAGTTTGGTGGAAGGAGAATCTCGTCTCTGCTTTTTGCGGATGATGTGGTCCTCCTAGCTTCACCCAGCTCTGACCTTCAGCTCTTGCTGGGTAGGTTCGTGGCAGAGTGTGAAGCGGCTGGGATGAGGATCAGCACCTCCAAATCTGAGACCATGGTTCTTGACCGGAAATGGGTGGCTTGCCAACTCCGGGTCGGGGGAGAGGTCCTACCTCAAGTGGAGGAGTTTAAGTATCTCGGGGTCTTGTTCACGAGTGAGGGTAAGAGGGATCGGGGGATCGACAGGCGGATTGGTTCAGCATCTGCAGTGATGCGGACGCTGAACCGATCTGTCGTGGGGAAGAGGGAGCTGAGCCAGAAGGCCAGGCTCTCGATTTACCGGTCAGTCTACGTCCCAATCCTCACCTATGGTCATGAGCTTTGGCTAATGACAGAAAGAACGAGATCGCGGATACAAGCGGCCGAAATGAGTTTCCTCCGTAGGGTGGCCGGGCTCAGCCTTAGAGATAGGGTGAGGAGCTCGGACATTCGGGAGGGACTCGGAGTAGAACCGCTGCTCCTCCGGTTCTAAAGGAGCCAGTTGAGGTGGTTTGGGCATCTGGTCAGGATGCCTCCTGGACGCCTCCCCGGGGAGGTGTTTCGGGCATGTCCTACCGGCAGGAGGCCCCCGGGTCGACCCAGGACACGTTGGAGAGGTTACATCTCCAATCTGGTCTGGGAACGCCTTGGGGTCCTGCCAGAGGAGCTGGTGGAGGTGGCCGGGGAGAGGACGGTCTGGAGCTCCCTAGTTGGGATGCTGCCCCCGCGACCCAGATAAGCGGAGGAAGACGACGATATCCATAATAAAATTCTTACTATCCAAAATGAACATTTCAGACATCTTAAAGATGCGGTTTCCTCATTTGGCAATGGTCTCTAGTAGGAATGAATGCCTTGAAAGTTGTTCTCTGGGAAAACAAAGCTCTGGTTCGTCTTTTTCGAGGACTAGAATTTATCCAGAGCTGAAATTCCTATAGTTATCGTCCATTTATCATTATCGAGGTGAAATCCTCAATTTATCGTGAGATCGATTTTAGGCCATATCGCCCAGCCCTAGTTTGCAGTACCTCCAATCTACAAATGCATTCCAATATCTTGAATGGACATTATCGATATTAGAAACTAAATTCTTACTAGACAAAACTAGATGTTAGCTAGCTCCAATTCAGCTGTTACAAGTAAAAACTCGTTTGTGATAATGAAAGCACTGTTCCAGCTATCGGTAATTTTAATTTGGGTATCCAAACATATATTTATACTACTAAATAAATAATAATAAATTTTAGATACTATCCACATTGTTCATTGAGAAAACCAAGTACATGTGGATGGGAAAAGTGATGTATTAATGTCTGAGGAAGAATTACAATTACATCTAAAATGTTTTCTGTACAGGAGGAGGTAGGAGGGATCGGGAGATCGACTGGCGGACTGGTTGGGCGTCTGCAGTGATGTGGACGCTGAGCCGATCTGTCGTGTTGAAGAGGGAGCTGAGCCAGAAAGCCAGGCTCTCGATTTACCGGTCGATCTACTTCCCAATCCTCACCTATGGTCATAAGCTTTGGGTAATGACCGAAAGAACGAGATTGCGGGTACAAGCGGCCAAAATGAGTTTCCTCCGTAGGGTGGCCGGGCTCAGCCTTAGAGATAGGGCGAGGAGCCCGGACATTTGGGAGGGACTCGGAGTAGAACCGCTGCTCCTCTGGATCGAAAGGAGTCAGTTGTTTGGGCATCTGGTCAGGATGCCTCCTGGACGCCTCCCCGGGGAGGTGTTTCGGGCATGTCCTGCCGGCAGGAGGCCCCTGGGTCGACCCAGGACATGTTGGAGAGGTTACGTCTCCAATCTAGTCCGGGAACACCTTGGGGTCCTGCCGGAGGAGCTGGTGGAGGTGGCCGGGGAGAGGACGGTCTGGAGCTCCTAGTTGGGATGCTGCCCCGCGACCTGGATCTGGATAAGCGGAGGAAGACGACGATGACTTTTATTATGGATATCTGGAATGCTAATTTCTACCAAGAAGAATAAATATCCGGATTGCAAACCCAGTTGGCCTAAACAATGTTTCAACGACCAAATTAAAGTTTCTTTCCAGAGTATTTCTCTTACCTGATGGCACCATCTAGTGGCTGACAAGCATATCACACAGTCTCTTGATACATTTTTTAAGATGGCGACTTCACGTTTCTAGTTTCTAAATGTGCTTCTGTAGCCGACAGAGCTAAAACACATTTTTTTTACAAGTATTATTCTCATGTCTTGTTGTGTTTTCATATATTTATATTTTAAAGACTAAATTGTCCGTGAAAAGTTCATCAACTCTGCATCAACCGAGGTACTTCCTTGAATTTGAAGCAAGTAAGCGGTAGTGCAAGATCTGGTTGGCACTCTGTTCATTACATGGAGCATAGCGGGACAGGGGGCGTGGTTAGCAACAACAAAAAAGTATTTCTCATATTGTATCACAGTACATGATAAGATAATCACTTTTACGGATTTATGAAAATGTCATACGTAATTTCTGAAAGGGGAAAACTCCGGAAAGATTCTTTTAAGGATTTTGAGAAACTCTAACTTAATTCCCACTAGTGTAGTTAATATGGATATCCTTTATTACAATTTTTATTAGTAATAGCATAGCTGCTGATGTCTTTATTTGCAACTTTGACTAGAATACAATTAGTAGGATACATGAGATTGTTGATGAAACTGAGAATTCAAGACCCGAAAAAGTGTTGGTGCTGGAGAACCCTCCAAGGAGGCTGAATCCAAACTAATCTGAAGAAGACTGGGTGACGTGACTCATTCCCACTCATCCGTTTCAGTCACTGGCACCAAACATGTTAAAACCAGTTGTTTTCATGTAAGACCAACTTGGTTTGGATAACTTTCCTTGCTTACCAAATAAAATAATCATTTCAAAACTGGTTTTCTTTCATTCTTCAGCTTCGCTGCAACACTGATCGCTACTGGAGATCCTTCCTGCCAACAGCCATTGTAATATACAGTAACTCTTTGATGACTTATTATTCTGAGCTACTACAACAATTAATTTCCTTCTGGGATTAATAAAGTATTTTTGAATTGAATTTGTCCAACTGGAACATTTAAATATAAAAAATAAACAATGCTTATCCTAAATGTGAAAATGTGTAAGCAAGTTAGAAACATTATTTCAGAGATGCTGCTGGCTCTTTTGTTCTCGTCTTTGGTGCCATCTTTGTTTTGTTTTAGTCAGTAGAAGTTCTGGAGCGCTCGGGCTCCATCATGTGGTCTGATTTTAAATCAAAGCACAAAAACAAACAACGGCTTCCGTAACGAAACAGAAAAAATTGGTCAAATTAAAAAACAGCCAGTGACGTGTGCATTTTTTATTTACATAATTGAATCACAGCATTACTACAAAAGGAGAACTTGAAGTAAAAAACACAATATTTACAAGGAATGTTTACATATTACTCTTAACATCATTTTATAAAGTATTTTCAGAAACTTTTAAGTGCATTCGTGTAACGTTATGAATTACTTCTTATAGACAACTTCTAGAGCAGAAATAGTCTACGTCCAACAGAACCCAACATTGTAACTTTCACACAATAACACACTAAAAATATCAGAAAGATCCTTTCCTTTCATTTCTTGCACAAAGAAACTGAGGTAATTGATGAGAAATATCAACTATAATTACATTTCTGATTAAATAATTAACACTTTTATCTAAGCACAGCTAACAAAAACATTTAGGATTGATAGAAAATATCAGCCTGGACAGGAGAAATGAGAAAAATAGGGGTTTTGTTCTGTTCTGCCACAAACTCAGACCACAGTTTTCATGATGTCCTCCCCAGATACTTCCTCGGACTCCACTTCAGGTTCATCCTCAGGATAGAGCCTGCAGTATTTGTCCACCATGACATCTACGTCATGTCGCACGTGAGTGTTCACGCCGAGCATCGCAATACTTTTGTTCCACTGCTTGGCCGGTACACTGTCCAGATACGTCTGCAGGCGCTCGCTTGCCGTTTCGCTCTTATTTCCTTCCAGTTTGAGCAAAGGCAGCGTGGAGAGCACCTTCAGGAAGTTGTTGACGTTGGGGAAGAATTTAACATCCGGCAGCTGCAGGGTTTCATGAATGGTGGTAGGCAGGCGCACCTCTTTGCCTCTGTGCTTCCACTTGATCCTCCAGCAGTGAAGCTCAGCGGGGAGCGTGTCCGGGTTGGGGAGGTCACTGTGGTAAACGCTGGCGTAGTTCTCCTCGGTGGTGTTGAACTTCATTTGACCCATGACGGCTGGAACCAGCGACAAGCACTTAAGTGCTTTCATGTTGGTCTCACAGAACATGTCCTCCACCTCCTGCATGATGCCGCGGATGACCGGTATGGTCACATACTCCTTAAAGTACGACTCGGCTTGGATTTCGCCCATGTCGGCCGCTCGCTGCTTCCGGACGAACAGCCGCGGGATCGACACGGGGATCTCCATCAAGGCAGCCAGGCTCACAGCTTCCTCATACCAGAATTCATGGTAGACGTCGATATTATCGTTGACCTCGTTAAGAGAGTGCAGGACAGCTGTTAGACTGGTAGCAGCAGCAAACACAGATAACGTGTCTCCTTGCAGATTCCTCCCGAAGGCTCTGGTGAATGTCAGAACGTTCTTTAAGATGATGCTGGTGACGACGGTCTCAAAATCTGCAAGACTTTCTGCAATGGAATACGCATCCGCTGCCACTGAGGCGGAAAACAGTACGTCGCCGTTTTCCCAGATGTTGTCCATGCACAGCAGCAGCGCAGGTAAAATCTCCAGCAACACATCAAAGACGTTGTGTTGCTCCGTCCATCCGGAGACACACAACTGTTTCACAGCTGCTGCTTTCTCCTCGTTCTTCTGGTGCTGGGTCGAGATGGCCTTATCGAGTTCACCCCGAGTTAGCGGGGTTTTAAACAAAGATTCGATTCTTCTCAGAGTTTCCATGACAATCTGGACATTGGGAAAAGGGAGGTTGTTGGCTAAGTGGATGTTCAGAGCCATATGAGAGCAGGGCATGTGCAGTACAAGAGGGTACTTCTCCATCAGGAGGGCTGCAACGGCTTTCATCTTGGTGGTGGAGGTCCCGGTGGCCCTGTGGGCCTGACCGCGACAGTCCTCCATGCTGAGCCCCCAACGGTCAGTCAGTTGGGCCTCAAGTATTTCTACCAAAGCAGACTCATCTCCATCCACAAATGGTAAGAAGTCTAAAAACTCCTCTCTGAGAACATTCTGCTGATTCACAAAGCGTACAAACAGAGGGAAGTGTTTCCCGTCTGCAAACTCAACAAGGTCACCCGTCACCAGGGAGAAGATACGACTCTCTCTGACCTCCATGAGCATCTCCTCTCGCACTGTGTTCTCACAAACGTCAAGGAGCTGACTCTGCTGGATGGTGGACAAGTATTCTGTGTTCACAGCTGTCCCCTCAAACCTCTTCCTGAGAGGCTGATCTCCAGCATTCATGCAGTAATCCAGAAGGGCCTGGAAGTTGTTGGATTTGAGCTCAGGTTCAGATACTTTCTCAACTTCTAGAGGAATTCCTTGTTTTGCCACCATGAGCAGAATCTCAAACAAGGACCTCAGATAATCCCGATACTCCTTCTCCTCTGTAGACAGCTGAGGTTCATCCTCAATCAAATTTATGGTATCCTGATCATTTTTAATATCTTTCTGTGTAGACAAAGCCACTAAGGATAGAAAGAGAGAAAATAATGACTAACATGTTCTGAGTTAACATGTATTCAGTTAAATAAAAATTATCCCCGCAAGGCCACATTTTTCTTAAATACTTACACCTTCTTTCTTTCATTTTTCTAATATCTTCATCAGTCTGAAATAACAAATACATTTACATATTTATACTTATTTTCACACAAATTACTAAAAACAATTTCACTTTTAAAATGGTCTTACAAGTTCTTTAATCTGCTTGCGATGTCTGGTGTAAGGGTTTTTTAGATGGCTTGTTAGATCAAAAATTGTCGGGATGGCGGTGTCCTTCAGCACAGTCCGATAGGGACTCTGAGATCACAATCATGCATGAGACAATCAGGAAATCATCTGAAATCTGCAAACATGGTGCAAAAAAAAAAAAAAAAAACACTACCAATTTGCTACTCACAGTTTTGCACACCAAGGCTGGGTCGAAGTGTTTGGCACATAATCTGTAATGTTTGTTCAACTGATCCGATGATTTGGCCTCCAGATCTGCCCTGCGGCAATTCTCTACCCAGATTCTGCATCTGGAAAAATGCAAGAAAACACAAACATTAGATTTGACATTTAGGAGATAGCCGTATTTATGCGACAGATGTCTGATGTAAACAAGAGGCGTTTTTTTTAAGGGTTAGTACACGTTGATTTCCCTTCTCGCATTACAGCTGTGGTATTAAAATAATGCGTTTGGGAACACTTATATTTCTTAAGTAATGAAAATAGAAATAATGCTGGAAATGCTGCAGGGATGTAAGAAATTTTATCTGGTGCTCTCACTGGTGCTCTTCAGCCAAGGGATCAATATAATTGTTGGCAAAAGGAGATCTGAGGCACTCAGGAGATACAAAATCATTCATTTTGTACCTCCTGAGTGCCTCAGATCTCCTTTTGCCAACACTTAAATTTCTTATTCACTTCTGAACATAAAATAGAAGCATAAAAAACATGCACGAATTAAAAATAATTTAAATGTTATGTATGTGCTTTAAACTGGAGATTAATTTACATTTTCCTTACGTTAAAGTCTATACAAATAATAGAATTCCATCAATTTTGACGTTCAATTTTTATGACAAAACTTCATGGTTGGAATCATTTAACTTAATAAAAGAATATTGTTGATTTTATTTTTTTGTTCCAAAACTTCACATCCAACAACGAAATCGTGCTGAACAGGAAACAATACGGTAGATATGCCTTACCTCTCTGGATCCCGAGGAAACCGAAAAAACGCCAAATCTGACTGGGTGCTCTTCCGTGTACAATTTGGGGCCGCGCAAAAATTTGGCATGTTGTAGCCTAAAAGTTAGCTCGTATAACGCCGTCTATTATTATCTGCGGACTTGAGTACTTTACTTTAGGGTCTTGCTAATGTTTGTGACCGTAAAACGACACATCCACGTTTACATAGACAACTGAAGTAAAAACGGATGTTTATAAAGAAAAGTAATAACTTTAGTGCCGCTCAAACTACAAAGACGGCTACATTTGGTTTGGAGCTAAATCGGTTTGCTACTTTAGCATTACCTATGGCGAATCTGATTGGACAGTTTTTCAATAACCAGCACAGCAATTGGTCACTCTTTTCTCTGTACGAACCAATGAAATGACAGCACTCAAAATGTTCTTCTTCGCAATTAAATGCATTGAAAGTAACTTATTGTGCTGCCACCTACAGGATACATCAATATCGCAGGAAACAACCAGCGGGAGAAGGTTATCGCTGTTTTCTGGCACTGTTAAAATAACATTTGTTACGTCTGTCATTATTGTTGACTAACATTTGGTTGTACAACTATAACATTTATTGTATTGTCTCTAGAAAATATCGTAAACTGTGTGTTGCCATAGACACAGTCTGCATAACATACTTACCCATATTGAGCAGGGGTTAACCATCCCGATCAATATAGATCAACAGTATAAGAGACAAATAAAATTTTCATCGTGATCCTCGATATGTTTTCTATTTAAAAGTAAATAGGTATAAAATTGCACATGGCTCGTTGGTCTAGGGGTATGATTCTCGCTTAGGGTGCGAGAGGTCCCGGGTTCAAATCCCGGACGAGCCCGGTGTTTTTTCATCAGTCCTTTTTTTTGGCTCATTGGGAAATCTTTCTAGAGAACAGACGAAAAATATTGACTTGATCTGCGAATGAAGTGTCCCAAGAACCTAGTAAAATGTCTAAAAATATCCGTATAAATAACCTAATTGAAACAGGAAAAATGTCACTAGTTTGTAAAATGTCAGTATTGTGTTGCAATCTTTTGTTTCCGCCATATTCCATTATTTTTCTAGCTCTTGGAGAGTACAGGCGCTTTTTTTCTCCTCTCCTTCCCTCCTTATCCCAAGGCTCTTTGTCCTGTCTGTGCACGGCGCTTTCTGCATCTGGAAACTGGAAATTATTAAAAATGGATACACACACGTTCAACAATGAGAACGGGAGAAGGGGCTCCCGGATGCCCCTCTGGGACAGAGCCAGCTGGGCATATCATGGACTCTGGAAGTAGTGGAACTTGATCTGCCTCTCTCAACTGTCTGTAGAGGATTCTGAAGATGTTTGGATATTCGTCGTTTTGGTGTCGGGATTCCTGCTGTTTGGCCTGAGCGGTTACCTGGTTTACCGGAAAATTAACGAGCTTTCGAGGAATATTGGCTCAATCCCGGAGCTCAGGGATAGAATGCATCGTGCTGTGAACGCACAAACTCATATAATTGTTGAGATGAGTCGTAAGCTTGGAACTTTGGCTGAGATTCAGGCTCTGGCACAGAAGGTTGATTCAATCAAGGAGCGAGTGGACGGATCAGCACTGATTGGGATAGATTAATTACGCCATTATTGGATCTAGAGGGGTTGTAGACCAACAGAACACTAAGGCAGAGAGGAAATGATCTCTGTCTGTCCCCAAAACAATTCTTATCTGGTGCCCTTGTAGCCTGTGAGGCTGAAGTGATAACTCCCCCCTCAAAAGAAATGTGGAATGTTGCCGTAGCTATGGAAACTCTTTCTCCCTATCCCAGCCTGGACGGGACTGTGACTGGTGAAGGCAGTGGAACCATATCTAGTAGCCACTGTGCTCTCTAACCCATTATCTCCCTCCCCTGTCCAAACAGAGGTGATGAGTGCTGCCCCATGCGGCTGCACACACTGAAGCGAGGAGTCCCAAACCTACCTCCCCACCCAGTGGATACTTATGTTGTGTAATGTCTGAAGTCTGTGTACATACAGTATCTGTCTGAGGTGATTTTTTGCATAGCAAAGCTGCCCTCTCTGTGGTGGTGGTGGTGGTGGTGGGGGGACTCCGAAGTGCCTTTTTTCCCCTCCCCCTGACTCTATCCTCATGATATAAACCCTCTTGATCTATTATGGTAGTGAGACTCAGGTTGCGAATGACCAGTCACCAATTCTTGTCATGTGTCTATGTACATCTTTCTGTGTAGACAAAGCCACTAAAGATAGAAAGAATTGTGTGTACTGAAACTCTAATTTCCCTCTGGGATTAACGAAGTATTTTCGCATTAAATTTAAGAATTTACCAAAGTTAAAAGAAACAAGGGCTCGTCCGGGATTTGAACCCGGGACCTCTCGCACCCGAAGCGAGAATCATACCCCTAGACCAACGAGCCAGGACATAAACTACGTCACCATGTTCTCTTAAATATGTACTCTGGCCCATTGGCGAACGTTACCCAGGATTAAAACGAAATGCTTTGTGTGATGTAATTGCAGTTGGCAAGACAAACAATAACGACACCAAACAATTCAATTAACTTCTTTTTATATATCATACATAAGACTGTCTTAATATAATACAAAGGGCATTGTCATAAACACAGCAAAGTCTTGACTAGATCTTACAATCTGTGGATACATGGACTTATCCTTTCCCCCATGCTGTTCAATTCTATAGTGCATGTAGCATGTACAAAAAAAGTGGGAAAAAAATGTGAAACCAAAAATGAAAAAGATAAATTCAAGGTAAATAAAGACTTGACTTCTCTTGGGTGTTCAGATATGTTACCGAGACTCCGTTCGTGTATAACCCACAAACTGAACAGGCCTATGAAAGATGGATCCTTTTTTTTCAACCATGTGCTTCTCATATAACCAAAACGTAAGGTTTGTGATGTACATGCACTTACAATATACCCTGTGAAAATTATTAAGGTTTGAAGATCTAGCTTTCCCTGTTTGATTCAAACCCTACCTCATAGTGTTGTCCTGATGTAGTCAAGTACCTTCACCAAAAGGCAAGGTTTTGCCACAAAGAAACAGATCCTGCCCACTGAATGGTCACCAAATTGACAAACATAATCAACATACCAGCAGGAGCAAGGTAGTGAGTTCTATACTTCCTTTATTAAAAAAATATAAATATATACATAAATTCTATTTCAACTATTAAAAAGGGGCTGCATTTCATGACAACTGCTCTAAATAAGTGGTCAATCAGCATGATCTGAAATAGGCGCACACTTACGAGTCACAGCAGTCAATTTTTTTTCTTTTTCAGTCTTTATTTTTGGAATGTTTAGTACCAGTATGAGTGCCAGCAATAAAAACCACTGACAAGATCTAAATGTCTCAAATTCAGCGGGGTATGAAAAATGATTGCAAATATGCAATTAACCTTGACATCCAGATAAAACCCCAATCTCAATATAGGTAGCTTTACATTTGTGTTTGTGGAAATACCAAGCATGACTGCTAGGGATGGTTCCCCTTACAAAATGACAACGGCATGACCTGTCTCCCTTCTTTAACTGCAAGGTGACTGTGGGCAGATTTTTTTTCTAGTTTTGTTTTTCGATTTTAAAAGTGACAAAATGAGCAACAGAAGGAGGAAAGCACTTTTAAATCCCTGATATAACAAAAAGAAAAAGAAATCGGGTAATTGACTAAATGTTTTGAGGACATGCATGTCTGCCTAGGCGAAAGCACTGCTAAGGTGGACTGACGAAACACCCTTTACCTTTGAAAAGGACGACAATCACAGGGATTCGTCCTGCCAAAATCAGAACTATACCGTTAAACACAAACCGGTTCGCCAGTTCTTCTTACCCTGGCAAGGCAACGACAAAGTCTTGCTTCACTTCACGGCAGAAACTAGCTTAGTTGACCAAATGATGTATGAAAGGCAGCAACACCCTTTGAAATAGTATGATGGGGGGAGGGGAGGGGGAGAGGGGAAATAAACAAAAATGAAAAAAAAAAAAAAAAAGAAAGAAAACGATGACAGAAATAGAACGCATTAGTCTCCTTTTTTCGTTTAAAACCATCAGCCTCTATCTCGCTACTCCGGAGCCTGCAGAGTAACTACCAAATTTTCTAAACATACTGAAGTTTTAAAAGACTCCCAAAATAATCTACCAATTAATATGGAAACAGTTTTGGTAAAACGTTGCAAACAAGTCTGGCCAGAATACACAACAGCCAACGATCTCGACAACGGTCTCCAGTTTTGCTAAAGGAATATATTGCAGCTGTTTGTGTTGACGTTAAAATAAGATCTTGATAAAGTTTGCGTCAAAGTGGTGAACTGCTACATTATTGGTTACAGACACCTATATGCTATAAAACAACTGCTTTGGTATAAAAACATATCCAAAGGGAAAATAAATTCTTGTAAAATTCACAGCATAATTTGAGGAGAAAAAAGGCAGTCACTTAACTCTTTTTTTTTTCTTCAGTTTCCTTGTTTTAGATGGAGAGACTTGTGCAGGTGGTTCTGATGAGGGACTACATGCAAAAGGGGGGAAAATAAAAACATAAAAGGGTAGACTCTGGAATAGATAGTTCTTTCCACTGCAAAATCCTTAACCAGTGAATTTCAAGGAAGTAATGTTTAGGAGGTTGTTGTGTACAATAAGACCCTGTTATGTGGGGCCCTGCTGAAGACGAAATCTTTGTCAAGAAAGGCCTCAAATTACCATTCTTATTTACCATTTCTACATTGTTTTAATTTCCTTAAAGAATTAAGGGCTGTCTAGAGAGAAAAATAGAGAAAAGCCATCTTAATTCGAATGATAATGTCCATCTCCATTCCATTCCAAGTCCATGAGTCATAAGGCCAAAGGATTATCTAGAACCAGCCACTGACTTGTCTTCCTTTCCCTGGGCCGGATCCTTTCGTCTCCCACGCCCATCGCTGCTCTCGCCTGTGCCGGGCCCGGTTGCAGCTTGCAGGACCACAGGACCTCTAGGCCTACGGGGTGGTGCTTCCCTCTCCTTTAACCCGGTTGGTGTCAGCATCCACCTACGGGGTCTTCTTTCCACCCGGCCAGCACACGCATAGGGACTCCACTGCTATGTGCTCCCCTTTAACAGAGTCACACAAAACCGACCAACAACAAGAAATATCACTGCAAACACTTCCCCTCGTTGTCAAGCTACAGGATTTACAAGCAGCTCTGATGTGAAATTTCACAAAAAAAAAAAAAAAAAAAGAGGGCAAAATTAATTACCAACCAGTGGAACAATAATGTCAGGCGCTCCACGGTTTGAACCTAAAGGACACCAAGCATTTCATCACCAACAGCTCGCTGCAGATCAGCTTCAAACTTTGCTCTGAAACGCTCCTTAGAAGGTTTTGCCACATAATACCATATGGTGATTACTTCGTGGTTACATGAAACTGGTGAAATGGTAAGATGGATGTCTCAATCTCACTATGGTTATTCTGCAGTATTATTTTGTGCCTAATGATTGCAAAAGAAAAAACTGATAAAAATTACATATATACTTTTAACAAAGGTTTTTCTCTGTAGTAGCGGTTCAGTGATATCTCCCTTCTGACGTGAGCAGCTTTTGATCTCAACACACCTTGTAGTAAAAAACACCACCTTAAAAATGACGCACAGGGGGAACACACAGCCAAATGTCAGTGCAGTCACGAGCTGGCCATAGAACTCTGCTGCACACATACTCCAGTCATTGGAGACTCCTCCCGGTCCATGCCCTGCCTCATGCCCAGGTGACCTTCCGCTAGGTAATGGGCAGGCCCTGTGTTCGTGCCCATGGAGAATGCAGGGTGCGCTGCCATGCCAGTCTCCTGCCGTGGGTTCGAGAAGGCACCTAGCCCCATGCTCAGCCCACCATTCTGACCAAAGTCAAGGGCTCCAGCGGGTAAATGGCGGAGCTGGTAGGCCTGGTTGCCATGGTTACCAGTGGAAGAGGATGATGTAGAGGAAGAGGAGGCAGAGGAAGACAGGGAGGTCATGGACAGATGGCCATGAACCACCTCCATGGAGTCCTGTGTTGAAGAGCTGTGTGTCGGGGAGGTGTAGTGGCGTGGACGTGGACGAGTAGCCATCATTTGCCCATGGTGGTGATGAGTGTGTGAGTGGGGATGCAGGGCCTTAGGGTGCTGGGGGGGAACATGGAAGGTGGTCTCCTGAACTGGGTGGGTTTCTCCAGTGACTGACTCAGGTCCAACGCCACCTCCCCACACCAGCGGGGGCGGGTAAGGCTGCCTCGCCTGTAAGAGCCAAATAAATAAAATGAGCCAGGTGTGAAATACTTTAAGTAAATAAAAAGTATCTAAAAGGTTCGGTGCAAGTGAAGACAAACACTTTCCCACACAACATTAACCACGTGTTCGCAGATTTCAACTTGCTGACCTGTGGACAGAGGCTGTCACCATCGATTGCAGGCATCGTCGTGCCAAAGTGTCCTCCACTGTGCAAGTGGTGATGGGTCGGGTCTGATCTCGCTCTGCCACTGGTGCTGGTCCCAGATGATCCTCCTACGGGTTAAGTAGAAGTGACACAAGTACATCTTCATTAGCTTCATGTCAAATGCTACATCAACCTCAGCTTAAGCTCATAGAGGCAGAGCTCCACAACTGTGTGTTTTACAGGCTTCTAACACAGCTGAAGTGATGTAAAACAGTTGATTTGCTCTGTGTGACGAGTACCTGAACTAGAGGAGGTGCTGGAGGTGGTTCCAGAAGACTGTGACTGCTCTAATGCGGGGCTTGTAGACACACTACTGCTTGTATTGGTCCCCTCATCAGCAGTCTTCTTGAAGAAGCTGTGCTGCAGGGCATAGTAGGGCTGGATGCGACTCTTAGGGTCATAGTCCAACATCCGAAGGATCAGGTCCTTGAACTTCAAGTAGTCAGCAACAGCATGGCCGGACTCCCCCGCCCGTCGGCCACCGGGACCCCCTGTCTCCACACCCAGGATAGAGTGGAGTTTCCGCGAAGCTGGAGGCTTATACTGTAAAAGTACAAATAAAATATTCACCAGCATGTCAGTTATAATTACCAAAAAGTACCTTTCATTATATTCAGTGGTCCACATGCACACAAGAGAGAGAAGTCACCCTTTTGCCATCTTTGGTCTTCTTAACACTCCATGTACCATCAGAAAGCTTCTCGAAGAACTTCCTGGCTTTGGGGGCTAGGTCCATTATGTGATTAGGCGGGATCCCAAGAACCTCAACTATTTTGTTCATCTGATCCACCTGAGGAGGTGAGCAAATCGTGTTACTTCTTTATACACAATAAATGCTGTAAAATACATCATCTAAAAAACCAAATGGTTCAGAATGTTTTAAGGTTATGAAGTCTTCTTTTCTATCTCCAATGGTTACACAATCAGATTTAAAATGCAGACACAAGATGAAAGCATTTGTCATCCTTCACTGAAATATGACCACCTAGCTAATGTTTCAGATTGTTATACCTCATTGGCTCCACTAAAGAGAGGCTCTCCAGTGTGCATCTCCACCAAGATGCAACCCAAGGACCACATATCGATGGCCAGGTCATAGGGCATTCCCAGCAGCACTTCTGGGGAACGGTAGAAGCGACTCTGGATATACTGGTATATCTATACACAAAACACACATAAGGGACAAATTAAAAAAAATAAAAAAACGTAAAAAAAATAAATAAATAACCCACAAACAGTTACTTATTGACTTTATTGCACCCAACTGACTCATAGCTGATGAGAAATACTGCTGCTAATTACCCTTTGTCCCAGTTGGCATGAACTGCCAAAGTCCACTATTTTGATGGCACTCCTCTTTGGGTTACAGAGGAGGATGTTCTCGGGCTTCAGGTCACAGTGGATGATGCTGAGCTCAGGCGTGGCCAGGAAGAGTAGCGCCGTGCATAGCTGCTGGGCAAACTTCCGGGTGAGATTGAGCGAGACTCCGCGGAAGTTGGTATTTCGGAGCAGGTCGTATAAGTTATACGACAGCATCTCGAACACGAGGCAGAGGTGGTTCCGAAACATGAAGTGTCGCTTTAAATGAACTGCAGAAAAAGCAAATTATGTCCATGTTAGTCAGTAACAAACCCCCTGGCCTTTTATTTTTCTGATCAGATTAGATGCTAATTTCAAGAGTGGATTACCAATGTAGTATTTCATCTCGGTATCATGTTTGTTCATCAACTCCAAGAGGCGCACTTCTATCTGGGCTTGATTGAGGAAAGCTTTCTTGTTCTTGATGATCTTAATGGCAACCCATTCCTGCTCGACTCGGTCATACGCTTTCACAACCTAAACACGCCAACGACAAACAGTTTACAGTTTGCTCAGCATGAAGTTTTTACGGATTAGTTTTGATATTAACGTTTAGGGTCAATAATCACAAAAGAAAATGTACAGAAATGCTGGTTAATACTTTTAGAAAGAACATTGTATTCTTATGAATCAAATAAACGTTTGAGTGGAACTGATAGTGAAGCACCTGTCCAAACGATCCTTTTCCTATCAAGGAATCAATTTCATAGCGGTCCATCCATTTCTCCCCATTCTTGACGATGTAGTCATAGTTATCATCGTCATAGCCATCATTGAACACTTTCCTCTCCTTTTTATGACTGGAGTCTTCACCCTGACCCTGTTGGTGCCGTCGCTTCTTTTTTGCATAATACACCTGTAAGTTAACACATTACATCCCATAACCACACACACAAGTCTTTGACGAGCTAATGAAACACACAATGATCTTTGTTAAGTTGAATCTTCTAATGGATTATTTTATCATGATCTCACCAACATGACTTTGTTTTATTCAATAAAAATGCAGTAAATTAAAACATGTTGCATTTTGTTTCGTCTCAGCAAAAGTAAAAATCTAAAAGACATTTAAAAAAAAAGCTGCAGTAACTTTAATTGTAAGCATATCCAATATGATTAAAAGTATAGCTGGTTAACTCTTTCAGCTGCTAAAGTAAATAATTAGTTTAGATTTAAATGCATCAAAACAAACTAAAAAAACAAACCTCATTGATGTGTTTGTATGTTTTGATAAGGTCGATGGAGAGCTTCCTCAGGGGAGCTGAAGTTGGGTCACGAAAGCACTGGGGCATGTGCCTCTGGAGTGTCACAGGTAAAGTATTCATGAACAAAAAAACACACGGCAATTTCATAAGAAACAGCATCCTCTTGAATCATTGCAAGTAATGATGGTTAACAAGACGTGATTAAACTGAAAGTGACATTTGACATGTAGCTGCTCTGCCTAGTGACAGTAGAAAAAGGGAAGTAGGCTTTGATATTGGACCCAAAACTGTAAAACCTTGAGGAGCTATGTGGTGGGGTTCGTATACCTGATTGGCAGTGAGCTGTGGTGTCTGGTCGCTGTACGGTAAGACTGTAACAGATTGGTCAGTGCTTGGCTGGTGGCGGTCACTGTACTGCTGGTGCGTATGGGGCATTGGAGCAGCCATCTGAAGACCAGCAGTGTGTAAAGAAAAAGAGGGCGCAAGCCGGACGGACGAAGGTTTGCATGCTGAAGTCTCTCCTCCTAAGAGAAAAGAACAATGTTAGGGAATGTACTTTCACTTCAATCCCCAATATATAAACTGACAAATAACATTAAGAAAGAAAAAGTTTATAAAAAAATGGTATGTTATATTCTCATTTTCATGCTAAACATTTTTTGCATTACAGTTAAAATAAGTGTCATTCAGACTGTACAGATTTAATATAAACTTCTCATTTTTACTATTTCAAAAAAGCAACAAAAACCCTTTACACCTTTACAAAAATGCGCAATTTTCATTATGAATAAAATATATTTATTTATAACATGCATGTTAAAATAAGACAGGTCTTTAATAAATCCATGTTAGGAAAAAAAGGCACAGTATCTGAATTAATGTTTAGATATTGCATTTTAATGAACATGTTAACCAAATCTAAATTGCATGAAAAGGACAGCAAAAATAAAACAGCAGCAATGTATCAACCTTTGTGAAGAAAAGGGAGAAAACGGTAGGTTTAACAGTGAGAAGGGGCGAGAATACAGCATCTCCACACTGTACAGTGAATCATCCTTCATTTTAAGCCAGAAGGAATCAAAAAATTATTAAATAGCATGTTCAGCTATCAGCATCTCTCACCAGACAACACAATTCACCAGCGCTACACAGTAACCACTATTCAGAATCCCAGCAACAGCACCTAATTAGCATAGCCTATCACCACAGAGATACAGCGTGATTTGGCAAGCCCATCAATGCACAGACCAATCACAACGCAGTATGCAAATAGCCTACTTTTGTTGCCAGGGCAGAGCTGCTCCCATTTTCCAATGAGAAAACAAGAAATAAACAAGAAATAAAACTGAACTTTGGCACACTTAGACGTTGCTTTCAACACAAGAGCTTGACAGTAAAATAGCTGCACAGCCTAAAACCTGCACTTCATCTGAGAGCGTTAGAAAGCTGACCCAGCTTTGGAAAAGCAGAAAATACACATCCACTGACAGAAACAAGAGGAACTGTAAAGTGATAGAGCACAGACAACAAGGTATTTGAGAGCCAAGACGCATCTCTTTTTTCAGCCACTATAAATATGTTAAAATACACATTTATACCTTTTCAGAATGTAATTTAAACAAATTAAAAAGTGAATTACACTTAAGATTATATTAAATATTTGTTCATCTTATGAGCTCTAAATATATCCTTATTATCCATCATGTCTTTGTTACTGTTTATCCTGCTGTGTAAAATAAATGTTACCATTATAACCTAAATAACTAAATAAAAACTACCATCAACAATTTAAAAATAATAACTACAGTCCCGGGCAGTTCAGATTGTGTGACTTGGTCCTGCTCATGATGACTCATAGATGTTAAGTCTTGAGGCCAAATTCAAAACAGCAACATAAGTTAGAAAAGATCATAAGTGAACTAGTTTTCCCCAGCAAAGGGTTAAAGCCTAATGTACAGCTGCTAACCTGGATGCATCTTCTGTTTAATTTCATATCATCCTGGGAGGAGAGTCCAGCAGCAAACCACAACCCACTACAAAGAATAAAAACACTTTATTATAATTTTGCATTTTGGGTGGGATTTAACATCACTGAGATTAAACCTGAGTTAAGAATCAGTGACAGATGGCCACCAAAGATGATAAGGGACCCCCAAAAACTTGTAAAAGTGAGCTGGATGTGAATGCTGTGGAAATAAAACAACTTAAAGCATATTTTAAAAATGTGTGTTAAAAGTTTTAAATTTCAGGTTTTAACTATGAGCTGCTTGAGATTTTAATGAATTAAAATTCAATCGCAAAGCTGTAAAACGGTTAAAAAAATAAATTAAACAAATCAGAATTCACATTGTTGTGGGCCTTGAGGCTTTAGCTTCTTTTAGTATACTCTAGGGTAAAAATGTTATTTAAACGAGAATTTTAGCTTTAAATATACACCAATAAAATAGACAACTGTTCGTCTGAACACAACTATATTTAGTGTACAGGACTATGTAATTTTACAAAGAACTGGAGGGAAGTAACTAGTTTGAGAGTGCTTTACTTCTATTAGACAGTCTTGAGACTTGATTTTATTTAAAACGTTTAAACTAATTGTAATACAAGTAAAATAATAGTGGTACAAAATGCCAATTTTTAGCACACTTGTAGCTCTTTAGTCTTTTCCTAAACGTCTGCTTTATCTTATTCTTCAGTACTAAGAAATGAACAGTTCCTTTCTTGGCTCTGGTCATTATGGCATCTGTGGGCCTATTTATGTGTAAATATATCGACAGCTAGCTTGATATTAGAAGCCGAATCGTACAAAAGGATGCTTAAAGATCTCTGTAACAAGCCCCGTGTGTCATCCTCTCACGCCCAACTGATTAGATTCATTCCAAAGATGGATCAAACATAACCGATCCAAAACAATTAAATGCTAAACGTTCGCGGGGAATAAATATATACCGAGTCGGTCTGTACTTACAGATGATAAGGTAGATCTCGTCATGGTTGGAATTTAGAAAGCATATTCAGTGTTAATTTTCGTCTTCTCTTGCTTACATATTGTTCGTGAGGCAGTCCAAATCCTCAAATAGATGATATTCCCCGTCACGTTACCGCTAGCGGACTAACTAGCTATAACGCTGTCGTCGTTACCCTGAAAACTGCGGGGCAGATGAGCATATCTCTCACCAGCCCGACGTTAGCTAGTGACGCTGTGTGCAGCCAGCGGGCTATGAGGCCCATGCAGTAGATCAAATCGGGGAGGTAAGCTAACACGGCTTCAATCATACAATGACAGGACCCAATATAGCACGGTTAGCAGGAACATTAACACCGTGCCATCACGACTCTCCGTCCAAACTCACAGTCAGCTGGAAATTCCTTCACGTTCAGCATTAAAACCCGTCTCTTGACCTACTGACTGTAAGCAAACGTTAACCCTGGCTCCACAAAATCTCTTAGCCGCCACAACTTCACTACCGCCTCCATCATTGTTAACCATTCACGCTACATGGGACATATATACGTACGAGAAAAGCCAAATTAACGCAAATGTGAAATAGAACAGTTTGGATCTGCTTACCTCTAATGGCACGATCTTCATTTAAAGTCCAATAACCTGTATGATGAGGAAACTTATCCAGCTTGATTCTCCACCTCCCTGCACGGTTAGCGAGTAAATCCAATCCCCCGTCCTCTGGCCGGCTAAAATAACTCACCAGTCACATCTAGTACGCGCTTCATTGTCCAAGCCTTGCTGAGCAACATCCGTGATCGAAGTAATTTCATCAAACGTTACTATCAGCTGATGACCAACAACATGCTAACTAGCACGGGTAACTTACTGGCTAACCTTAGCTGGTTCACAAAATGAAGGCAGCTAACATCAGCTAGCTCCTTTGACTTAGCCTGAAGCTAACGATTCTAGCCACCGCTAAATAAACGTTATGCCAAATTCTGATTTAACGCTCGTCTTTGCGACTGAAATGTCGGTCACCTCGATGAGCGGCGACAACGCGATTACATCTAGTGCATTTTAAACACTAAGCAGAAGCCGTGTCCTCTGATAAATTTTGGTTTGGAATTTTGTGTCAATTTTCACAAAATGGCGCGCGGTCCAAACCTGCGCAGTGAACCGGCCCGGTGGACCAGAGACACGGACAACTGAGTTAGTGCGGCACCGCCTAATTATTTCAACTAGGTTAAAACGTCGGGCTCTTTGTCTTCTTAATAATCCGATCCACTAGACGCATCTCGATATCCAAAAACGTCAAAAATATATCCACTGACAGCATTATTCCGGCGGGAAGGGAGAACATTTGAAAAGACTGAGCTGGGGGGGAAAAAAACCCTCCTGACAAAATGGCGATGCTCTAGCTTGTTGCTATGGAAACTGTCAATCAAAAAAGAAAAAAAAAGAGAAAGAATACCCGGATGTGCCAATGACGAATAAATTCGGAGCTGGCCAGAGTTACAGCGCACACAGGAGTCCAGCGGTGCCCCTCTCCGTGTTTTTAACCTCATTCGGCCTGTTGCTATTTTTTTTGGATGACGATGCTTATTTTATTCCGATAATATTTCACTATGTGGTGGTTCCTCCTCAGCATATTTTAAATCCAATAATGATGATGATGATGATGAAAATAATAATAATAATAATAATAATAATAATAATAGTTATATTTAAGTAATATTATCTCAGCAAAACAAATAAATGCTGAAAATTCTATTTTTAATAAACAATTAGCCTATTAAGTACCAACACAAATGACTGTTATTGACAATATTGAAATTATTAGCACGTAAATTAAATTTGAACAGGATCATCAAATCTGCAGTCCTTGTTCTGTACAAAAAATTTAATAATTAAAACTAATTTAAGCTACAAGTTTCAGATGACTTCTAACAAATGGAAATGTTATGTTATTATATTCTAATTTCTAACCATCCATAAATGTTTTTTTAGCTAAAGGGTAAAATGTTGATATAAACCAAGTTTATGTGAAACCAAATAGCTATCTATAACTGTATTTTTGTTTGTTTTCCCATGAGTACATTATACCAGAGGTGTAGAATGGAGCATGGGCACAATTATGGTGTGAGGACGGGGGGACATGTCCCCTACATTTTCCCATAAGGCAGTTTCGATTCATTAATGATTACTACCTCTTCTAGTTTTACTGAAATGAGGTAATGCTGTGTTATTTTTATTTTAATGAAGTTCACTGACCAGACATTCTGAAAATTCTTGTAAAATTTGGTTTCTTGGAACCCCCCCCCCCCCCACACACACACACACACTACTCCTCATTACTTCATTGGACACGAGTCACATGACTTAGAGAAGTCAGTGGAGTAAGTTTAAAAAATATTAATAATTAGTGGATCAGTTAATTAATGAAATAACTAATTTTGCCAAATTAATGTTTAGGATTTTGAATTAAAAGTTTGGTACATGGACTTGACCAATATGAACATGACCTAATTTATGACTCAAGAGGAAAGACTTGAGACCGCTTAGCTAACATTATTATTAAGCTAATTTTAAACATTTGGTAACACTTTACAGCAAGGGTATATTTATTAAAGTTACTTATTGTATTATTAAGCATTAATAAACAAAGGATCTCTTTATTAACATTATCGTTAACTATAAGGTGTCCTTAAGGTTGGGATGAAGGGCAGGGAGGGGAAGGGTGTCTACTTGGTAATACGATACATAACATGGTTAAAGAGCAAGTCACCCCCTACCAGAGTCTTACTCCACTCCCAATTCCTGTTTGAAAAACGCAAAAAATGCAGTTGCTTGGCAGACCGAAAGGACAGAGCCGCTAACAACTAAACACACATAGGCTCACAACGACATTGTGATCTCATGATGTACTAGCTGACATCATAGTGTACTTCTTAGCCAATAGTGATGGTAGATTTAAATTCAAATGCAGTGCAGAGTTTTTACCTGACGACGGCGCAACAGTGACAGTTTTAGGCAGAATATTTCAATTTTAACTAAGATGCGCTAAAGTGCCAAATTATTGACTGCATGTGTTTGCAGCACACTCAGACACTCGTTTATATAGTTTATCAGCAAAAACAAGTTTATTTGGGGGTGACTTGCTCTTTAAGCAGTTGTTTATACTTTATTTATTGGTTTATTAATGCTTAATAACACACTAACATTAATAAAATGACCCTAAGTGTTACCAAACATTTACATCAATGTGATTTTAAAAGTGGTTCTCGGTGAAACTGAACCTGTTTACCCGGCTAAAGGTCACTGTCCAAATATAAGCTGTACCTGTTTATTAGTATTTTACACAATCTGATTCTGAATCAACATTAGGTGTTTCCCCAGTGAGTCGTGGAGGATGGCTGCTTATACTGAGCCAGGATTCTCTGGAGGTTTCTTCCTGTTAAAAGGGAGTTTTCCTCTCCACTGTCGCTGCATGCTTGCTTAGTATGAGGATTGCTGTATAGTCACTGACACTAGTCAGTGACTTGATGCAATTTGCTGGGTTCCTTATATAGGAAACATTATTTCTGATTGGCTTAATGAACTGTGAATTGGAATGTTTATTATGTGAAGTGCCTTGAGACGACTCTTGTCGTGATTTGGCGCTATATAAATAAACTTGAATTGAATTGAATTGAATATATGTAACAACCGATGGTAACAACTGATAACTGCATGTTAGGCATTTAAAAAAAACTCCAAGTCCAGTTAATGTTAATTGAAAATAAGTCCGTCTATTTAAAAGTGAAACAAGAACATTTCCTCACTTACTTTGTGACTCTTTCCAGATTCTTGCAGGTCCCGCGGCGTTTGAAGGTTTCAGATGTTAACGTTGACATAATCCTAAAACAAAACAACCCAACTGGTTCATTTCAATCATAAAAATGGTGTTATACTGCTCCCCAGTTTACCCCCAAAAGGCAAAGATGGCACAAAGTTTTCTTTCCTGCTGCCGATTTCCTAATGCACCCATAATACATTTTCCAACATTTCTTTGTATCTTTTCATTCCCGTTGTTTAAAGTGACAGCAAACATCACGTTAAAACAGTTTGGATTGATGTTTTATGTTAATAAAAGCTCTAATTACTGTTTAAAAGTGAGATTTGGATTAAAAGTGATTTAAAATGTAAAATCTCAGAAACATCTTTTAGTTTCTTGGCACGGGGGCACCACCAAGTGGGGACTGAGAGTGCCTTGTTGTTCTGGGTGCTTCATTCTTCATTTTCATGTACACATATAGAGTGAAGGACAAAGAGATATAGCTATTTATTACCATGCCACTTTTTAAAATCAGTAGTTTGTTTTATTAATGAAGACCATATGTGTTATTAGCCTATAAAACTTTAAAGATCTAGAAGCAGTATTATATAATGTGAAAGGTTCAACTAAAAGCACATTTATGATAAAAGTTATGAATTAAAACAGCAGAGAGAAAAATTATAATCCACCAAACAGTTTTGTGTGTTCTGTGGCCAAAAAGGGATTGAAAACTAATCTTGTTGCATTAATTTACCCTAAATGAGAATTAGTTTTTGTTTTTATTGTGAAACTAGCCTCGTTGTAATAAAAATGAAACAGACAACCCCAAAGAAATGACAAATGAACTAAATCATTTCTATTGTTTAGATTTAAAATATCTCAGCTGAAAATGCAAATTTCTTTTTTTCTAACATTTTTGAAATTCCAAAGCGACTATAGATGAAGAAAACATAAACATCTTCAACCACCTTATTTAAGTACCAAATATGCTATGCTTACAGCAATGAGGTAATATTATTCATTTTATTTATTTAAATTTTATTTAACCAGGAAGAAAATCCCAGCAGCAAGCATCACACAAAGTTACAGAAAAAAGTTACACAGCTGGGATTTAAGTCATGCTGAAAACAAACAAAACCATTGTTCATATATATATTTTAATTATTTTTTTCATTGGTTTCGATTTTTTAGCAGAAAAGTATTTTTCCTTGAATAGACCATCTGTCCTTTTACCAGAGGATGGCAGCAGAAGCTAATTTTAGCTCGGATCATCCCAGTGTGTTCCTGTTCTTATTGCCACATGCTTTCTCCACATCCACGGAATTCTTCCTGTAAAATTATAAACTAAAACTTAATGTTTTATTTTGTCCATGAGCCAAAATCGTTATTTACTGTAGTGAAAAATTGAGGAAAAATGTCCACTTTGAAGGATGGCTTCAATCATAATGCTCCCGGTCGGTAACAAGATGGCGCCTTGCTTAGCTTAGCTGCGGTCACCGGCCACTTTTTCAAACTTTTCTCCACTAACCTCCTCTTTTCCACCTGCTCCTGTCTACGATCCTCTTCAGTAGTGTCCCTGCTACCATCTCCTATGATCGCCAGACTCTTTTGTCCTTCAGGAATCTTGGCATGACCTTTGACCCAACTGTCACCCTGGATTCTCATGGCAATTCTCTTGTTCGCTCTTCCTTCTTCCATCTCAGGAACATTGCGCAGCTGAGTCCCATTCTGTCCCGCTCTGAACTTGAGACTGTTCTCCACACCTTCATCTCCTCACGCTTAGACTACTGTAACTCTCTTTTCACGTGTCTGAGCAGAACCTCCCTGAACCGTCTACAGGTGGTTCAGAACGCCTGTGCTCGGCTTCTGACCAAGTCCTCCAAACACACCCACATCACCCCGCTTCTCCTCCAGCTTCACTGGCTGCCAATCAACTCCAGGGTTCATTTCAAGATCCTGGTTCTGGTCTGTTGGGCCTTACATGGACAAGCACCATCTTACATTGGTGATCTTCTTAGTCCCTACACCCCCAGCAGGTCCCTGAGGTCCAGTGATCAAAGCCTACTGGTTGTGCAGCGCACCAGGCTAAAGACCAAAGGTGACAGATCAGGCCCCCAGACTCTGGAACTCTCTCCCCCTGAGCCTGAGATCAGTGGACTCAGCGGTCTCCTTTAAAAAGCAGCTGAAGACTCACTTGTTCAAGCTGGCTTTTGTATGATCTTCTTCACCACTCTCTCTTTATTCAGCTCTCCCCACCTATTCCACCTTCCTCAGGATCTGCTGATTCCCCTCTTTCCTATTCACTCTCTCTCTTACTTAACATTTTGTTTTTAATCACAATTGTCTATTTTTTGCTCATTTTAAATATATTTTTAACCATTTTATAAATTTTTTTAGATTTTTCCATTTGTTGTTTTTGTGAAGCGCCTCGTGATTTTTATCTTGAGTCGCTATATATATAGCGACTCAAGATAAAAATCACGTTTAGAAAAAGAAGAAGAAAATATCATTTCTATAGAAATTATATTTTCTTCTTCTTCTTCTAAACGTGATTTTTTTTCACGCTCTTATTTGGGGGGTTGGTGGTGTACTTTCACATAAGCAAATCATTTTAACACACCTTGTCCAGAGAGACAGTTATAAGATGATAATAACAACGTAACATAAAAGAATATAATAGTTTTTGTAGCGGGTATATTTGAGTCAAATCACCCACATGTAATTGCTTTTAACAATATTAATTATTTTTATTTCTATAGACTATAAATAGTAAAAACCTTCTGACTGATGTTATCATAATCTATGCTGTGAATGATAAGTGTGCAGTATTACCTCATGTTTCATGTAGAATTACTGATGATGCAAGCTGATCTAATATTCCTCTGACACTCTGAAATCCTGACATCTGCAACAATCGTCGACAGGGTTTCACGTTCGCTGATCATGACTTGAATTGTTCAGTTTAAAATCATCTTAATGGACTTTACTGCTATCCATTAACAGATAGGCTCACTCAGTGAAAAAGCCTCAAGAGTTCTTTGTTCAATCAGGGCGATGGTGGCACAGGAGTTTAAATGCTGTCCTAGTAACTGGAAGGTTGCAGGTTTGAGTCCCGCTCAGTCTGTCGCTGTCGTTGTGTCCTTGGGCAAGACTTAACCCACCTTGCCTGCTGGTGGTGTTTGGAGGGACCGATGACGCCTTTGTACGGCAAACTCGCCTCTGGCATGTGCCCCAGTGCAGCTGTGGCTACAATGTAGCTCATCATCACCAGGGTGTGAATGGGTGAATGACTGATTGTTGTAAAGCATCTTGGGGGGTTCCAGGACTCTAGAAGGCACTATATCAAATACAGGCCATTTACCATTGAGTTCATTAAGGCAGAATATCTAGATTTTGTTTTGCAGGTTAATTGCTTTTTACGTGTATGGAAGCCCATTTCTGCCACTCTAAAAAAAAGATAAAAAAAACAACAACCATGTATCTCATATTATGAGATACAAATGTTGATTTTCATCAGATTGGCAGGAATGTAGCCTAGAAATCTGGACAAACCGTAGCAGAAACAAAAGATTTCGCTCTGCTGGTTGATCTACCTCGATTGTAGCCTCAGCAGGTCTACCATTAGCTAAGTTAACTGTAGGTTAGGCCAATCACAGTGCCCCATGTTTGTAGAAAGAAACATTGGGCGGGCTTAGCACCATTATGGCAGAACTTTTAAATTTTTTTTCACAGTGACGATAAAGCTGCAACAGAGAAAAACAACAAAGAAGGTGGTGGCTCAGGAACGGCACTTGTTTAAAATGGCTTTGGAATCAACTTTGGACGATTTAGATTAGACTTCTTATCGACGGTGTATGGCAGAATGCGCCATCGACTGATTTCCATTGCTATGAATTCACGCCATGTTGTTTGTTGCTCTGACTGGTCCAGACAACCGTAGATTCTGCCCCTATGACTGGCCTCTGGCAGGAAAGGGCTTCCGTACTGACTATGTTTGCAATTTTGTATTAATTAATAATTGTATAATATAAAAAAACATTTTTAAAAAAATCAAATATATAAATCTGCTTCGAGTTTGACTTCAATCAATCAGTAAAATGAAAACTTAAAATTTCTACAAGGAAAGTTACAATTTTGGGCATTATTAAATTGGATCATGACCACCGACTGGTCTTTGTTTATCATCTATACAACAAAAATACAAATGTTACTAGTGACAAATATATTAATCATCAATATAAACACTGCAAAATGATTTTCAACTGTCAGATAAACAGGCTGAAAACACATTGCGTCTCAGAACGCAAGCACATGAAAAATCCTCCTTCCCAAAAATTCACAGAAACGTCACTAAACATGTCAAAAGAAATTTAGAAAAAATAAAAACTGCTCATTTCATCGAAAACTACTTAAAAATACTCAAATCTGTTTACAGATTTCTGTATCCGATAAAAATATTATTTATAGGCCCAGAAATGGTAAAACACATCCACGCAGGACCGTTTAGGAAATATTTAATGTACTTTTTTATTCTTTTATTCATCACAGTCTGGATCATAAGTTTTCTAAATAACATACTTAAAGACAAAGACAAACAAAAACTACCAAAATCCATTGGACATACCTTTTCAAATGTACACTTTATTTTAAACAAAAGTACAAAAACAAACATACGATATTTACAATACTTGCATGGCATTGTTCACTTTCTTTGGTCATTTTTCCAATTTGATTATTCTTTTTTTTTTCTCCAGTCAAGGTAGGCAACAAACAGCAGCTCGGAGATCTGAGATTATTACATGCTGGGTATATTTTTTTTACCAGATGCTGAGAGCAAACTACAGGTGTCTTCATTACATTTTTGTAACGTCTGCAAGCAATTCATGGAGAGTTTCAAGCCAAGATAGCTGGACAATGAGATTTGTGACAGTTACTGAATATGCCTACCAGGATATTTAATCTTGTACCATATAAATAGCATAAAGAAAATGAAATTCACACACTTCACATCTACGTCCTGGTCTTGGATACATCTTTTTAGGTTTAGCAAATGCTCTTATTGGACCAAAATTGTGACATGTACAGCTGCACGTATTTCTTTGTATTCTACACAAATTAGACATGAAACATGAACTCTAGTGCACATCACAAACTGAAGTAGGTACAGGTAGATTTTATTCTTTTTTTTTTTTTTTTTAAAGAAGGTAAAGGCTACTTTGAGACACGCGTCCTTTTCTCTCTCTGATCACAAAGTGATGCTATGGCTACATGACAAACAATCGTTTCTCAACACTGATGGAGCAAAGAAAAAAATATATATATAAAGAAAGAAAAAAAATTCATTTTAAGTCCCAAAACTGCAGGTTCAAGGGCATTTCAATGTTTAATTTCATGTAAAACCTGTGCAGCCAATCAGAATCAGTACATTCCTCCAGTAATCTAGCTTCTTGTGTTGTACGGTGGTTAAGTTTTATTTACAGGACACACACACACACACACGCACACGCACACGCACACACACACACACAAATAAATCCTGGTTTCACACACAACTAACGCTTCTCTCCATGACGTGAAAATCATAATGCCATCGTTAACTAATGCCGACTATAATCAACCCTTAGCCCTTCCAGGAATTTTATCTCAGTTTTTTTCTTATAACCCAACAAACTGTGAAAAAATGCACACACAAAAAGATTTACTACGACTAGATACTGATGTCGAAGGCAGAGGTGGTTGGCCTGAGATGGCATGAATCCTAAAATAAAAAAAAAATGGCATTGATGTCCCTTGGTTCCTTCTCAAGAGCCAAAGAGTCAAGCACAGTTCTACAGCAGATCTACATCCTCACGGCCAAGGCAACCAGTCTAGAAGGAACTTCACTTTCATCACCTATGGAACCCCCCACAAAACAAACAAAAAGAGATCTGCATTTCCTCGCTTTACTCACATTCTAACAAACATGAATTCTAATAGTGAACAAATTTACACGTGTATCAGTAGTGCAGACAACTTAAATTACATAGTTTCCATTCTCTTCTGGTTTTTTATTTCATTTGATAAATGGAGGAGTCAGTGGTCGATGTGTCTGGATATGCGTTTTGAAAAAGTCTCCCTGAAACCAAATTCAAGCTGTCTTCATCCCAATGTACACTCAGTGTTTTCTCCCAGACGGAGGTGAAGAGAAATGTGCAAAAGTTCTGTGTTCCCACTGAAATGAAAAAACAAAACAATCAAGAACATCTTACGGATTATCAGCAGAAGATGGAGATGTTTCAGTCCCGACCTTTCACTTCACCATTTCACAAACAGGTTTCTTTTACACCTCCGCCTTCTGGCTGTTCTCCTCCCCCTTTTCCTCTAATTTCTTCTCCTCCTCAGAATTCCCATTCTCCTTCTCACCGGTCTTCCAGCTTCCTTGCCTGTAAGGAGTAAAACTTCACAGCTAAAACCAATTCGGCAGGGGTCAAAAATGAGAAAACCCGAAATAAAATAACAATCAAAGGAAGATGAAAAGAGATAATTAAAGAATGATATTTGGTGGATTTGTTTGTTGAGCTGATTCGTCTGAAGGAAAAAAAGGAATAACGCATCTTCTATTTGTGTTGGGTCAGGGTTGTGTGCTAAGCTAAGCGCACCATCTTTCTTCCTGATTTTCAGAGATTAAGAAAGTAACGTGTTCCACAAAATAAAAAATAATCCATAAATCTGGATCACAAGCACGTTTTTGGCTGCATAAGATGCTAGCTAACTAGCCTTGTTTGAAAAGGAGGTTTTAGTTAAATGATTGAGTTGAATCAACTCTTTCATAATCCTACCGGAAAAAAAACAACATAAAAATAATATAAAGGATTTATATCAAATTTAATTGAGCGTTTAAGAAATTATTAAATTAATTTGTATGTGTTATGTATTAAGTTTGAATTATATTTTTAACTGCTTTTATCAACATTTTCAAGTTTTTCTTTATCAAGTTTGTTTCTAAACTAAATGTTTCTGAACCAATAAGACAGAAGATTTTGGACTGGAAGTTAAAGAAATAATTTGACTCTTTATTTGGATTTTAGTGGAAACATTATTAACAATAAAACATTTACCTGCTAAATGACCTCAGTTTGGAGAAACAAAGATTACTTCTGAGCAGGTGGATATGCTAATTGCAGTGGGAACAGTTAAAATTGAATTTGTGTAATTCTGAAGTACTTTAAAGGGACTTTACGGAGTTTAGAATTTTTATGCTCGCGATTGCCCCCTCAGGCCAAAAGCGTAACGGCAGCTTAAATAGTAGGCTCGTGCACGAGGCGCGCATGCTGTACGTGCACACTCAACGAAAATAACAGCTGAGACAGTCCTGTGTGTGTGTGTGTGTGGCCCAGAGGACAGGAGAGCGTGCAGCTAATTAATTAAATAATTTAGTTCTGTTTATGTTTATGTGCTTAGCAGACGCTTTTACCCAAAGCGACTTACAACAATTATTTTTTAACCTATAGGGCATGTTGTGATCTGTGGGGGAAACCGGAGTACCCGGAGAAAACCCACGCATGCATGGGGAGAACACGCAACTCCACGCAGAAAGGCGAGTTTTGAACCTGCGACTTTCGTGCTGCGAGGCAACAGTGCTAACCACTGCGCCACCATGCAGCCATGCTTGATGACAGCTGAAACAACGTTCAATGGCTATTTTGTTGCTAATTTGCAGGAAATATCTAGAAGAAAGTAGCTAAGGGTCCTCAGAAATGTAGCTAGGGTCATCACTAGGCATTAGTTACAGCAACAAAGTCGCTGAGTTGGCACTACCTCTCTCTCTGCTGCTGAAGCTACTGATAGCAAATGCTACGGGCTATGCCTGAGCGTGAACGCGCATGAAGCAGCCTGCTCGACCCGAGCAGCTCTCTTTTTCTGTGATTTTACAGAAAAACTGGCAATCACGGTAAAAATGCCAGGGCTCATTCTACAGGACCAGGGCATTGCAGAAGAATGTATGAAGAAGAAATTTATTATTTCTATACATGTTTTGGCTGTCAAACTTCCATAATGCCCCTTTAAACCTGAAACATATTCTAATAGTTTACTCTAAAGCTCCCTTTTGACCTTTTTTGTTAATATTTTTAGCAGAAATAAAATTCTAACAAGGAATGTTACAGATGTACCACTAATTTTCCAACGCTTTGCAACTATTCTGACAGAAAGAGTATCTATAGAGGCACAAAATCAACACGACCCTTTGAATGAAGATTTTCTGTTCTAATGTGACTGTTTTTATTCCTACTCTTTAAGTAGCAAAAACAGAATAAACTGCATATGTACAAACAAGACAAAGACTGAATATCAGTTCTTCACAAAACAAAAAACTATTGTAGTGAAAAACACAGTTGTGGGGAAGATCTGAGACATTTTAGCTAATTGTTGTACATTTATGAATAAAGGTGGTCCTAGAAGTCCAGGAAAACTGAATTAGAGTTTAAAAAGGTCCATAATCCACTTAGGAACCAGCTCCTACTGTAACCAGGAAGTAGTTCGTTTACGTTGACAAAACTGGTCTGTTTCTCCAGGCTAAAGCCATTCAAAAAGCCACCTAAAGCTGTTGATTACTTAGAAAAATCTAAAGGATCACTTTAGCAATACAATAACAACACAGAAAAAGAGGTAAAAGTATTATTCTTACTTGGATTTCTTCACATAAAGCCAATAGGCCAGGCCTATAACCAGCGTCGCGATGAGGAGGCCGACCACAACTCCAACTACCATCTGGGTTTTGTCATTTTTTCCTGACGGGTCTGTCGGACAAAAGACAAAACAGACATCACAGAGCTGATGCACATCTCTAAACCCTAGAAGCAGGCAGAGAATCAAAACAGTAACGCCATGATGAATGGACACATCTGCACTGAGCAATGATTATGAATTATTGATTGGTCTGTTTATGACAGCTACTGAATTTCCTTTCATCAGTCAACGGGAGGAAGAACAGTGTTGACATCTCGCCAGGATGCTGGTCGCTTCCCACCATCTTAACACACCCACCGATTTCTGTTTCAGAGACCTCACTCACCCCCCTTCCCACAGGTTCAAAAGTAAAAAAGTAACACTGCTACGACTTACCTTGTTTATCCATTTTCACCTCCTCAAATACTGAAATCAGATATAGAACCAAATTAACGTCCAACCAAAATGGAGCGGGGAGGAGAAAAAAAAAGTTTGTTGGACAGAAAGTTTACTACTCTACTTCTAGTCTAGTCTGACATGCAAATTGGGAATAGATTAAATCCAGCATCCCAACACACACACACACACACACACACTGATCCGAGTGAGGTGGAAAAGAGCCGTGAACACGCTGTCCCAACCAGGAATGAATGAAAAATTAATGAATGACAAAAGGAACCACAGGGTGATATCAACGCTGCACACTGATGCTGAATTAGTGCATAACGTTCATGCATCAGGTCAGTTTTGACACGCATGGTAAGAGTTCAGAGTGTGACCTGATCCGGACGTAAAACCAACAGAGATATACAGAAATATCAGCACTTCTACTCGTGTTTGACCACATGTAACTTACATTTATGAGCTGCAAAGAGTAAACATTCAAATCTGGGTTAAAATTAAGTCCCCAAGTGGAAAAATGTTTTGTTTGATTAAAAAAAAGTGTTAGATCCTCATGCAGACAGACAGTTAGTGAATAAAACATTTAGAGAGAGACAGATTCCTACAGGAAGGCTGGAGGATGAGGGGTAGGGGATGTGACTTACCAGAAGACACGTTTAAATCTTGGGTCATCATGCCGAACTCGTTGGACACCGTACAGGTGACGGTCATGTCCGCAGAGGGCGTGACCGTGATCTTGTGTGTGATCTTGCCATTGGGGTGGGAAGTCTCGTTCAGCTGATAAAAAAAAAAATAAAACATACAAAAAGGAGGGAGAGAGGAGGAATTTAGACAGGAAGCCACTGGGGGGTGATGTTGGACAAATCAGGGATTCAGCCGTTCCACGCCTGAGGGATGTAGACTTGTAGGTCTCTTGAGAAAAACCCCAGACACAAAGACAAACCACCAACACCCCGTTTCCCCCAAATCCTCAACAAACAAAAAAAGGAGTTCTGCTGAATCTCCCAACGAGCTCCGACTTTATTATTATCGTTTTATTCTAAAAGATGCGTCAACTTTAATGGAAATAATGCGTCCCGTAAGTGACGGCACGTGGTAAACGACTGCACACAGCTTCAGGATGGGGATGATTGTTGTTGTGGGAAGAGACTGAAAAGATTCCCGCTCACAGCCGGAGGTTCACATGGAATTCACACCGCTCTCCCGTCAGCGGGAACGCAGGTGGACCGCAGGAACAAAGGAGAGGAAAACAAAAAATGTGTTTATAGAAATCTGCTGCAGAAACACCAACTGTAGGCCTAAGGGAAAATAAGGTTTAAAAGGAATATATATATATATTTCCTTTTTCTCTTTTGAAGCACTGAGAATAACCCGCCTAGAAATGTTTGGATCAGATGCGCTCAGACGTGTTTCAACTCGTGGAGACAACATACTGAGTCTTCCAGGGTTTATTCACTCTGCAGTGCACAAAAGGCAGTAAAACAATACTAGAGCAGCTCAAATACAGCATGGAGTAGCCACTAGTTCACTAACAATGCAGTTACTGGTCTTTATTTAGCTCTGTGTGCTTACCGGGAGGTGTTTACCACTGAAGCAGTGGTCAGAAGATGCCACTGAGACAAACCTGTTGCCTTCTGACCTCAGGACCATGAGACCACTGTCAGAATGAATCACCATGACAACCAGTATTGATTCACCAACCGAAGTAATGAGAGTTTAACAGGAAAAGGGGAAGAAAAAGACTAAAAGGATTTTTTTTCCTTTTTTAACTCAAGGTGATGAGGGTGGAGGTTGGGGCTTTCTTTCATTCATTTAAAAAAACGTGACTAAAAACAAGATGCACATAATAATGGAAAATGAGATCCAGTGTTTTTGTTTTGTAACCTAGCCAGAAATGTAAGCAAATGACAGTTCTGTTATTGTTTTGAATAAAAAAGGGAAAATTAATTTTATTCTGACAGCAAAGAGGATGGACAGGAAATGATTTCACAACAAATCCAGCTTTACTGCCTATAAATTCATCCACATCCAACAAGTAGACCAAAGACTCACCTTCCCTAAAACAAAAACTCTTTGATTCACGTGAACAAATTTGGTTTCATAAACGTCAATTTTTGCTGAAAAGCATCAAGTTTGCAAGTATGAGACGAACGTATTTTAAAATCACGTCAACACGAACCAAATTTAAGACTTCACTAAATCGATTTAAGACTTTTTAAAGACTTTTAGGGGTCTTAATTTTCCTTTCATCAAATTCAAGACTTTTTGCAGATACCCTTTTAATGTCATTAATGTTACAGTGGATGCTTTTTGGCACTGATCAGAGACATCCCTCACTGCCGAAGCAGTCGCGATATGCTGACGTCTGTGTAAAGTCCTGAAATGGCTGAATTTGCATGGAGACACCACAGCTGAGGGGGGCCACCATATCACCCGGTCAAGCTCAACCTCCCAGAATTGACCCTGACGTTCCGACAATGGAAGCACGCCTTATAAACAATGAGAAATGTTATTGATCTGGAGAGCTTCCAGTTGGCTACTTCCTCAGCAGCGCCCACACCACAACTCTTAAAACCTCTTTTTAATCCTTCATAATAAGAGTCTCAACCATGTGTCTCAAAACATCTGAGGCTTATAAAATTGTACATTTTCAATGTTCCATCTTGATCAGTAGCAAATGTATGTTATTCATGTTAAATATATGTTAATGATAGATGGAGCAACTCAACGAAAGATGCTAATCATCATCACCTGATTACGCACGTCTTCCACGCCGAATGCGTGAACGTTTGGAGCATTAAAGCAACAATAACTTGCCTAAAAGGATGATGAACCCGTCGCTCTGTTGTCGCAAACAGCTGCTCGGCTTCCTGTGGCACTAAGTCCCACCTGCTGTCACACAGTAATCACAGGTGCAATCAGTCACGTCGTTGGACTGTAACTTCAAACTGTGCTTTGGCGTTGCACATCAAGCGCTCGAGCAAAATAAGCCTTCTGCTGCCACTGACATTTCCCATTTAGCGCCACATCAGACTGGATTTTGCAAATGGCGACTATCTGTTTAGAGAGCCAAACAATGGCGTGTGTTACAGAATCCTGTGAAGCCTGCAGGATATCGGTCTGATTGAGTTTCATCCTTTAAAAAGGTGGACAAGCACCAAAGAAGGATTAAGGTTGGTTTATGCTTGATGCGTCCGCGAGGTCCGGGCGGCTCCGCGCGGAAAAGTTGCGTAATTTTGCGTCATTTTAACAACCACGCCCCTCCACCGCGCCTCCGCACGGCCTAGAATTTCCGCAACGCGCACCTCGGAAAATTTCTAACCACGCGGACGGACGGACGGACGCGGAAAAACATGGCGGACCGGCAAGAACTAGTATGGCAGAGGTTCGTAAATACAGACATTTGTATGATTCAGCTCTCAGAGATCACCGTGATCAACATGTTGTAAATAATTCTTGGAGAGAAATAGCTCGCACTGTCGGAAAAGACGAGAACGCTGTTAAAAATGCTGAAATGTCATGTTGTAAACAGTAATTTCTACTTCTATTATGGTGTAGTGATGGATGCATGCCTTAGAGCTCCATGCTGCCCCCTACAGTTTGGGAGAATATTGGCTCACCGCAGAGACGAGCCGCACGAACCATAAACGCTGCGAGTTGTGAAGCGTGTTCCATCCGCGAGCCGCATCACCAAGCGGAAATTGAATGCGTCAAGCATGAACCAAGCTTTACTAAAATTAAAGTTATACTTCCTTTCAATGTGAATTAAAGTTGGTCAAAATGTGAATCACTTTTAGGCAAAGAGGGAAGCACGCACGCGCGCGCACACACACACACACACACACACACACACACACACACACACACACACACACAAATCTTTAGCATTATGAATAAATATATGTGCACTTCTGTAGACTGATGGATCTGACCCTCGGGACATTGCAGTAATGATGCAGGAGTGAATTTGGTGCAACCCTGATAAAGGTGTGTGTGTGCATACCACGGTGCCATTGATGCTCCAGGAAACAACTGGCTTCGGGGAACCTTCAGCTTCACAAATTAAGACTATCTGCTGGCCTTTTGCGTCCATCTTCTTCAGGTATTTGATAACCGGAGCACCTGAAACAGCACGCAACCATTCAGACACGGCACACTCAGAAAGTGATTCGTCACAGTCGAATTTCATTCACGCTCGTAGAAATAATGACTGAAAACTCGGCATTCTGAAGTGTTTCTGTTTAAAAATGATGAATAATTACTATCTAACCCTTTTTAGAAAGCTTTGTGAACAGCATCTGCTTGGAAAAATAGATTACAATCTACAGGACTGATGAGCTAACGGCTAGTCTGAGTTGAGAATGTGGCTTTCCCTTCCTTATCCCACAAAGTTATGGTACTTTAGCCAGTTCTACTTTCAAGCAGTTAAAATAAATTATAATTCAAGTACTTTTAAGGATTTTCTACCCAATTTTCCACTCAGGGACCAGTATAGTTGCTGTGTGAGTGAACACATGTAGGTCAAAGTTCAACCAAACTGGCAAAACTGACCCCCTTTACTGCTTTTGGTGTAAATAAGACCCACTGGACAATTATTTACATGCAATTCTCTGGTTATTTACAAAAGTAAACAGCTTCAGTAGTCAAATGCAGCCCTTGTACTGCGTCTACGGCTCAGGTCGAGCAGGGATAAAAAAAAAAACTTCACAAATAATCATGCAATTCAAAGTTGTAACAACGTAAACGTTTATAAAACAACAATAGCATGACTCTGGAACTGGAGCTGTTTTACCCTCTGGAGGCAGGCGTTGCAGATTTGCAATGTTAAAACCTACCTACCTGGTTACTCCACATACATATGTCATGAGCATTTTTTTGACTCAGAAGTACCCCTGAAGGACTTAGTTGTTCGTCCTTTTATCAAAACTTATTTTGAGCCTGAGAGGGTTAAGACGGCAGCAATGCACTCGAGCTCAGACTAGCTGTTAGCTCAACTCTCCAAGCAGAGGCTGGTCTGGTTGAGTTTTACAGAGAAACATGCTACAAAGAGCAGGAACATTCGCTTCCAAGCTCTTAGATGGTAGAAGAGACACTTCCCCTTTCATTTCTGTTGTTTGTATAATCTGGACCAAAAACCTTGATGGTTGATGAGTTTATCAGCTCATCTGTTCCGATGATAAGACTCAAAACAAGCTGTTGACTTTATTCGGATTTTCCTGTAAAAACTACAAGCTTTTTTTTTTTTTTTTACAAATACACAACTCATTTAATTTGTGAGCTTTAAAATTCTTTTGAAGTCTTTTTTTGTGCCATCTCAAGTCTTAAGTAGAGCAAACTAGCTTCTGCCCAGAGCGTTGTATTTGCTATTAACACATGAGAGAAGTATAAATCGTCTCATTCAACTCCGAGCAACAAGACGTCTCCTTTAGACCCCTCACCTTGGACAACCAGGTGAAAAGATGCTTTCCGCCTGAGGGTCTTCAGCGTCACCTCACACTCATAAACACCAGAGTCAGAGTACGTCAGATTAGCAAACTTGGGCTCTTTGTGCAGTTTAACGCCTTCCTGCGTCAAATAAAAAGAATGTAAGCATTTATAACAACAAGCGGAAACATTTCTCCATTGATTCGAGCCGTGCTCTGTGGAAGATTGCTTTTACCTTTGTCCAGGAGACCGCTGGTTTCTCTGAAGAATCAATCTGAAGAGTTATATTCAAGGCCTTGCCAGCGTGCTTGACGATCTTCCCAGATGGGCTTAAATTGATGTCTAGGTCTAAGAAGAGGAGAGGATGCTGAAAGGGTGTTTCAGGGCTGGGGGGTTTGACGGGGGTTGAAACATTTCTGTTGTTAACCACACAACTTTGCACTTGGCTCACAGCCCTGCAGACACAGCTTATTAGGAGGAGAGAGGCTGACACACAACACTTTTCCCCACAAATCAGAGGAAAGTCTGGCAGAGAGAGATATTAGGAATTCCTCCCGTCTAACTGACACTTCTCGCTCTCTCATTGTGCTAAATAGGTCTGCAGGCATTCTGGGAAATTATGCTGAATATACTGAAGGTGTGAGGTTAAACTGCAGTCATTTGTTAAAAAAGAAATCATTTTTGGGAATCCTTACAGTTGACGGTGATGTTCCTGGATGATTCCATTAAGGGGTTATCAATTAGTGAGCATTTGTAGAGACCAGTGGTGTTACGTGAGACGTGGGTGAGGGTGTGTTTGTTTGCATTTTCCGCTTTCACCACTTCTCCCTGCCAAAGACGAGCAGTCATTAAAGACAAAGTTGGTTTTTCTGAGTGTTTAAAGAGCATTTCTTGTGTTTACCTTGATGTAAAAGTTGAAGCTGGTGGGAGCTGGGTTTCCGTCTGCCTCACAAGTCAGAGTCACGTTGTCTCCTTCTGCAGGACTCTCAGGGCTGACCCTAAGTGTGATGTGCTCTGTGGAGTCTGTGCAGGAAAAACAGAGGGTGGAAAGTCAGAGAGGAGGTGTGTGTGAGTCGTCTCCCATCTCAAAGAGCTCAAACTTTGTCCTCTACAGGTTCTGACCAAACTTTAGACTCAGCCGAGGAGGAGGCTGAATTACTGTCACGATCGGAGGCACTCGAGCAATCAGTCCATTCAATGCTCCGTGTTTCTGCTCTGAGGCAAAATAACTTCTTTCAGGAAACTTCACCCCCAACCGAGCAGGGCCACTTCAATTTTTAGACCCACTGTTTTTAATTCACACCATAAAACGTGTCATCAATGTTGTTTTTTTGGCTGGAACCAAGAGAGTTTGAGTAAAAGATAAAAACAGGGAAAAATAAACAATCAAACGCCTCTCCTGGGAACAGTTGCAGAGTGTTTGCGTTATTCTTCTCATGGGTCAGCTATGATGTGATGTGATGCTGAAACAGCTCAGCATCAGCCCAAAAGTCCATCAGCTGTAATCTTATAGCCGTGCCTGTCAGAAGGAACGCCCAATTTTCTGGGCCTGTGGTGCAGCCAGTAAACATCTGGACGTTCTCTCCACTGGTTTGTGTGCAAATGAAGGGATTTTTGATTACTTGGAAATTCTTAAATAGTAAAAGTTAAAATAACTAATACAATTATTATTGTACTTTTTTTTTACCACTGTAATAAAGGGCAAAGTAAGAAAATGTGAAAACTATCTTTTTGTATTCATAAATATTTTAATTTCTCAACCATTTAAAATATTTTGGATTTACCTGATAATAATAATGATTATTATTATTATCAGTATCTAATCCTCTGTAGATGGCTCTGTGAACAGATTAAATGTGTCTAAAACAGGTTTTAAACACAGACTTTACGTCCTTCAAAACCAAACAAAATTATTATGAAATGTATTTCCTGCTATTTCCTAAAAATTAAAAAAGAAAACTTCTGCAATAAAAAGTCAAGAGTTTTCAAGAATAACTAAAAAATAATCTGGTAAAGGAACCAAAAGTCATAATAAACTGTTAATGGCATCTTTCAATGCTCTTATTTTGAAAAGCTGCACCACAGAGTTTCTGGTGCATAATTGGAGGAGGAAGAGAAAACGAAGGACGAGGACTGATAAGCATCTTGGTTTTTGCTGCGCCCTAGCCATTAGCACTTCAGTAATAAATTATAAACTCTATTTCCCAGAACAGAGGTTGTTCAGGTTCTGGGTCAAGCTAAAAATAATGTATTACTTTTACAATAAAAACAAGACTGACCAAAATATGTTTTTAACCTACAGAAACCAGAATAAAATGATATATTCTGATATATTTTACCAAAGGGTGACCTGATCCAACATAAACTCAACATGTGCAGCGGGCAAGCTGCCATGCTGAGGTCCTTGTTTCCAGTAAGTGAAAGAAGATTTAGGAAATGGTAAACATTACAGTCCGTGGGAGGCTACCAGATCCCGGAAGCTCGTAGCAGCAGTCGACATCTGGTGAGTCAGACTGCCCTGGAGGGCGAGTAGCTCCACAGCGGCTAGTTACCACCGCTGAGTCCCCAGAACTGGGACTTGTGTGGCTGTTGGTGCCTGTTTCTATTTTAAACAAAGACGAGACTTTAAAACAGCACGCTCTTCCTTCAGACACCATGAAACACTTCCTGTCTGCCACAAAATTTAACGCTAAAGTTGGCAGAAAATCAAGAGAGAAAGGTGAGAAAAATAAACAGCTCAACCTTTTGTAGCACCCCCACACCCGAACCGCATTACCGAGGCACTACGTTACTGTAATGGGACAAAAAAGAAGGTGACAAATCTACTTTGCTGCATCACCAAAGCTCTGTTTTGACTTTAAAATGTGTAAAAATGTAGCAGATGTTGAACGGTTTGATGTTTTCAAGTCTGAGCAAGCCTTCTGTTGTTGCTTCTTTTAGTTGATTCAGCGAGAAAACAACTGATATGTTTGCAAAAAGGGCTCCAACTGCTGTGCAGCTCTGTTAAAGTGTTGCTGCAAACCCGGATCCTAATCTTTATCAAATTCTAACATTTTCTTTCATTAAATTGTCTATCTTTAATTATAACGGACTGAAGAGGCTTTCTGAGTCTTCTATCCTCTGTGTGTGTTGACTAATATTTGTACTTTATGATTCTGAGATGCAGCGTCACAACATGCGCTCCATTTCATCCAACAGTACCACAAAGTGAATTTGGTGACTTACAGGTGATGGTGAAATTGACAGGAGAAGACACAAGCTTTTCGCCCAGAGGATGCTGAGTGCTGCAGGTGAACTGAGCGCCCGCGTCAGACTTTAGTGCAGAATACTCCAGCGTGGACACCGTGGTGGACAGGCCAGTATCGGGGTCCACCAACACAGAGCTTTTGATGGAAATCCCTGGACACAAAACACTGCACTGAGCTTAACTCTGACAGCTGCAGAGATACTTCTTCACACCTGCTGTTGCTAAGATGTGTGAAATGTTTCTAAAAATCAAAGTCCGCTGTCCTTCACGAATATGATGTAGGGGAAGAATGCACACCTTTCCCATCAGCCAGAGGTTCATTGTTCCTCAACCATGTGATGTTAGCAGCTGGATTAGCATCTCGTGCAACACAGTCTCCCAGCTGTGGAAGGAAAAATGAATAAACTAACCTGAGAAATATAGGCATAAAACTCCACTAAAAAAACCTACCTTACATTAATCACGTTAAATGACCAAACATGCAAGCAAATGTGATTTTTTTAACGGCCTCCACAGCATTTGGGAAGCAAAGAGTTTTCCACGCAGCAGACCATGAAATGCCTGAAGCATTTCTAAATCCCGTCCAATCCTCTGAGTATTCTAATTGCTGTGCTGGGGTTCTCTGCTCTTTACTAATTTATGAGAATCACTTCAAAGAACTCATTACTGTAGTAACATTCATGGTCTCCGTTATAGGTCTCAGGAAACCTTAGCACAAGTCGGGGATTTCCCTCTGCGAGTTCCTGCTTAAAATAATGTATGTATAAGCAGTATTTATTATAAAATAATAAAAAAAAAACTCCACCTTCTTTAGTTTGCCAATCTCCAGCGCTTCTGCTATGTCAGATATCCCCACGCCTGCAGGCGACTCTGCAAAATATAAAAAATGCATTAATGAAAAGGGTGTTCATGAAGGCAAGGCGGATGCTCCTGTCAGTCACGGTAGCACCTCCAGGAGACCATTTTATGCCTTTCCAGTTTTCTGCTTCACTGTAGTGTTAAAGATTTTTTTTTTTGTGCAAAGCGAAGCATGCGAAGCTCCAAATCCACAACAAATACAACTACTCTGTCCTGCATGAATGCTCTTTGAAACATGTCGTCCAGGACGTTTACCCTCGAAAAGCATATTTGTGACCCGTTAGACCAGATAACTTCAGATCAGACCTAAGCAAGAACTGCTGGGTGGGTTTTATTTGAGACTCTCAGAAAGTCACCATTAAAACTATAACTGTTTAACTTTAGCTAAAAGGTGCATGAAGTAAGAATGACATCATGTGGTCAAATGTGGGTACTGCGACCTATGTATAAAAACAAGAGTCTGCTCTCAGCCACTCCCCGCACTCCTGTTCCATCATGGCTGTTGCCAACTACGGCTCACCGCCAGAATATTCAAGACGAGTCATAGAGATTAACTAGATGAATAGATAAATATGTTTCACTATATTGAAGTGATAAATGTAAAAAGTAGCTTGAGATATTTTTAGAGCCGACTTTCTGTTCTAATTCACCGTTAGCATTGTTAGCTCAATGTTAGCCTCTAGCCTTCTTTACCCAATATTAGAGTCAAACAAAAGGATGCCATGGCTTCTTAGGGTTACAAGAAATACATTCTGGGTTGCTCCTTTTACTGGCTAACTTTTCTGGCCACAACACTGCTGCTTTTTTGCCAACTGGTGTCAAATTACAAATGCCGGCACAGCAGAATTTGCTGGGGCAAGACCACAGGCTCAAAAATGATTGGTTCTGGAACCAGGAAGTATGGAGGGAAGGATAGATGTTAAACAATGACTATGGCCCTATCCCTTCTACTCGCATTGTGCCCTGCGGTCTTCAGCGAAGTGCACTTGGAGAAAGTGTGCTGTAAGACTTTGAGTGCGTGGTAAACAAGTGTGCAAATAATTGCCGAATTGAGACACGGAGCATTGCGTAATCGATCGCAACGCATGCCTGGACGCTGGTCGCTGTGATACTTTTTTCTCAAACCTTTATTAACAACTTTCAAACAAAAAACCAAATAGTTATTTGAAAGATATTTAAATTCATTGCTGCTTTGACTAAAACATTCAGAGGAAGGAGAGCTTCCATGTTGTGGAGCTGCCAATGCTAACGATTAGCTTCTACTTGCCGAGACACGCTCTGCTCTCTCCTGGGTGCTAAACAGCCTGCTGCAGTTGTGAGCCAAGATGGAGGAGTCCATAAATTCTAATTTACAATGTGAGGTAGGACTGACGGACTTTTCTATCTGAGTGTTTCCCTGTCTTTCTTCTTTTGGGGACTGATGCAGAAAATTGGGGTAGAAGGCGATTCATTAATAAATGAATTAATATACTTTAATAATAAATCTGCCTGTAAATTCTTCATTCTAAAATGTTCCTTACATAAATGTTTTATATGAGGAAAAAAAACCATTTTATTCCCTAGCTTCATTTTGAGTGGTGAGAAATAGGCTTTGTTTTCTTTTTTAACATCTCATTCTGCACATACAAACACATAATCTCTAATAAACTCCTGCAGCAGACCTAATCTCCTCAGCTCTTTTAGCACTAGCTCAGAGACACCTCTTTCTTTCTAATGCAGAACACTCACTGTGGATGACCACGGCTACAGGGTATTCAGTGATGTCTGAGACAGCCACCATGCAGGTGAATGTTTTCTGGTCGCTCAGTTTGGCTCCTGAAAGCAGCAGGCTGAAGTTTTTAGCCATGCTAATTCGATTCTTGTAGTCATCTGTAGAAGAGACGACTGCATCATGGCCTTTGTTGAGAACCATCAGGTCTCCAGACTGGCCCTGCCCTTTGTCCTGGAGAGAAAAGCAGAGCGGATGGGTCACTTATCTGTCACGTTTGGCCTCTAATTCCTATAAAAGCACAGAGTCTTAGGCTCTAATGCACGCTACACATGCACTCAGACTAGGCGTGGTTCAGACATGTCGAATGGCTGTCAGATTGATGCCACCATTGTGAATTCATTGACCTCCACTGTGACTTACATATTTCCATTTAACTAACAGGATGTCTTCCGTTTTAACGGCTCCATTATTGCAGGGAATCTCCAGCGTTTGTCCATACAGGCCGGTAACTCTGTCAAGACCTGCAACTGTGGAAAAAGAGAGAAAAAACATCAACGTGTTTTTCTGTTAGGAAAAATAATAATCATGCTGCAACGTAAACAATCTCTGGCAGGAGGATGAAATCTGTTATTATGGGTTATCTTTTCTCCATATATTTTCCCCCTTGTTAGGATAAAGATGTTGGTCTTGTGTTTTTTAAGAGTCAAGATTTCTGATGCAAGACAGAGAGGTCCTGTTATTCTGTATGAGTAAAAAAAGGCAAGAAGCCAAGCATATATGAAAGGTAAGGAGGCAGAGATGCAAACGTCATCAAGATCAATAAACTTGATGAGAAACATTAGATGAGAAAGTCAGCAGAGGAGGAGAGGTCAGAAGGAAACCAACCCATACAGAACAAACGTCAGCAGTATAGAAAGGAAAATATGAAGACTCAAGTAGGGCTGCAACAACGAATCGATAAATTCGATGAAAATCGATTACTAAAAGCGTTGGCAACGAATTGCGTCATCGATTCGTTGTGTTGCGCAACTCTTCCAAAAGCCCCCTCCCCTCCCGCCCGCCGTTGCGCGCAGACCGGTGGAGAGCCGGCAGGTGTTTGTAAGAGGAACATGGCAGAAGCAGCGGGACTCCAAAAAAGTAAAAACTTCTAAAGTTTGCGAGCATTTTCAGTTAAATCAGGCGAAGACATTCAACGTTTGTAGGTCAGACAGCATGGCGCGGGGATACTACGGTGATGATGCAGCGTCTTAAACGCAAGCATGTCAGAATCATCAGCGAGGAGGGAGAGAGCTCTGTGTCCGGGTAAGTTAAAAACTTTTCAAAAGTGATTCACCCAAGCCCCGGATTATTACACAGGCTAGACATGCCCTAAGCTCGTATAAAAAAGTCCATAAAATTGTAAGCGCGACGCTATTAGATAGGCGGTTGGGGGGGGGACTCGCGCCGCTGCGAACCGGTTCCGCCGTCACATTCCCGCAGAAACTGGTTGATCACACCGGGGCCAGACTACTAACATGTGGCTTTACAACCACAATGTCCTCAGAAGCGAAAATGCTTTTAAAAGGGAGGGAGGAGTCCTAACTGTTGCTGCAGGCGTGTTGTGTGAGAGTGCAGTTATATACTGGTTAATATATTTTTGGGTTCAGTTGCTTTCATGTGGCCTAATGTGAGTCTATTTGGGATCATTGGAATGATCAGCAGGATTTCTTGATGTGACTTTATGGCAGTTGCCCAGGGCATCATCACAAGGAGGGTGGCATTCAATTCATTTACTTTTGTTTTAGTTGGTATTTTTCAGTCATTTTTGGAAATACGGTAGTGATTAATTTTAATTAATTCACAGCCTATGTTTAATTACATTTAAAAATTAGTTGTTTGACATCCCCAGTTATAATAAATGTCTACGGATGAGATCAAACAAAACAGATGAGAATTGCCCTTAAAGAGCAAGTCACCCCCAAATAAACTTTTTTTTGCTGATAAACTAAATAAACGAGTGTCTAATCGTGCTGCAGACACGTGTCGTCAATAATTTGGCACTTCAGTGCATCTTAGTTCAAATTTAAATATTCTGCCTAAAACTGGCAGTGTTGTGCCGTTGTCAGGTAAAAACTCTGCACTGTATTTGAATTTAAATCTGCCACCGCTATTGGCTAAGAAGTATGATATGATGTAAACTGGTACATTATGATGTCACAATGCTGTCGTGAGCCTGAGTGTGTGTGTATTTGTTAGCGGCTCCGCCCTCTCGGTCTGCCAGGCAACAGCATGTGTTGCATTTTTCAAACATAAAGCAGGAGTGGAGTTAGACTCTGGTAGGGGTTGACTTGCTCTTTAAGCTGTTTAACTTGGACCAAGCATTTTAGGTCACAGATAGGTGTAGCTTAGGGTCTCTGTCTATACACCTTATAAGACAATTTAGGTGATGGCATGTTGTTTTTCTGCTATTGAACTGTTTTCTAATAATGTTGTGTTTAATAAAGTGAAGGAAGGAGAAAAATAACGTTTCCCTAGCAGTTTTTAAAAATGTCCCTATGTAATCCGATTAATCGATTAATCGTGTCGAGACCCCATCCGATTAATCGATTATCCAAATAATCGTTTGTTGCAGCCCTAGACTCAAGTTGTGCAATTGTAGGAATGTAAGAAAAGATTGATACTGAAACATTTCGATATCTTGAGTTGTTATATTATTGAATTGATTTTTAAAAGCTGGACACGTTGGAGAGGTTACATCTCCAATTTGGTCTGGGAACATCTTGGGGTCCTGCCGGAGGAGTTGGTGGAGGTGGCCGGGGAGAGGACGGTCTGGAGCTCCCTAGTTGGGATGCTGCCCCCGCGACCCGGACCCGGATAAGCGGAGGAAGACGACGACAACCACGATTTTTAAAAGCAGTGTATTGATTTTTTATTAAGGATTTACATCTAAAATTTTACTGTATTTTCTTTTGTGTGTCGTCGTCGTCGAAGCTAGGAGGTCACATCATCTGCAAAAAGCAGAGACGAGATTCTCCTGCCACCAAACTCGACACACTCCACACCAAGGCTGCACTTAGAAATTCTGTCCATAAAGGTAATGAACAGAACCGATGACAAAGGGCAGCCCTGGCGGAGTCCAACCCTCACCGGGAACAGGTCCGACTTACTACCGGCTATGCGGACCAAACTCACGCTCCTCTGGTAAAGGGACTGAATGGCCCTTAACAGAAAGCCACCCACCCCATACTCCTGGAGCGTCGCCCACAGGGTGCCCCTGGGGACACGGTCATAAGCCTTCTCCAAATCCACAAAACACATGTGGATTGGTTGGGCAAACTCCCATGCCCCCTTCATCACCCTTGCAAGGGTATAGAGCTGGTCCACAGTTCCACGGCCAGGACGAAAACCACATTGCTCCTCCTCAATCTGAGATTCAACTATCGATTGGACCCTCCTCTCCAGTACCTTGGAGTAGACCTTTCCAGGGAGGCTGAGGAGTGTGATCCCCCTATAGTTGGAACACACCCTCAGGTCACCCTTCTTATAGATGGGGACCACCACCCCGGTCTGCCACTCCACAGGAACTGCCCCCGATGACCACGCAATGTTGCAGAGACGTATCAACCATGACAGCCCTACAACATCCATAATCTTGAGATACCCAGAATGAATCTCATCCGCCCCCGGGGCTCCACCGCTGTGTAGTTGTTTGGCTACCTCAGCAACTTCTGTCCCCGAGATTGGACAGTCCATCCCCAGGTCTCCCGGCTCTGGTTCCTCCTCGGAATGCGCATAGGTGGGATTGAGGAGCTCCTCAAAGTATTCCTTCCACCGTCCCACTATAGCCTCAGTTGACATCAGCAGCTCCCCATCCCCACTGTAAACGGTGTGAGCGAGTTGCTGCCTTCGTCTCCTGAGGCGCCGGACAGTTTGCCAGAACCTCTTTGGAGCCAATCGACAGTCTTTCTCCATGGCCTCACCAAACTCCTCCCACGCCCGAGATTTTGCCTCGGCAACTGCCACTGCTGCACCCCGCTTGACTATCCGGCACCTGTCTGCTGCCTCAGGAGACCCACAGACCAGCCATGCCCTGTAGGCCTCCTTCTTCAGCCTGACGGCTTCCCGAACCTCTGGTGTCCACCAGCGGGTACGGGGGTTGCCACCACGACTGGCACTGGCCACCTTAAGACCACAGCTAGCAACAGCCGCCTCAACAATCGCAGAATGGAACAAGGCCCACTCGGAGCCAATGTCCCCCACTGCTCTCGGGACGCGGTCAAAGCTCTGCCGGAGGTGGGAGTTGAAGACCGTCTTAACAGGTTCTTCTGCCAGGCGTTCCCAGCAGACCCTCACTATGCATTTGGGTCTGCCAGGTCTACGCGGCATCTTCCCCTGCCTTCTGATCCAACTCACCACCAGGGGGTGATCAGTTGACAGTTCCGCTCCTCTCTTCACTCTGGTGTGCAAAACATACGGCCGCAGGTCAGATGATATGACTACAAAGTCTATCATCGACCTGCGACCTAGGCTGCCCTGGTACCAAGTGTACCGATGGGCATCCTTATGTTCGAACATGGTGTTCGTTATGGCCAAACTGCGGCTTGCACAGAAGTTGTGTGGTGCAATTAAAACTCTGGCCACTAGGTGGCAGTAGCTTTTACCACCTTCATTCTGAGGGAAAAACAAGATCCTGTGATAACTCCGAATTTGTCTTGGAACCGCCTGGCCTGATTTTCCCCAATTAAATTCAGTCTTGCAAATTGCGTCTGGCTTTTAGTATCACGATATGTTGTATTGTCTCCCCTGTGTTGTGATATAGATATAAGTATACATATATATATATATATATATATATATATATATATATATATATATATATATATATATCGTGTTGCCAAATTAATGCCAACAAACACCCTAAGCAGTTGCCTATTCTGCAAATAAATTAACAACTTTTGAATTAAGCACCAAACACGAAGCAGTATAAAGGAAGTTAACCTTTTAAAGATGAAATTTGAAATGATAATTATTATGAAATATATATAATAATCTGTTTGATAAGGATGTAAGAAAATATCGATATGACAATATATTGTGATATTTTTTCCAGCAATATTATATCGATATTCAAAAGCTGTGCATAGAAAATATCGATATGGCAATAAAGCGTAATATTTTTTCCTGTGATATTATATCAACATTCAAAAGCTGTGTATCAAATTTTTGGAAGAATTTACATGCAAACATTTGTGTATGTTCTTTTTTTTGGTGCAATTCAAACGCCGACCACTAGATGGCAGCAGTGTGCAATGGGTTTTGATTCCAGCACTGAAATGTAAATCCCTCTGTTATGGTTCAGATACCTCATGTTAAACATGTTAAGTATCAGTTTGTACAGTTTATTGAATTTTCCTACAATAAATTCAGTCTAAAAATATCGCTAACGTCTGACTGAATGTATCGCAATATGCACATTATATCGTTTCCCTTGTATCGTGATACATATTGTATTGCCACAATTTCACCAATACACATCCCTACTGTTTGA